GCTAATAAGTTGGCCCATCAAAACTGGGCAAAGTGCAATTTCGGGCGATGACGTAAACTCGCCTTTATTTAACTTCCCCTCGCTGTTATTGTTCTCTTCTTGTTTTTGTGTTTTTCTTGTTTTTTTTTTTTTACCTGTTTGCTGTTTCTATGCAGACGCCAAATGCCAAAAAATTGGGTGGTGGCTGGGTGGTGCAGGGTGGTGGTACAAAGAGGTGGTGGAAGTGGAAGTGGAAGTGGCAGCGATGGTGCCGTGTTGCTCAAATGATGATGATGATGATCATGACGATGGGGTGGTGGTTGTTGCACACAGCCATTCAAAAAGGAGTAACAATGAAATTACAGCAGGAACAGGAATAAATAGCATTTGGGAAAAACTCGACAGCGCCGGGACGCAAAAGGATATATATACCGAAATGCCGAATGCTGAATGTTGAATCCCGAAAACCCAGACTCAAACCCAAACCCAAACCCAAACTCAAACTCAAACCGAAAACTTCCAGACTCCCGGACACAGACATCGCGAATACAATAAAGATGAAAGAGAAGTCAATTGCGGAGCCATCGAAGCGTGAATACTCTTTGTCGGGGCAACTGATTGGTTTATGGTGCCATAAACTACACGAGTCATACGGCGACAAAGGGCACGGAATCCTAATCAAAGGAAGCTTTACAAATTACATGTTGCTCGGCTTCACCGCTTTACATACACCTCGATTGTTTCAGTTCCTTATTGTATCGGCTATTGGAAATACTTTGGGTTTTATCCGGCATTCTAGCTGAACATATGCCAGCGAATCAATGGGCAATAAAGGCTTCCCTGGAAGGGATAACGGAAATCAAATAATGCGAAGTTCACACATTGGTTAAATGAGCGTTTTTAAGCCTCGATTGGCAGATACATTTTAAAGAGAAGGTTTTAATTTCTAACTTAAATAAACTTTCTCTTAAATTTGCATATCCTTTCCTAAAGAGCATAATCCACAATATACAATTCAGAATCAGACCCAGACTCAGTCTGGTACTCTCGTGCTGTTTCCACTTTAATACATCATTGAATGGAAAACGGAATGAGCATGCCAGACACCTGGCTCCCTTGGGCTCTGTACCTTTGTGAATTTTTACCTCCGTAGCGCTGCCTTTGGCTTGCTTTTCCCTTTTGGCCCTTGGCTTGCTCTGGGTGCCCAGTCGAAGTTGTGGAAAGTGGAAGGAGTGGCAAGAGAGGCATGAGGAAAGAGGAAAGGATCAACAGTTTCTGGTTATAGTTCGGCTACAGCTGCCGTCGACGTCACTTCCGTGCCACGCGAGCGTCACACTTCACAGCCAGAGCGAGTAAGACAGAGAGAGAGAGAGAGAGAGGAAAAGCGATATATATCCATATAGAGGGGATATATGTAGGAACAAACATATATAGGGTTGTAGGATTGGAGGACTGGAGGGTTGGGGGCGGTTGGTTATAGCCAAAGTTTCGGGGCAACTCGCTAGGCAACGCCAAATAGCCCTTGGCAAGCTGACAAGCCGAATGGCGACTGCAGCCAGTGGGGTGTGCATTTTAGATTGGGCCAAGAGTTGGGCGAAATACCCACCCATCGGCAGCTACAATCCACCCAAAAAAAAAAAAATAAAGAAATCAACAAAAAAGGGGAAAACACCCAAAACAGCTGGCCCAGCTGCAGCACTTGTAGAGCATTTCCTGCTCCTGCTCCTGCTCCGGGCTGCTGGTCCTTGCTGCTCCTGCTGCTTTTTGCACGCTCGCAAACGCGCTCAACTGAATCCCCGCAACTGGGCTGCGGTGCACCTTTCGTACTCTCGGACATACACCCCCACTCAAAACTAAATAAACTAACAAATTTTAAGAAAGTTTAAAGGGTGGACTAAGGGAATACCCTGCTTGATTTGGTTTTTCGGATATAAATCTTAAGACCTTAAGAGGAATGCATTTTATTAATCATTCTACACTATATTTTATGACTTTTTATTGCTTAATTGTTAAATAACTATTGGTTTATGACCTTCTACTAATTACTGCAGCCAAAATCATTTGGAATAATAACCTATGAAAGAGAAAAGGGTCCTAGACAAGAGTCATTCAGATATAATTATAACCCAGAATCTAGATAGTGCCGATCAAGTACTTGTCCTCTTAGACCCTTTATAGTATTTTCCAAAAATGTGTCAGAACTACCACCCCTGACAAGCCTTTAAGCCCATTTGAAATACTCTCGCCTCGCAGGGTATAAAACAAGGAATAAACAAAAACTAATAGCAGCAAACTTAGCACACCGCACTGAACCGCTCGTAAAACACGGAACAGGAAAGGCTGTCGCTGCATTAACCATATTGTCCTTGTTCCAGGTGAGCGCGCCCCATTCCGCCCGTCGCCGTCGTCGTTCGCCTCTGCCGGCTGCATAATTTTCGGTGGCCATAGCCGCTTTTCCTCTGCAACTCTAAACTATTCTACATTTTCCTGTCGTGACGCGTGGCCCAAGTTCCGATTCGCTAGCCAAAGCCAAAGCCATATGGCCATAGAGTAGAGCTTGAATCGCCTCAGTGCCTCACCATCTGCAGTCCACCTTCCGGGATCGAGTTTGGAATATATTTTCGTAGAGGGTGTGTGGAGTGTGCGCGTGGCCAGCGGCGATCGAGGTCCTGTCTAGTCAGGGGGCTCGACCAAATTCCTCAAGGAGGCGGAGAGTGCAACTAACGAAGCGCAACAATTTCATCGTGGGCCGCATAAAGCGCATCTTGTTTTGGAATCGCCTTCAAGTCGCTTGGCTGGAAAAGCAGATTACCATTTGCAAGGAGTCGTGTGCCAGGCGAGTGGTTTTCTTACTAACAGAAGGACATGCACAGGGAGAAATGTCCATTATTATCATATGAAATAAGAACCTGTAAGAAAGTATCTTATCCGAAATAACACCCCTTACAATATACAACACTTTTCTTTCAGTGCAACCTGGGTGGGGTTGAAAGGGGCATATTTAGGGCTTCTTCTGAGGTGCCGGGCGTAGGGCAAGCCCAATTTTTTACTTATAATTAGTGCAGCCGAATTCCACAGATGGTCTATACGTTACTTTGGCATTAATATTTACATACCGCCGCTCATTTTCGAGGAATGCCCGAAGAGGTCCTTATGGCCTGTCACTCCGCGAGATGGATGGACAGATACATAGATCGCTGGGCACTTCTTGGTTTTCCTTAAAAAATTTCAAAAAATAGTTTAAGCAAAGAAACCATACAACAAAAAAACGGTTACATCTGTTTCGAGTTTCGATGTGTTGGGGAGGGAAAGGGAGCAGGAAGTGGGCTGAACAAAGGACCCCAGGGCGGATACCATAGTAAGCCGAATGAAAATTCCAATGAAAAGTATAATTTTTAAAGGACTGCAACGGCTGCAGAAGCGACGCTAAGCTCGTCTGAGGCAGACAAATTGTCTGTTGTCGCTGGCTAATTAAAAGGTTAAGAACTTTGTAATTTAAGTGTCTGATTATGCAAAGCCCTAGCTCCCCGTTCAGCTAACCGAAGCTCCACTTTAATTAATTAGTTTTCTGTGTGTTGCACTGACTGGGAATGCCAACAGATTGTATATATGTATCTGAGATACTTTTCAAGATGCTGTAAAGACTTTATAGCGGGTCATTTTCAACAGATTGTTGAAGGAAAATCTGAAGAGATTTCTTAGCTAGTTAGCTTAGTAGGAGAAGTATAGAACAGTATGTTTTATAGATATTTTTTCAGACTGCTACTTAATATTTCACAATGTTATAGTAACTAAAATAAAGTACAAATGATTGCCATTGAAATAATAATATCTATTTCTTTCAAACTTAAACGGAAACAGAAAGGATCATATTTACAAATAGAAATGTTTTGGCAGGACCCCTTTTGTCAGCTGCAAAAAACCCTAGTTATCCTGCCCAAAATCGAGTTCATTTCATCCTGGAAGTGTGGCATATGACACATCCAGCTGTCAATCAAAACCAACTCGGCAGGAGCTGCAATTAATCATCCAACGATTTGAGTTGCCGCACTCATATCCGACCTCTGTGATCTGGAAAGTAAACCACTTATTCATGGCCAGTGAAGAGAGATGTCTGGGGAGTGGGGTGCGGTGGACAGAAGTTAGTTTGTGCTGTTTATCTTGTACTAACTGAGTTAGTGCCAAGGACCAGCGACTGTTGCATCCCTCTACTACATTTTTAAACATACATATATATATATATATATTTGTATGTAGAGAGATGTACACCCCCCGATGTTCCAACCCGTCGCTGGCAATTTGTTCAAAATCAGAGCCAAGCAACAAATGCAATGCAACAGCAATTAACTCGGCACAACTGCCACATTCTGGGCGAAAAATCCACCCTGTGAATGGGAGCCTGAAGCGGCCAAGAGCCAAGAGCCAAGAGCCGCGGGCCCCGAGCCGAAAAAGTTCCAAAAGGGCCAAAGAGCCATGAGCCAATTCTCAGGTATGGCTGGGGTTCCCCTCCCGAAAAGAAAGAGACAGAGTGGGAGAGATGGAGAAATGGAGAGAGAGAGGCGCAACAATTTTGCAATTGGGAGAAAGCAACAGCGAGGAATGTGCTGAGAATGAAACACTTCCTGATTGTTGCCTGTCCTCTAGGAACGTTCTACACTATGCGATTTTATAAAAATTTTTAGGGAAACTCTCTGTTTAAGGGGTGTTTAGGGGTTAACTTAAATTTAGACACAACCCTTTATATTTATTGAAATTTCTTGTCCTTTTTCTATAGTTCTAATATTATATTAACTAATGTTAAAAATATTCCAACGTGTGTAGTTGCCCCCAGGACAAGCAACAGCAATAGCAACAGCTATGCTTCCTTTCTGGGGGTTGGATTTTAGGGGCTGTGCCGCTCTCAGGCGTTCCGCTCTCTCGGATGCTCTCGCTCTTCCCTTCGGCTGGTTTCGTTTGCAATACGAATTCGGTTTCGGTTTCCAATCGTTCTTCTGAGGGTGGTACACCCTTATAAGCAGGCTCTCGGCCCGTTCGACTCTCATAAGCATTCAAGAGTTGCTTACGTTCGGTTCGTTCGCATTTCTTCTCTATCTTATATAATATTATATTTTCTCCTAAATCAATTTTTTCACTACCAACAACAACAACAATAATAACAACTCAACTATTCTCAACTCGCGTCAACCTTAACTTAACTTTCTCGAAACAAAAAACTACAACTTTACCACTACAACTCTGTCAACTTTCCGTTTTTAAACTGAAACTACCAAAAAAGCAAAACATTTTGTTTTCGACTCGACCATCGAACAAGTTTTGTTTTCCCAAAAAAAGAAAAAGAAAAAGGAGAAAATCGCCAGCCGACAAAAAAGGATACCCCAAAAAAGAAAAGTCCCCCTCGTTATGTTTTGAGTCCAATTCCGTGTTAAAAACAAACGTAAACGTAAACGCAAATGTAAATGTAAAAATCGATAAGCCACACGCAGCCAGCCAACTGAACGCGAACGTGTCCGTGTGTGTGCCGTGGAGCGAGGGGAGCTAACCGGGGGGAACTGACCAAAAATCGGTGGCCCTGGCCAAAAACGCAAAAACTCCGGCCCAAAAAAAAAGAATACAACCCAAAAAAGAAAAACCGTAAGGAAGGCAAAAAGAGAGCCAGACGAAACTCCAGCCCAAATGACGGATACGGGTCTGACAACGAATCAAGCGCCGAAATGTGTGAAGTGGCTGTGAAACCCGAGGAATCCTAACTAAAAAAAGCAAACCAATTTACAATAAAATGCAAATTATTAAGAATATTTAACAAAAACACACCACACACACACACCCTCAGCCAACAACACACACTGAAATGCCAGGCCACTAAACTCAACAAGCTGTACGACTAAATCTTTAAGAGATCTTTCGGCGAGCCAAACTCTATATACAATATATATATATATATATATTCCGATATATATTTTCACATGCGAGATAACAACAGCAACGTTTCCTTTCCGCTTTTGCCACAAATAATACCCCCTGAGACGGTCTTTGCTCGCTCGAAACTCGACACTAGCTTCAGCACTTAGCCCTCTAAGATCTTTAACTGGATCCTCAGGCTCCTAGCCAAAAAATCCAAAGCTCTAACCTCAAAGAACCCAGAAAATGCCGCGCTGCCTGATAGCCAAGAAGTGGAAGGCCTATCCCTGGCTGGATCGGACGGAGGATAATACCAACCAGCAGCAGCAGCAGCATCAGAACGCCACCAACTCCTCTAGAGATCTGGAAGAACTTCATCTAAAGTCCAGACGCTCTACCCTGGATGAGGATGAGGAGATTGATGTGGTGGGCGATAAATTCCTGATCAAGTTGGAGAAACAACGCACAACAGCAGATGCAGCAGGAGCAGCAGCAGCAGCAACATCAACAGAAGCAGCAACATCGCACAGCAGCAACATGGAGGCAACGACAACAACGACGACGACGTCAAAGTGTTGGGGTCCCAGTTCACCCACGGCGGGCACAACGGCACCAAGTCCGCCGCCCCATTCCCCGGAGGCGGCGACGCGAGTGGCCGGCAATGTTTACAACGGTAAGTTCGCCCCCGGGAAAGTCGGAAAATCGGAAAATACTGAGGGAGAAATAAACAGGGGGAGGCGCACGTAATCGCTGTCATTGATGTGGCCATTGTGCGATTGCGAAACAATTCCGAATCAATTTAATTGCCTTTGTTGTCACTCAATATTGTTTGCGATTCCGGCCAGCGGGCCGCAGACCCTCGCCGACTGCCAACTTGGCTTCCCTTCGGCGTGAAAACAATGGCAAATGGCAAAATTAAACCGTTTGCCCTGCCCGGGTCCTTCGTCCTGTTTGAATATGTGCCTGTCAAAGCTTTTTACGTACAATTGCAAAATTAATTATTTACTAGGAATTACAAATTAGAATTAGCTAGACGTTGAATTAAAATAGCTTCCCCTCATAGGAATCCTTAAATAAAAGGTTTTACGGTTTCGACGTTCACTCTTTAGCAAAAGACTTTAAAATTTTAATACCACACTATCTTTTTTTGGAAAAAGCCTTTGCTTTTAAGTGCTTTACTTTGAAACGAGTTGAAATATAAAGATTAGCTTTCAAATAGTTCAATTGCCAGACAAAGTTTTCTATGGAAATGCTTTGAGAAAACATAGTTTTTCCAAGTACATAGAAAATAGTTATCTTAGCACAACTTCAGGCGTGGTCCTGTGATATTTAAGTTGACCTTTCAAAGTTTGCCCTTGGATTATAGGAATTAAACTCGGGGGAATCATAAAGTGGAACCATGTGGCAGTCCTTCAACTTATACGCTATTGTTTAAACTTCTCTAGGAGAAAAAAATCTTAGGAAGGACAAAGGATAAATGTTTTGGCAGCTTGTAAAGAACAGGAAAAAGAAGTTTTTATAATTTCCAAGTTTTTAAAAAGGTTCTCAAGTAAAAAATTAACCGAAACAAATACGTATTACTGAATATTGTTTAATATTCTTTTGACGTTAAAAGAAATAAGACTGAGGTATACAACTTGTTTTTCTTTCTTAATCGGGATATTTTATGCTTTTAAACTATAGCATACTTCTAGGCTGTCTGATAAAAACTAATAGTTTTGAAAGCTAAGCCTTTTTAGCTGATGCTTTTATTTATTCTGTATATTTAACCCCCAAACCGTTAAACAATACTTAACCCATGATTTCCTTTTTTTTTTTTTGTATCCTTTACAGGCTACACCCGCGAACTGTCGCCGCTGCACTATACCGCGTACCTGCCCCGCATGGAGAGCGAGATAACCGTGATCCGTGCCGCGGCCACAGCCCTGGTGGCAGCCAGATCATCCGGTAACGGAAATGGGGATCAGCACTTGGCGGCATACCAAACGCCACCCTCCTCCACTACATCATCACCCTCTTGTTCGCCCAGTGGAGCCGGAGATCGTTACAGTCCGCTGTCGAGCGGACAAACCTCCAGCGAAAGGAAGTGCTTCAGCAGTACGGGAGCCACACTGTCACTACCGCCCAAGAAGAAGGACATCTACAGACCGTACTCACTGGATGACAAACCGGCGCATGGCTATCGGAGAAGGATTCCGGCAGAGGAAGACCTGCATGCGGCACATGCTATCTTGGATCTGAGTGCCAGCACAGCCTTCCACCCGCCCACGCAGCCTCACCAACTCCAGCAGCAGCAGCAGCAACAGCAGCAGCATCATCATACACAGCAGCAACACCTTGCCCCGCAGCAACAACATCATTACTTGCCACTGCAGCAGCAACAGCAGCAGCAGGCACACCACACCCACTTGCCAACTCTCGAGGCGCATGCGCATCTGCGCAGCACGTCATCGATTGCCGAACTGGCTGCAGCGGCCAGCGTGGTAAATGAGCAACGCCCCGCGAGCAATGCCTCGAGTGCGAGCAGCAATCACATGCCCAGCAGTCCCAGCAGCAATGCGAGCAGCAGCAGCAGTCAGGTGCAGAACGAAAACAGCAACACCACCAACACGAATCAGGATGGCGAGTGCCTCCAGGATGGAGAGCATGGTGGCGCCTCTGGAGCATCGGCAAAAACGGTGGCCTACACCTACGAGGCCTTCTTCGTCAGCGACGGTCGCTCGAAGCGCAAGCATGTGGCGGATCCTGCAGCTGCCACCAGCGGAGTACCAACCCCGGATCAGCAGAAGACCAAGTACACCTGCTCTGAGTGTGGAAAACAGTATGCCACCTCCTCGAATCTGTCGCGCCACAAGCAAACCCATCGCTCGCTTGACTCACAGTCCGCCAAAAAGTGCCACACCTGTGGCAAGGCCTACGTTTCCATGCCAGCTTTGGCCATGCATCTGCTAACACACAAGCTATCCCATAGTTGCGGCGTCTGTGGCAAGCTCTTCTCAAGACCCTGGTTACTCCAAGGTCATCTGAGATCCCACACGGGCGAGAAACCCTATGGATGTGCGCACTGCGGCAAGGCCTTTGCTGATCGTTCCAATCTTCGAGCTCACATGCAAACCCATTCGGTGGACAAGAACTTCGAGTGCAAGCGGTGCCACAAGACCTTCGCTTTGAAGTCATACCTCAACAAGCATCTGGAATCGGCTTGCCTGAAGGACGAGGAGGAGCTAATGATGTCCATGTCGCTGTCCATGCACGATAGCAACAGTGAGAGTGGGGCCAGTATGGCCTCGTCACCGCCACACGAGTTCCTTGAGCGCGTTAAACTCGAGGGCAGTGGAGGAGCCACTTATGCCATGTAAGCATAAAATCCATGGGGGGTGCCACACAAATCCTTAGAGATTTGAAATTGCTCAAGGAGATGTCCAGATCCGGTTCGAAGGACCAAAGTGTAAAAAGAAAGCATCTAGATTGGTTGAGGTTTCAAAACTTTGGGGATTTCTGTGGCACTCCCGATAGAAAGAGATGAATGATGTGCTGTAACTGCATAGCTGGTTAGTTAATTTACCGTTAATGTTAAAGTTACCGTTACCATATACAACTAGGTTAACCGATAGCCGTTTTTATAGAAGATACATACATCACAATACGTCCAAGAGCAAAGTGTAGTAGAGTAACACAGAGACTGTAGAAATTCGCATTAGGCAGCCAAGCAACAAAATACTCAGCGGTGGTGTTCTCAAAATCTCTTGAGTGCTTTGAAAACTCCAATTCTAAAGGTGCCTCTAAAAGTATGCAAAGGAAACTTTCCAGCCCTTAGAGAGATCTTGAGAACACCGCCGTGTTAACCAACTCAAAATGGTTCTTCTTTTAAACTTAAGTGAGTTGAACATTCCTAAAACCCTAAAACACATTCCAGAAAACGAAAACACACAAAAAACACCCCCAAAACACACTGAGAGCCTTGTGTATGAGGTGCTATAGCCACATACATTCCGAGAACCTGAAGAAATCTAAGCAATTCTAGCAGCTATCTTAACTATCTAACTAACTTACCAAAACGAAAACGAAAACAAAAAGACACACATAAGAGTACTATATTTAAAAATGCATATATAGAGTGTATGTACTATAAACTGTAGCTAAACCAAACGAACGTTTTAATCTACCCACTCTCTCCAAACTAACTCTCGAAGAACACTCTCCTCTAGCTAACCCTAACTCTTACTCGAACAATATCTCTCTACTCTCTATCTCTATCTCTTTAATCGACAACGTTGACGACGACGACGAAGTGATTAAAATTAATGCAACGAATACAAAAGCAAATGCAATGTTTCTCAAACAACGAATTAGGACTTAAGGGCAGCCTATCTATAAGCAGTAATTACGAGTGCTAGCCACTAAGCAATTTTAAACTAAGTCACACGAAAGCGACATTTAAGCACTCAACAATTTTTAGATTCGATATAACAAAACGACAACGATACAAATTAACAAATTAATCAAAAAAAAAAACAAAACAAAAACAAACAAGCAAGCAACAAAAAAACGAAACGCAAAGCAATATTTAGTCGGGTTTTGCGAACCGGTTCAAGTGGGAGCGGTTCAGGAGCGAATGTTAACAAATCGAAACCGAAACAACAAGGACCAAACGTAACTCCCCGAGAACTGGTTGTGTAAGCCTCATATTAACCCTTTGTAGAAAGCATCACGATCACGTTTATATAGGTCAAGTCCCCCAATTAGTTCACTCCGAAATCATTTAAGGCTAGAAGAGCATTGCAGAAGTCACAGAGGGCGGTTCGAAATCCCTTTTTTCTTTCGAATTGGGCGCTTTTTCCTCTCAGTCAATTACCAGTGAAGTAGCCTAACCATTATTTATTTTAGTCTTTAGAAGTGAACATCTAGTCGCTGTTTAACAGCAAAACTCACTTATTACCAAAGCCATTCCCAGTTTTTAGTAGCCACAAACATTGCATTCCGTTCGAGGCTCAATTAGGAGTACAGCCAAGCAGCGAATAAGACCAAAGAATTTCGGGGATTCCCCCTGACAGTATTCGATCGCAAAGAGAGAACCCCTCAATCGCAGAACAGAACCGAATATATCGAGTGTGATCTAGTCTCAAGCATTTAACAGTACACTTCGTCCATGCGTGAATAATACTTTTGCACTTTTTCGACACTTAACCGACCTAGTACGATATTACTTAGCCCTATATTATGTAACTGTAACTCATATTCATTCATTCATTCATTCATTCAATCAATCGTTTACTCACTCATCTTCATACTCACACAAGCTCACACACACACACACACAGAAACACTCAATCGCCGCACAAATCTGTAAATACTAGGATATAGCATATATACATACATCTGCATTATAACCATCAACTGAAATCAGCTTCAGCAACCGATCTCAAAGAGGAAGTGGGGAAAGAAGTGCAACGAACATTTTGTAGCCCTAGTCTAGTAGCCAAGTTTAGATGACCCAAACCAAAGTTGTTGGTATTTCTAAGCGGGTATCTGGGAATATATATAAATATATATATATAGAGGATATATACATCTAGAATACGTATGTAGTTGCGTAATATTTACAAAGCATATATTATATACAGCTAGGGTTAGTCTTCAGACATGTACTCGTAAGTTAAACTAGTAAGTATAATCACGAAATTATTTTTATACTGTTGTTCGGAGGAGGGAGCGTCGGACGAGAGAGATGGCAACACTTTTAAGGAATATAATATTAATCGAATAATCGAATTCGAATTCGCAATCGGAATCGAAATCGACTAAATCGGCTAAAGTACCAAAGCAAATACTCAAAAAACAAGCAAAACTTAAGAACCCCTGCAAACCGCAAGACAAATTACAATTATTTCAATTACAACTACAATTAATTATATATAATATATAGCGTTATCTAGCATGTAGTCAAACTATTATTATTTATGTATCGTTTATAATTCGAAACGAAGCGAATGAGAAATGTAATGAATATTTATGAAATTTGCATTATGAGAATGTTGAATTGAATTGAAGCCCGGCAATAATATTAAATTTTAAAAATTTTGTATAACAATTGTATAGAAGAGGCGACGATGGAAAGTAAAGCAATAACTTAACTAACGAGTTAATCGATTTATTAGTCTTAAAGAATACTGTAAGGTTGGAACTACTTACAATTAGCAATCGAAGCACACTTGTAAAAACCAAAAAACAAAACAGCAAAAAACCAAAAAAAAAAACCAAACAAAACAAAAAGCATTAAAGAAATGAAAAACAAGAGAAGCAATTATAAAGTTACAAATATACAATACATATTAAATAACCACACATTTTACAAGCGAAACAATGTTTTTTATTTATAAACCAATTCGGTGTTATTATTATTTCCATTTCGACTGGCTTTTGTTGCTGAGTAATTTTTGACGAATATGAAGAGACGACGAACAACCCAAAGCAATTCGAATATTGTGATAGTCCAAATACACACTAACAATTTTCCGAACTATTCATTGATTTTGCTCAAAGGAAAACGAGCAAGCGAGAAATCAAATTGAGCTCCACAAACTTTTAATAGAAATAACGTGTATCGAAAAGCAATAAAACGTAGCGGTAAAGATTTATAAAACAAAACAACAACAATTGGGGGTGCATATTTTAAAATTTGTAAAAGAAATCTTAACTCGAAACTACTACTTATACCCCCTGTCATCTATATATATACATATATATCTATATCTATATATTTGGAAAAGCTTTAGTCCAAAATTATATTCTTCAGTTGTTCCAAAATCACGCACACACACACACACAGAGCCCAGATCATGAGGTATTGTTAAACCCAAGGAAATTGTTAAAGTTGATACATTAGTAGCTTAGGACTCACACACTTACACACGCTCACATTTATCCTGTACAGATATATATATTTAAACGGAACCAGCGCAACGCGAAATGCAATTGTTGAATTCAGTATTTGTAGCATTAGGTTCATGATCCATTGTTTCCATTATCTGTTGCTGACACCACCCCCAACTAAACCACCCAACAGCCGAGCAAACGAACAACTGAGCAACGTGCAACACCCATGGCAACACAATGTTGTGTTGGGTGTTGTGTTGTCCTTTTTGTGTCAATGCAGTTTAACGAGCGCTCGTTAGGCGAACGCGAACAAAGGGAAATGTAATAAAAAAAAGCAGGCGGCAAAAAAGGGGGAGGTACTTTACCCGAACCACCCCTCGCGGAAATTGCAAAAAATGAAAAGGGGAGGGAAAACAATAAAAGGGGGTGTCCTTGCACGCATTTAATTCGAAAAAATATAATTTGCATAGTTTGCATTGAGCGTGATTTATTTATTTACCAAATCAAAATCATAAAAACACCACACACACACACCCACACACCCACACACCCCCACACGTGTATAAATAATTGAGCAAAAAAGTATAAAAGACTTGGCACGTTAACACTAATAATTCAAGAATTGAACATAACTAATAAAGTCATGAAAAGTATATATATAGATATATAAAGCCGACATGAAGAATAAGCAAGCGAGAACAAAAAATGAAAGACTTAACACTTTGAATATATATTATAACGGAGAAAAGCTAAACTTATTTACAGCTATTGTATTGTATATGGTATAATCATAGAGAACCGAAAGCGAAAGCGAAAGCAAAAGCAAAAGCAAAAGCAATTAACAAAGCAACAACAAAAAAGCAAATCGAAAGCAATAGAGCATTAAGGTAACTAAAAAGTATTAAATCGCATGTATCTATGAGTAAATATTTGGAATTCGTTATATTATTGCGATAAGAGAGAGAGGCGTGGCGAGACCCCGAACAATTATGGCACTATACACTATATATACTATATATAGCAGATTAAAGAATATAAACAATTTAGTTTACACGGGAATAAGCGAGAAAAACAAAACAAAAAGAAAACAAAGCAAAAAAAAAAAAAAAAAAAAAGATAAGCAATAACTTATAATTAACGAAAGCCGTAGGGATTTTTGGATTTAGCTGGCAAACGATGAATTGATTAAACGATTATAAACGATTATTAGTTATCTATATACCGATATATTAACAGGTAGAGTTGTTTTTGCATATTGTTATCGCAACTTTTGTGCTGCTTGACGAGACCAATTGATGTACTTTATACAACGAAAACCAATGGAAAACCCCATGAAAACTAATGAGAACTCATCTTATGTTTTTGCATAGGTGCATATTGTTGCGATAGATATACAAACCTATTTTGGTCGATTATACATAACACACACACACACATGCCCCAAAACAGATATAGTTGAACAAAAAGGAGTTACTGAGTAGAAATCATTTTAACTTGTATTTAGAGCACTCACACATACAAAACACCAACAACACACACACACACACTCACACAACTGTAGCATTGTAGAAAAGTAGAGTTGCAACAAAAAGTATTATTAAAGAAAAACAAAAAACAAAAAGAGCGAACATAAATTTAAGCTTACGATTAGTAAAAGACACAGCACCTTAGTGAGCCAGCAAGAAAATAAGAAAAATAATGAATTCTGTACCTAGAAATACAACACACACACACACACATACACATACACTGATACAAACATTAATTATGTATTTAATTGCATCGAAACAAACTAATCGAATATATAAATATACGAAGCGATATATGCAACTATAAATATATACACACACAAGGACAAAAATGCGTTTATTATGCGATATATGCAAAACATTCTACATTATTAATTACGTGCATTATGTATATGACATTCATGTACATAAATGGCAACGAAAATACACACACACACACACACACACACACGCAAACAAGCAAACAAACATAAAAGGTCCTGGCTTATGCTGTCAATCAGGGTTAATGGATGGAGTATCTAACATGAAAATCCTGCCAAGCCTGATTGGAGTCTTAGATTCCAGGATCCGCCCTCGAAAGTCAATTTTACCAAATGGTCAATTTCAATTATGACTCAAATCGTTTCATGTTTTTCAGTAGTCTTTATGCTAAGTTGTTGAAAATTGTGCTAATATTGAGCTAATAAGACAGACAACACAACAAAACCAAAAACGAAAACAAAAAATACGATGCGAAATCGATAAAGAATTTATGAATGTCTTCAGTTTGATTGCGTGGTTTCGACTAGAGTGCATCAATAAATATATAAAACTTATATACGCATTAAACGAGTATACTATATATTTTGTACTTAATCAATTGATTTGTATAATCCAACAAAAACAACAACAAAACAACCACACACACACACACACTCACTCGAACATAAATACACGACAATGGCTAATCAATGCATAGTTACTAACGGGAAAAACGGAGCCAAGCATTCTGTAAAACATCTAACATAAACGTACATAAGTATATTATATTTTCATAACACATGACAAATTTATACATGAAAAAAGAAAAGCCCAGCAGTGGGCACAAAACGATGATGATGGCGAGAAAAGTGCGACGATGCAAAACAACTTGCGTAGTAAATGAGAAAACAAAAATAGTGAATAAAAAAAATAAAAATCTGACAAAAAAAGAAGCTACAGCCAAATGCGTTTGATTTCCATTGGTGGGTTTCCTGGTGTGGAAAAATCCTCGAGGATTCGCCGGAAAGCTTCCTCTGTCAGCTGCAGACTCTGGCAAATTCCATTCAGTGCAGTTTCACTTGTGCGAACCGTCGATACGGAAACTAAGTATTTTCCGCGGAAAAGTAATTGCAGTTACACATTTCTTTGGAACTGCCTTCGGTCGCTGATTTTATATTGAATTTTAGATAGCTGACTTGAGTGCCAGTGATTTCCAATGAAGAGTGTGAATTTAATTAACATTTTTCCAACCATCAAATTGTTTACTGGCATTCAACAATATTCATTTGAAGTTCACACCCACACGGCGTATGAGTAATTTATCCGGCCAGCTCATAACTAATTTGAATTCCAACAAATATTCCCATCATCAGAAACAACAATAAATACGTACTATTGTGTTATTTTCTTAGCTCTCAATAATATTATAATTCCATTTCATTCATCCCACTTTAACACTGAGATTATCTGCCATTTTTTAAGGCCTCGTGAGGCGTGCCCTACATCCTTGAAGGACCACCTCAAATCAAAGCCAAATTCAACTTTAAGTACATGCCAGCGATTCCCCAGGGGAATTGTGACACGTTCGGCGTTGGATATATGTTCGAGAACCCCTTCCGGCTATATGGCTGTGTTGTCAGCTAAATAAATTCCTGGCCCAAATGCGGCTGCCATAACTGCGCCTAACTGTGAGCCAAAAACAAGAAAGTAAACAATTTTCAAGCATAAACAGCCCCATGGACCATATAGCCCATACAGCCACCCCTCTCCCCAACCTAACCCCCAAAATGTTGTTGTTTGTTGCGCATATTTTCACATATCATAAGTTTTTATGCTTATTAAAAGCCAAAAGGAAAAAATTGAGCATAATTTATATGATTTGCCTATGGGGCAATAACAAGGCAAGAGAAAAACTCTGTTTATAGGCCGATCAATGGCTCGAAGGCGAGGTTGATTCTGTTTTGCACTGTGAGAAATTTTAGTTAGAATAGATCAGGTTGTGATATAGATTATATAAAGAACTATCAGATTTTTAACAAATATTTTAGATGGAAAGATTAACTTGATTTGACTTGCCTTTCTCTTAGGACTAAAACAGTAACTAGATCTTTATCAGGGCTTAAATGGGTAGTAAAATCAGTTAACTAAGCTATACTTTATCTGAATCGTATATATAACTTATAACTTATCAAGAAACTATGATTTTTGTCGCCAAAATAACCGAACTTTGAGCCACTCAAAGCTAATCAAGCCCAATTTGGATGGTCTAACACAAAATGCGGCTTGGGAAAATTCAAGTTAGATAAGTTGGACTCTAATTTAATCATTTTCCAGTTTTTTTTCTGTGTTCCATTTTGTTTTTGGGCTGGGCCATGCCACGCGAGCCGAGTCGAATCCGATGGTTTTAGTAGATTGTCCTCAGACGATGGCATATTTATACGGCTTAGAGATTGCCCAGTAGCACACATACGCGGCTGGAGGAGAGATAGTTTTCCGGAGGGCTGAGGAGGTTATGGGGATGTATGGAATGGTATGGGCTGGTTGGGCTGGGAAGACAGAGCAGCCCTTCGGGGCGATTCCATCATAGGCGGATGGCGGATAGCGGATGGCGACAACGGAATCAAAATAACCCCGCAACAGTTCTGGGGGAGGGAGAAAAAGAATAGAATGGTATGGGTTGATGGGTAGATGGGCAATGGAATCGTCGTGGCCGTTATCCAGCAAAACAATCAACAGCGCGCTTTTTAAGCCAAGCCAGATATATATTTTCTAATGCTTTTTTTCTGTAACTTTCCGCATTCACCCTTGTTCTTCACGCTTCGAGCGCTTTATGGTCGCTCGTCGTCCTGCGTCCTACGTCCCCCGCTCTTAGTATTTGGGGATTGGGTCTGGATATTTTGAGACTCAGCCTGGGATACTTTTCTGTTTCTCTGCCATTATTTGGGTTTGGGTTTTTTTTTTTTTGGTTTTTTGTTTTCGTCGCCGTCATGTGTCGGACCCAAGAGATGTATCTGTGTATCCACAAGTGTGCCAGATATACTCGACCGTTGTTGCGCGTGAATTGTAGGCTTGTTTACTATGCCCTTCAAATTATGCACTATCTCAATGGCAGCAGTGGGGGTGAAGAAGAGCCTGAAGATTGCATTAAGATAAATTTAACTGAATCAATTTGCTTAATAGCCAATTGAAGAGCGGGCAAAAAAACAAGAAAAAAAAAGCAAAAAACAACAGCAAGAACGCGGGCTAAATGAGCGGAATGGAGAACAAAAACAAAGTGAGTGTGTCTCCAGTTTTAGTGTCATTTATTTTAACGTTGATTTCTTCCTATCCATTTATTTACATTGCATACTTCCCAGCTCCATTCGGGCTTTTCCCCACCCCATTTTCCTCCATTTCCCCCATTTTGCCTCTTTTGGTAATGAAACGTCGTCCAGCTGGCTTAATGCGACTTCTCTCACTGGGAATGAGATACAAAACAACAAGAAGGAAACGGGGCAAAAAAAAAGAAGCAAAAACAACAGCGAAATGGAAAAGAAAAACCAACGAAAATTTATAAATCTACAAAGTGACGCTGAAATTACATAAGCCGCGCGTTATATAAGCCAAGGCGTGGGCGTTCACTCCGCCAATTCCTTTTTTTTTCCACAACCCTGGTCAATTTCAATTTAGCACCGAACACTGGACACAATTGCAGGTCTAACCCCATTAGAAAGATTTGAGGTTAGTCGGTGCGAAAGGGGGGTATATCGGTGGAGCCCTGCAAATGCCTGGCATTTAGAAGCGGATGTTCCGATTCGCATTTCGCAACGCAATGATAAACTCAGACGGTTCCGGCCCAACCACCTGACCTGGCTCGAATCCAGCGCCAAGAGTTGACGCTAATACGTTCTAAGGAAGAGCTACGACTTGTCGGGAATAATGGAAAATTCTCTGCGAATGAGATTTGTTACGTGGAAAGGTATATGAAATAGAGTTAAAAATAAAGTGGAATATAACCTATGCTAATCAGAAGGCATTAAGTTAGATGCCATTTGTTTTAAACAGTTCATAGATTTGAACTAAAATATCATTTCTGATAAAGGTTTAAAAACAATCTTTTGTATTTTTAACTTCTGATGCAATACCAATACTTTTCCCCTTCCTCGACTCGAGTTTTACTCATCACTATCAGATATATAGCCTCGCCAGTCGAAGTTTTCGTAATTTAACGGGCGTTACGCATATGTGAGGGCTAGGCCGGAATGGGGAAGGGCCTTACCATATAGCATGGAATATGTAGAGAGGGGGGAACTGAACTTGGAGGCCACCCGCCGCAAACTGATTTGCATGACAGCAAAAGGTGCGTAGGCGTGCACGCTCGGAACTTAACAGAATGGAAATTGTAGAGCGGGAAGTGGAAAGCGGAAAAAGCGGAAAAGCGAACTTATCGGCCATGGCAAATCTATTTGGCCTGGTCGGCGCTCTGACTTCTCCCGCGGTGGTAATTGCTGCGAAGCGCCCATTTTTCGCACGGATCGCTTACGCACATGTCCATAAAAATGGACAGAGATGGAGATAGCACGCTTGGGCATCGGGATTCGGAATCAGAATTGGAAGTGCTCGCCGCGGGGCAGCTAGACGAATAATGGAGTGGACTGTGGCATTCAACGTTTTAGCGTTTTTCGACCTGTGCAACTAATTATGGGGCGCGTAACGGATTTTAATTATCGCCCCTTGTGAGCGGGCCTCTGCTCAGCTGTTGCCGCTTTCTGGGCCCGGTTACGTCCTGTTCCTGTCCTGTCAGTCAGTAAGTCAGTGGTCCCCATCCTGATACGATTTGCCACTTAGAGAAAACAGTACTAGAATTGTGAGATTATAGAATATTGATACTTCGATATGAATAACTTATATATTCCATATCTATATGAAAAGTAAAAGGTAAAATGATCAGTTCTTGGAGACTTCCAAGTTATTAAGATCTTGTCTTGCTTTCTGAAGGAAATGTAAGTAGAAAATATCTAAACACAATATATATTTACATAGAATAAACCTCTTTATGGTAGCCTACTATTCTTTTTAGTGCGTGTATTTTTAGAAAAAATGAGTTTTTGAGTGTAGGCACGCCCTGAGCGACAGTTACAAACAGCCGGGCGGTGATGGGCCAAGTTGATGGGATATGGCTATATGGCTATATGGCGATGGCGGCAATCGATTGATTGTGGCCAAACACGCAGTGCCGGAGTTGGCCAGGATAAATCAAGCCCCTGACATTTTGTTGGCTAGGCTGGCGTGCGTGAGTTTCGTTAATGCACTAACGGAACCGAGAGAGCAGGAACACAAAACACAACCAGATACCAAAAACAGAAGGAGAAACACAAACCCAATCGAAAAGGCAACAGGGCCTCTGATATACTATACTATTCTATACTCTTCTACTACTACTATATATAAAAGCCGATATCCAATTCCCGAAACTCGAGCGACGCGTAATGGACTGAAATCCAATACAGAAATATGCATGACACAGACAAGCACACACTCAATACCAAATCTATATATATAGATTCGGGATATGGATTGAGGGACAGACACAGACTCCCACACAGATGTCAAGGAAATATGCGCCGTTTAGTCACAACTGTCAGTTTTCAATTGATTTGTCGATCCGATTGGGTGGGGCTTTTCGGGTGGTAGGGTATGGAACGGGGGACGTGGAGCGGCAAAGTTAGCTTCCATCAAAGCCAACAAAGCAAATGCGAAAACATTAAAGCCATTTTTGGCCTGCAACACAAACACGAAGAGCTATTGACTGTGTTCCTGAAAATGCTGAAACGGCCATAAATCTCTGTCTGGGGGAGTGAAAACTTTTGGTTTTATATTTAACGATGCTTAATAAACATCAGCTGCAGTAGTTACAGCATAAACTTTGATATTTAAACTATAAAACAGAGCAGTTAGAACAAAGCAGTTATCCCATTAATTTGATAGTTTCCATTATTGTTTTTTTAGAAGGCCCAAAGACAGCGCTGATCAAAAATGTGTAGAGAATTTTTATTCCTTTGTGTTTTATGAGTAATTATTTATGTTTTTATTTATGACTTTTAGCCTTATGAAAATTCACTTGTTTACCTTTTGTAATACAATTACTTAAGCTTCATTGGATGGCTTTAAAGTCATAAAAACATAAAGCTCATTCAACCGTGAGCTGGAACCCAAAAATGTATGCTAACCATCAAATTTATTCAGCATTTTAATATGATAATGTATTTTACAATGTGTTTATTTTTTTAAGCCAAACAAGCCTTAACTTTAAGCGACAAAGTTTATGCGAAATATATTTACATCGATTAAGTTTCTTTCGGGGTTATTGTTTCCTAGAAACTGCTTTCATCTTTTGATATATTTGCAAACCTTTGAAGTTCTTTAAGGGGATATATAAATATATATATTCTGCATGATTCTTGGAACACCTCCAATGTGGCACACAAATCTTAAACTATTTCAGCAATAGTGGGCTTCCGTAATATCCAGCCAGTTTCCATTTCAGTTGGCCATGCGCTGTTCCGGTTCGCCGGCAGAAACTTCAGCTTTCTGGTTTTTCTCGCCAGTCATGGAGCCACCGATTTTTGTACCGTCATTGTTAACATCATCAATTTGTGTGTGCTTAATAGGGAAACTGACGCACAACAAAAGCAGGCCAAAGTGGATGGGGTAGCCGATGGTGGATTGCTTTTGGCCAGGATCTAGAAGACCAAGTAGAAGTATGGAGCTGAAGGAGCTGGAGGAGCTGAAGGAGCCGTCGTGGAGAGAGCACCTCAAAGGCCAGGCCATATAAATTGAGTTGCTGCAGAGCAATAAAGCATCTCGAATTGTTTATTACATTTTTGCCACACAGGCGATAAATACGAGAAGTCATAATGTAGAGGAGTATGAGAAGAAGGCTATTGCTACGAAAATGGTTGAGGAAAAGTCAAGCGGGAGGCCAGCGGGAGCAGCGGGAAAATGAAGGCCCTGGGCCAGAAATCAAAACAATTGCACAGCTCAATTCAATCGCTCGAGTTGAGGGACATGTGGGCTGAAAAGCAGGAGGCGTGGCCACTTACCGCGCTGGCAAAGGGCGAAAAGTTCATGAGGTTATGATTTTGGCGACCCCTGACCCCCGGGTAAACAGTTACGATTGTGTTACAATTTGTTACATCTGTAAGAGTGTGTGATGAGCGGCAGCGGGGGGGTTTTCCTTTAAGGAACCCGAAGAGGGGGTAAAAAGCTCTCGAGGGACTTTTTAGCCAATATAAATTTTGATCCTTCTTGAAAAATGGAAGCAAACATAAATAGCATCAAGTGGAAAACTGAACGTTAACGAACGAACGTGCCAAGGGGCGGGGGTTAGGGAGGGCGTGGCTGGGGTAGCACGGCAGTGGCAAGGCTGCCCGAGATGGGCGGCAAGGGGCTGTTTTTGCAGAGGGTGACAGCGGCTGTGGCACATCGACGACATAAATGAGTGGCGGGCTGAGCGCACATTTAGCAGCAAACAAACAGATTCGCAAACACACTGAGAAAAAGCCATCGAAAGTCAAGGGTATGGCGCGCACTCGAAGCCAAGAAAAACATGTGTCAAAAGTGTTCAAGAAAGTTTAAATCCCTACACAGTAATTTCTTTTTTCCTTTCGATTGATTTGAAATTTTAATTGGTAATAATGTAAAGTCAAACAAAAGCGTTGAATGACTTTCATAAGAAAGCTTAATATGAGCATACGTTTGAGCATTGTCTTACGAGGTTTTAAGATGACATTACGCCATTACGTGTATTAAACGTAAGAAAACTTCAGAATGTGATTTGGTATATCCTAAATAATCGATATTTTAGTCGTAAGAATTTACATTCGGAACATCGTTATGACATAAAACGGTTATTTTAAGAAGATACAAGTCAAAAAAGTCGCTTTTCTGCAAGGTACAGATTTCACTTTCAAGAAAATAATCTCTTGATTAATTGATTAATCCTCTATTAGCTTCTCAAAATGTTCTCTCAGTGCACTGAACACACAGTTAGACTGACAAACACGCACTGCGAGTGTAGAATGTCGATGTGGATGTGTGTGGCGGTAAATGTGCCTGTGACTGTGACTGTGAAGGACACACAATGTGGGGAGCTGCTCCACATGTGTCTGTGCCAGTATAAGTGAGTCTGTGTCAGTATGTGTGTGTTTGTAATAAAAGCGATGAAAATGGCAGTAGCAACAACAAGAACAACAACAACAGCAATGACAGCAGAAAGGAAAACGAAATGGCAAAATAAATTGAAAGAGAAACAAATAAAAATCAACGAGAAAGGCTGCAAAAGTGGCGGAAAAATAGGAAGCCAAAAGGACGAAAGCAGCTAGCAAGCAAATATTGAGCGAAAAGGCAAAGGCACAGCACACACAGTTAAAGAAAAATAATCGTCGATAAAAAGCTGGCGCCAAGATACCCGTAATATGAGCTAAGCCAAGCTAACCACTGCCCCCTTGAAAGGAAGCGATGCCGATGCCGATTCCTATTCCGATTCCTTTACATCCATCCTCTAAGTCATCCCAACTTCGGAGAACTTAACCCACCCTGTTAGCCCCCAGGAACAGCCTGGTAACACCCCTGAAACCAGCAACCCTCCACTCACTCGACACTCGGACAAGTGGCTTGGCACATCACAGCGCATTATTGGGTGACATGTGGATATCCATGGCAGAGCTCTAGGCTCGCAGCTTTAGCCCACTTGAGTTTGTGTTTTACAAGATACAATTCCACTAATTCCAAACAAAAAGTTAGTCCTGCGTGGCACTCGAAGGAGCTCAACGCCTCCTCCATCATGTTGTCTTTAGCAAGGTCACTTTCACTTCAAGTTGTCTAATTTACAAATAAAAACAGTTTGTTCGGAGATTGGGAATTAATTTCCCATGTTGAATTTCCCCAGGCACTCAGGCTGCATTCCAGATTCAGCCCAGAAGTATGCAATGTTTTCTTAGGATCCTCAGTTTATAGTTCGACGAAACTATTTGAATCATTTGCATGAAACCAAGTCAGGAATTTTAATCGGCGATGGAAAATTACAAAGTTTTCAAGAAGAACATGGTATTAAAACATTCAACAAAATTTTTGTATATTTTCATACCTTTGATTTTCATTAAATATAATTTATACTAATACGTTTTGATAATCATTATTAATAAAAATTTTAAACAATTTTTTAAAAAATGAACCTTGAGGAGACTTCTAGTGAGAGGATTTTTTCCACAAATAAAACCTATTTATTTGCCACGCCAAATAAAGTTTTCATTTAAATTTCGTATATTTGATTTCACTTTCAATCGCTTTTCAAATTATGCTATATTTTTTTGACATTTCTCTTTATCGAACCCAAAACAAATTGCATAGCCAAATAGCACATCATCACACGCATGTATTAAGCCATATTTATTCGCAATTGGATGAGCTGGGTGGCGGGTTTTATGTCGAATCACCTAAAATGACTTTTCTTTCTGCTTAATACGCATTTAAAATGCGAAAAATTTAAGCCCGCAATGCGAACTATAAGCTGACGTCACGTTCCCGTTCACAGCTCCCAATGGCTTAAAATTTATGACATAAATAAAAATACGGACTTGGGATGGTCGGGAAAACCACTCAATCCTCCGCCCGCCACCCATTGAAAGCCAGAAAAAACCCCACCCAATAGTCGAAATTACACGAAACGTTTTCGGTTTTTTCCCTGGCTGACTACGATTGGATGGCCTGGCCAGAACAGACCAGTCCAGTTCAGTCCCTCATCCATAACCACATCCATTGGTCACCTGGCGGTTTGAGCCAGAAATGAAAACACAAATAAATTAATATTTGGCTTAGTGAAATTGAATTTGGCTCCGTGTTGGCATGTCTGACTGTTGGCTGGCGATAAAACGCTTTCGTTTTCGATTCCAGGTAATTGCTCGTAAGCGACACAGCCATAAAGGGATCGTCATCGGGCTACAGTGAAGTATGCAAATTTGGGACTTTTTTAATTTGCGCATGTTGCAATTGAAATGTTTGCCAGAGAAGAAATAATAAAAGTTACACAAACCGAGATGATTTTTTCAGCTTTAAGTTTTATTCACTTTTACAAAAGCACATTTGTAAATAACTGCCAGGAAAGCAGGGGTTCCCCTTATTATTTGATCTTTCTTTTATGATTATCTAGAAATTTAAAACTGAACGGTCAGTGAGTGGTAACGTTAAGTATATACCAACAGCTGGACTCTTTTTCAGAATTTTCACATCAGCGGGGTACGGTCACACAATCAGCTGAATGCGGTGTCTTTGTTTGTTTGTTGTCGGAATTAAATGTAAACGATCCTCGATAAACAAATAAATAGTGAGATATTACTATAATAAAGTACTTAAACTCCCCCCTGAGATGCCAAGATGAGCAACGCTTTAAAAGCCAAGGAACTACTCATACGCGCCGTGGAATGCGACCAAAATGCGCGGATTTTGGAGGCGCAAACACTATACACCGAAGGGATCGCTCAGTTAATGCAGTTCGTTAATGGAGAACCTGACGAGACGAAGAGGAAGGGATTCCTAGTCAGGATCAAGGAGTACATGGATCGAGCAGACGCCATAAAAGCGCGCGTAAATGGTAAACTCATGCTCGGCGAGGTGGTTTCTCATGTTTCCATCGATGAAAATGACACGGGCTTCGATTACGATCAGCTCTTCGGGAAGTATATGGATGACAAGACCGTCGAGATAATGCTTGAGGAGCCCTATATGACGCAGAATTATCAGGTATGAAAGATATGACTTATGGCGGGATTATAAAAAAAGCTTTAAGTATTAGAATGACCCTTGGGTTAACATATAATGAAGTTTAGCATGTGTGGCATATAAAAGACCTTGAAGAAAAGATAATATCAATAGCATGTGTGGCATATAATAAACGTTGAAGAAAAGATAATATGAATAAGAATAAGAGAGTTAATTACAACAAGTCATTGTATTACTTTCCAAGGCATGATCATATTGTTGTTAGAGCTATGCAAATTATATGCAAATACATGTAGATACCTTATGCATGGTCATGACCTCATCTAAAGTTATCAGTGCAAAAAATAACCTAAATATAATTAGAAATATGTCGAAGTTGATACATATTTTTTAAAATTATAACTACTTAAAAGTGTGTTAATAAAATATAATCCCTTTGCAGTATCAAAATCTTGTGAGATTCTTGGAGCTAGCTGCCACAAACTGCCCAAACCTTAAGTATTTTCGACTGATCACTAAGGAGTATCAGGATCCGAAGAACCCCGATCAACAAAGAACAAATCTTGGACAGATCAAAGCAGATTTGGAGCGGAGAGACATAACTGTCGCCATTAAATATGAAGACTCGCTGCACGATCGGAAAATCTAGTAAGTTTGCGTACGTCATCAATTATGTACAATAGGGTTACTCAATTCGGGTAACAAAATATTTCAAAAAATAATATTAAACATTAAGCAGGGTACTCAGAAAGTATATTTGAGAAACCCAAAAATAATAAAAATATTTCTCTAACTTTGCTATTATAAAATCGATCCACCCTACTGTAAACATATATATAAAATATCTTATCTGTTCTTTTTGTTTGCCTTGCAGCTTGAGCAATGGCTACATCATCAAGATTGGACGAGGTCTTCACTTTTACAAGGCCTCCAATCCCTTATATTCCATTGGCCTGGTCAACTACAAATTCCGAAAATGCCTCCAAACCGATGTGGATATTTGGCGCAATAGCAGCGCAGCATCCTGAAGTTCAGACAATGATATTTAGCTTTAAATGATGCAATGTTTCATACATTCTTTTGGAAATTCGTTTTTATAAAGATTTCTTTCAATTTCTGGAAAAACTAGCAAGGAAGTAGTCACCCACAATTGCAGATTTTGGCCAGCTATAAATCTGCAGACGCCAAGAAGACACCGAAACTAATATATGGACGTGGCCAAAGGGGCGTTCACCGTTCTCCGCTGTTCTCTGGTTCCGACGATGCCCTGCCAGAAAATGTTTAAAATTCATAACTTTCACGCCACTTACGGATGCGGAGGCAGCTGCACAGCTGGCGGGCCGTCCTGGCTGCTGTTTTGAATGCCGCTTGCCACTGAGGCAGCCAGCGGGTGGCCACTGCAGTTGCATAAAAGACAGAAGCGGAAGCTCCTGCTTTACTAGCTTCTGTCCGTGTCCTTAGGGCTCGCTTTAAGCCCGGTATTCAGCTCAATGAAGGTACAGTCGAACGTCTCTAAGTGGAAATTTTCCTACATATAGATAGCAATGCTTTACAGATGGTATCTCTATAGTTTGAAAGTCTCTTAAATATCATCAGCACTTTGACGAAACCTATTATTTCTACTGTTATGGAACCTTTGAACTCCAAAATTTGAAGTATCCACTTTAGTTAAAGCGAAGATACAAGCGATAGTCTAAAGAAATTCAAAGCTAAACTCATTACAAGGTATTTGGGTGTAACCAAAGTTAAAGTTAAAGAAGTTGGCCTGTGGAAAATGCTTGCCAGCAGACATGTGCGTGGATAATTAGAACTGCGACACAGTTGGCTGCACATCGGAATAGCAATTGGAGGAGAAGCCGATGTGCCACCTTCTCGTGTGTGCGGCGGAGTATATTTTCAATTTACTTGGTGCCATGCCAGGGATTTATCAACAGATGAAGGCAATTGTTACGCAAAGGCCCAAAATGCGGCGCGATGAGCCGGCCTAATAAATTGCACCAGAGCTAAAATGCTTTGCTCGCTTTTAAATTTTATGGCCCGTAAGAAGGCCGGAGAAGTAGAAGAGTCCCTGGCAGAGATGGCACCCAAACCACCCGGCAGGACCCACTGTAACCACCCCTAATTTTGGGTTTAAGCACGTCTAGAGGTCGGAGCCTGCGGGCGAGTATGGGTATGCTACGAAGCAGAGTAGAGTCAAGTGGAGTGGGGATTCCATTTGCCTAAGCTGGCTATTCATTCCCTGGATATTCTAAACAAGCAACAAGGAGATGCTTGGGGCCCAGGATGAACTTATTGAACAATTAGATGGTTCACTTATTTTAGATAAATCTATGAACTAGATGGATCCCGGGGCCTCACCGGCCAATGTTTGCCTACAAATAAGCCACTAACTGACTGAACAACAGACCCCCGGACTAAGCAGATTCCGGCTTCCCCTCGGCAAGCAACAGTTCCTTGATGGGTGCTCCATAGGCCACTGGTCCAGTGACTCTTTGGTCACAAGTGCACAAGCCCCAAGCGCTGCCTGCCAATTTGTGAGCAATGAATGCAGCAACGGCAACGGCAACGCAGGAAACTACAATACATAACCATGGAATTAGTTATAGTCCTCGGCCAGGACGAAGATGTAGTCCTGGTCGAGTGCGAGGACACAAAGGGCACAAAACCCACCACTCAATCTGAGGGAGAGGAAGCCGAGCAGACACTGCCTGGGGCAGACCAACAGCATAACTAATCCGAATATTTTACTCCCCTCCGCCGAAAAAGCTGAAGTCACTTTTTGTACCCGGTGTTTTCGGGGCGGAGTAAGGGTATGTCGAATTCGGGGACTTGTGGGTATGGGATCTGTTAAACAGGGTCCAACTTCCGGATATTTAATTGTAATCTATCTGACCACAGTGTTTTGTTATATTAAGATACACGTTTATTGTTAATAAAATCGAAGCCATATCACGAAATGCAATACGAGGTTATAGAGTTCTTGTTTTAGTAAAGTTTTTCGATTACCTAAAAAAGTAAAGAAAAACCTGTTACTGGGCACAGGAAAGTCGTAATACTGCAGCCAAGGAATCTCACTTGGCTATTACTAGGATGCGGAAAGGAAAAGGCAATAGATGGAGTCGCTGGAGGTCGGAGGGAAGGAGGTCGCGTTAAGCGGAATGTTTTAGGTTCAGAGCAGCACTTATGACATTACATTTTACGAGACCGTGTGAGTGAGTATGTGTGTGTGTGTGTGTGTGTGGATGGGTGGGTGTTTCTTTGAGTGAGTAAGCTCCTGCCTACATACGTGTGTGTTCTCTATTAATTTGCCATAGCATCCCTATGGCCTCCCCAAAAGCCCACCCCACTTAACACGATTGTCCTGGCTGGAAAGATTTGTGAAAGCGCCACGTAATTGACTTTGACTTTCACTATTGCCCTCCGCTCGTTTGCTTAAAATTATCATTGGGTTTTCGGGGATTGGTTTGGGAAATAAGGAAAACTAGGATTTCCATTGTGTACACATATACTTATGCCGATTTCCTATTAGATGCGTAACTTTGGTCGGCAGAAAAAAAAGGGTGGCGTCAACATTTTTTGCTTGTTTTTATTGCTGCCAGCAACATCAACAACAAGGACAATAACAACGGCCAGGCAAACTGGCAAATGTCCCACTTGTTACCAGAACGCCCCCAACCCAATCCCCCATCCAAAAAAAAAAATGAAAGTGGGTGGGGCCGAGCGACATAGGCGATAGGGAAAATCGGGCCATAACTTTTGTTTTGCTACGTACATAAAATGGCGCCAAGCAACCTATATAGGCCAGACATCAGAGCCGAATAGAAAGCGACGAGAAAGATGGCTGCAGTGAGAGAAAAGTTGAGTGGTTGTTGGGGAAATCAATTAGCAAAGAATTTGAGAACTAAGATCTTACTGGGTTACCTTCATTTAAAAACACAGAAGCATAGATTTAAAGCATATGCAGAAAATACTTAGTTCTTTCCACTACCACTACTATATTTATTTTCTATAAGATCAGTTTTAAAATGCATTTTTCTGAGTGCCCTGATTTAGGGATGGGACGCAGGAGCACATAAAGTCAAGTGAAACTACTGGCAATAGCAATTGAAATCAAAAACGTGCCATCAACGGTTGTTGTTGCTGCTGATGTTGTTGATGTTGCTGCTGTTGCTGCTGCTATTGCTATTGCTGGCGTTGTTATTGTTGTTGAAAGCAACTCTCCTGCATCAGGAGCCGACCATTATGTAAATTGCGTGAAGGACAAGAGGGCTAGATGGGTGGTTGGGTGGTCTCTGGTTGGTTTTGGTTGCTTTTTGATGGGTGTTGCCAGTTGCTAGTTGCTGGTGGCTGCTGCGGCGACTGCTGCGGTTGACCAGCAACCGCATCATTAACGCTTTCGACAGGCATTAGGAACGCAATGACAACTGGCTGAGGTCTCAGGCTGTGCGTCCGAAATATGAACTAAAGTGATTTTCAAATATGCCACACAGTAGTCGTCGTCGACGTCGTCTCCCAGCCCAGGCACTTTACGAATGGCCATTGTTGGTGTTCTTTACTATTGTTGCTGCTGCTGCCGTAGAGCATTTGGTGTTGCCGCTGTGCCTCGTGCCAGATTAAAAGCTGTCACAGACCAAACAAAGGCAACCGCAGCAGCAACACAAGGAGCAACAACAGCAGCAACACAAAGGATGGCCACAGCAACAGCAACAACAGCCGCCGAGGCAGTTATTGTCCTCTCTTTGGATTTGCAATGTATGCCGATTTATAATCAATCAATGTCAGCGCAAAATTCGAAATGGGTGGTGACGCCTACTGCACTGCTAAAAAAATGTTAAAATGACAAGCCAAGCCGGAAATCGAAAAAATCATTCTAGAAAATTAGCACGGAAGAGATAGATTGATTTATGTAAGATAATGTTTTTGTATTAAGAAGTACTTTAAAATGAAACTCTCACTGAAAAGTGTTCGATGATGGAACTTCAATTATTACCCACAGAGAACTTAGTCCTTCCAAAGGACACTCCTTTACTCAAGAGGTATGCGGCTGTACTAAATTGCTCCTCTTCATTATCAATGACCACAAGATTACTAAAAGCCACCAAGACGATTTAGATCAGCCACTTACCAAATCACCTGAGATATATATACTTATTCCTTTGATTGCTTTTTACTTGGTTTTAGGTTCAAAGTGTATATTTTCCTATCGAATACCAATTTTTCTCTAAGTGCACTTCTCTGGCAGCCTCTTTTTCACTCGCTCCCCCGGGCGACTACGTGGAACGTATGCTGAAAAAAGCCTTCATTAGGCCCATAGACGTCACGACAGGACTTTGCTAGGGCCAAAGGCGCGTTATTTATAGTGCGTGTCCTATTAATGCATAATCGACGTCAATCTTGGCATATTAAAGGACTAACGCGGGCTAAGTCGTTTCATATCCTCGGGCTATCTGCCTGATACTCCCTTCTATTCCTCATCCCTCCAGCCCACTGCCTATCTCACCCCTCGTCACGTTTTTTGGCGATTTTAAACCAAAGATAGATGGCCATAGATATTTTTTGGCAGCCACTGGCTACTGGTTGCCTTGAAAATCCTTTTCGGTATGCTTTTCTTTGGTTAATAGACCGAAATGCGTGTCAAATTCGCCAGCGAATTGATGAACTTGGAAAAGGGTCCGCTGCCAACATTAAATGCATTAGCAGAGATAAGGAAAATATTTATGAATTTAATGAGATGGTGCCATAATGATGTTTTGTCATTCTAGAGCTTATTTCTGATTGTACCTGTATGAAAATATTACTATATAAACTCAAAGAGCACTGATAAAGAGGTTGTATTTATTCTAAAGTTCAATCTATACCCCAATTTGGACTTAGATACGTAATAAGACACTTCCTAGAAGGTCATTCCCTTTACTTAGATCTCTTTTTATAGCATACTTTACAGCATTTTCATTAAAACTCAACTAAGCCACTGTTTCCTTTCGTTAAATCCCAGCCAAATTCCTAGTCTGGTCTGAAGGAATTCACCTCGCGGGTCAATTATTTCACTTATTTAGCAGGCTTTAAAATTTCGCCACAAATCCACGCCTTCTCGGAGTCGGATGTTTAATGACCAGGAGACATTGTGACAGCGTTGACAACTCGCTGGGAAATGGTAAATGGCAAAGTGAGTGGGAGGAAAATTCAGAAATTCAGAGATTCAGTGGGCATTAGAGGAAGTAAGTCGCGGGCATAAAAAGCCAAGTTGTAATTTGAGTAATTAAAATTTGACACGATAATCGAATCGCTGGCTAGGGAGTTCTCTACGGAGCAGGAGGCGGCGGCCGCCATGGCATAAAGATAGGACTGGAGCAGGTAGATTCAGATCCTAGCACGACATCGGCGCCAGCCCTTTCACCCAGATTACAACTTGAGCGGCCTTAATGCCCCGCACTTTATGTATATTTGTATATGATTCTTTGTGTGTATATTCCTGCATAGGGCCTGGCAGTCAATGTCAAACCACAGACTATTAAATACACACGCAGGCACGCGAAAGTGCTGAAAAACAAAGCCAGCACAAGCCGAGAGATGAGGATGCTGTACACTGAGAAGAAATACTTTAAGAAGTCCAAATCGATCTATTCAAACCGCCTATTAGCTGTTATTCTTATTAACAGTATGGTATTCCCTTAAAATGGGTTTAAAATCTTTACAAATTTATTCCCTTAGTTTTTCTCGCAGTGCCTTTAAGGCAGCGATGACGATAGCGATGGAGCGCTGGCGATGGCGGCGACGGCAGCTTCCATAATTCGCCTGACGACTCCGGGATTCGTGGGGAGTAAAAGCCATTAAAGTAACAACCAGGCACAGCACGTTTTTACGGCGACAAAAGAAGGTTCCTCAGGATGGCTAAAATCTGGTGGGGTTGGGCCATGGGCATGGGTATGTGTGGGGTTTTCCGACTCAATCGTAAGCGCAGCAGTCAGCGTCATAAACGACGGCGTCGGCATTTAGAAAGCGCAGATATTCCTGTCAAAACGATAAGCGCGCCTTCTTCTTTGGAGTGAAAAGACAACCAGTCAGCCGAAGGGGGATGTTGTGGATCTGGATGTGGCTGAAGCTGTGGCTGTAGCTGTGGATTTGAACGCCTGGCAGCAATCCCGGGCAGCATTTTTATGCGGCATCTTTAAACGCTTTGCGGCATTGTCATTTATGTATCTATTCCAAGAGTCTTTCCTGCATTGGTTAAATGCCTTACGGTAATTTCATTCACTTACGCGCACATAACTTGCAGAACTCACGTATTCCCATTCGGATACGCATTCGCACTTTCACTCCGCTGCCGTTTCTATTTCCCATTTCTCCGTTCCCCCTCCCGGCAGAAGGGGGACAAAAAGTTATGGCCAAGATGCGGGGTTGGCAGATCGGATCCCCTCGTCTTTAGACCAGAAAGGTGCGTAATGACATTCATGTGATAAGCACACGCACACGCCCCCAGGTGAAAGGTGGCAATTGGGAGGGCTGCAGCTAATGAGGCAAATTCCCAAACCCAAACCGAAGCCGAAGGCCCAAAGCCTTGCTGGTTGGCAAATATGTACATAAATCTTTAGCGGGAATAGAAAATAAAATATATAGAAAGCGGTAGCAGTTGGTTGGCCATCGCTTGGCCGCAAGAAATATGGATTGCTGCCTAATCACCTACAGCACCAAGAAGAAATACGAATGGAAATGGGAATGGGAGTGGGAATGGGACAACTCCTAAGTCGCGCAAATCCCAAAATATTTCACAACTTTATCCCCTTAGGTGGGATTTTTGCGGGCAAATAAAAAAAAATAATACAAAAAATAGGAAAAACCAAAAAAACAACGCAGCAAACGAGCATCAGTAGCACGTTAATCAAAATGCTGGCGGGGAGCCGGGGGACAAAACGTCCTGGCCGCCAGATATGGCCATCTTACGGGCTCTGGGATAGGTATCCAGGATATACTTACAGAAGAAGGCATCGGCATCGAAGCCGAAGCGAAAATTTTAATGGCTCAATAAAAATGCCATTTGCGCAGCGCTCTGCTGGCCCGCAGAAAGTTGGCTTTAAAGGCAATCGCTGGGCCAACCTTCGCCAAAACAAAAGCCAAACAAGGCTTAACACATTTCCCCAAAATGTTTATCTAATCAGCGCAAAGTATCCTGACACCTGAGAAGAGCCAGGAACGACAGCGGCACTTGGAAAAATATTTGTTAAGCATTTTTGTAAATATTTTTCTAAAGAATCACAAATTTATGACCGATTTTGTAAGCCAAAACTAAAATGTTCTCAACTAAATTGTATTAAATTATAAAGAAATAGTTCACCTTTTGAACATACTATTAGTTATTGTGTAAAGTGGGTCTAAAACTATGGCCCTTTTAGTAAATAAATTTATAGGGTAAATATTAGCATACTTTTTTCTCACTGCAGGAAAGCCAGGACTCTCGCCAGGAGGCAGCTGTTAGGGCATTAATCTGCAATTGCCGAAGATTTCCGCCTTCCAATCGAATCAAATGTAAATCAGGGGGGGCTGAGAGACAAGTATGGGAAATGGAAAATGGAAAAAGGGGAGGGGAGGCCATTTGCTGGTTTTTCCACTGAACTAGTTGCACATCTCTGTGCCCTCACACGTATTTATTTCTTCTGGGTTTTTCTTTCCAAGGGGGGGCAGGCTGTGCGAGCAGAGGAGGATTTTTTTTCGCCACCCATTTTGTTTGTGGTGCGCTTTATCAAACAGAAAATTTAAAAAACAAATAACAGCCGAGGAAAACATCGGCAACAGTAACAACAAGAACAACAACCAAAGACGGGCTGCCATTAATTTTTTATTGGTTCTCCGAAATCCGATTCATGCCTTCTACAAAGATTTCTCAAACATTTAAAAGTGCGAAAAGATCAAAGCGAATTCCAACTTATTGTTCCCCCGATTTCGCGGCTTAACCAGAGAAGAAATCTATAAATTCTTCTCTGGTAGAGAAGAAAGAAAAGAGAGAGTACGTCTGACTTTTTAGTTCCCTGCCTGATGATGTGGCATATTTGCTTGTAAACATTTGACGAGCTCAGAAAGTCTTCTACTCGACCACCCACACTTTTTTTCCCTGCTGGAAAACTCGGCCATGGAAAATTAAATCAGCAGCTTCTCCTTCGCCTTTCACTGGGGCTACGGTTTTGGTTCCGTTCAAACTGATATTTTGCTGGCTCTGCCAAACCGCATATCAAACTGTCGACCATTTACCATTGGGTCTACAACGAGGTGCGGCCCGTGCCAAGTGGTTTTTGGCTGGCGTTGTTTTCATAACATCCAGAAAACCAAATCCCCCCCTTCCCCACCCCTTTCCTTCCTTACGTTGCACGTACTCCGACAGTACCCTTGTACACATAGTTCCCCTCCTCGCCCATCTCCCATCCCCAAAAACTCGGGCAACTTTTGACGCCACTCTGTCTGCCGCGCCACGCCTTGACGGCCTGCATTCGTATAAAAAATATTCATACGTAGATGCCCTTTTTATTATGCACTCTTCGCCAGCGGGTGCGAACAGTTTTGTGGTGAACTCTGGCATTTCCCACTCTGCTACTTATGGCTTTTCCGTCACGCGGAAAAAACTGATACCAAATGGGGGTCAATACTAAATATTTGGCGCAAAGGTCGCTTGACTCTTCGGGTCTCCTTATTTTCTTAACGGAAATTTATGCTTCTTTCTTGCTGCCCATTAAAATAGCTTTAAGTTAATGTAAAAATACTTAAGAAAATTGGAAAGTTTGTCTTACATTTAATCGTGACTCGTATTATCTTACCCCTTAGCTACTTTTTCCAACCCTTCAAAATGAAAGTTACATCTGATGAAAGTGGATAGAGCTTATCTGTTTAGGCCAAGTTGTGCCACCAAATTGAATCTCCCGTGGGAAGTTAGTTCCAAGCTCTTTGTTCTTAGCCCTTCGATCGCCTGGAGGGTATAGAAACTTCGATGTGGCAACAAGTGCCATCGCATCACTGTTATATCCCCAATTGTGGAAAAGTGGGGGTTTTTCAGTAAAGGGGAAGTTTCTGAAGGGAAAGGGGAGACCAGCTCCGCTTGTTTACACGTGCCTTTGTTGCGTCGCTGCTGACGCGATGCGTGTGTTCCGGACTTCTCACCCTGAATCCCTCACTCCGTACACGGAATAGGGAATACGGAATATGGATGTGGAGTGAGTAGTGCGGTATACAGGGGCACCGCATGAAGTTTTGCCTACTTGTATTTACATACAAACAAGTGCAGCAGCAGCAGCAGCAGCAGCAACAGAGAATTTCCCAACCCAACGCCCCCTTGTTGGCTGACTTTCCCATGAAAAATAAACAAGCGCTTGGCTCCGACAGTCGCCAAGATGTCTGCGACGGGCCATGGATTTTGCTGTTGCTCCGGCTCACCTGGCTGCCCCAAAAGTTGAGGTGGCAGGAGTATGTTGCAGAGGGCACTTAGAAAAATTTGAACAAGATTTCAATGTCAATTGATTAGAACTCACGTTATGACAACTTACCTTAAAGGGTCGGAAGCACTATCTTCCCTTTCCGAGTATCAAATCTAATCTTGAAATCAACGAAGGGGATCTTATGAACTTAAAATGATTGATACTAAGAGATAAGGTTGTTTATAGTGATCTAATTGTATATTATTTATTAAATCAAAGCAGAATCAGTATAAAATAGACAAACTGTAAAGCACAGAAAGTTATTTGCAACCACAATATGGTCAAGACAGTACTCTTTATTTTGGCCTTCCTTGCTTTTGTTGTGGGACTTCGGGCTCTGATATGTCCATCCCAATATACGCAGGTGGGCGAGAAGTGCCTTTACGTTTCCAGAAATAAGGTAAATAGGAAATATTGACTACAAATAGGTATAATATTTATTTATATATTTTATAATCAGGTCAATTGGAACGCGGCTGCTCGTCAATGCAGAAAGCTTGGAGGAAGTCTCTTGGTATTCGATAACGAAGTCGAGGTGATCATCACTACCGCCCACCTCTTGAATGTGGGAGTTTCCTTCAATGACAGTTGGAGATCCTCCGTTTGGGTGGGAATCGATGCTCTGGAAAATGACCACAAATTCATCTTGTCCAAAACTGGCGATGCGATTTTCTACCCATATTGGGCGAAAAATCAACCGAGTTCAAACAAAAATGAAAAGTGCGGTGGTTTCGCCAATTATGGATCGTGGGGCTATTTCAACAATGCCTGCAGTTACAGTGCTTTATTTGTTTGTGAAGCAAGGGGTTACTATCCTTAATTTTCTATATTCTTTACTTCCCAAAACCAACAATTAAAGTAACAAAAATAAAGGAGCAAACTCGAAAACAAATTCACTTTTCCTAGTCCTATTTACAGCAGTTTTCCAAATTTCTCGCACTGCAGAACCTTGGGGAGTTGTCAGGATGTTGCCACTGCCTGTATTTTAATAATGCATCGAAATGAAAGTGGCTGTCAACTGGAGATTTGACAGCTGCTTTATGCCGGCGACAAGGATCGATGATGGAATCGGAATGGAAGGTAATAATGCCCATTGGCATCGTGTCAGGTGCGTAGACAGACTTGCCACAGATTATTTCACTTAACGCCCGTGATAATGTTAATGTGAGATAATTAGATGGTTGTACTAGACGGGGAGTATCTGGGGAATCGGGAAAATCGAGAAACCGCCGGCTCATTAGCACATGGCACTCGAGGAATCCCCCGTGGTAGTCCATACTTACTCATAAATGCCATAGATCTTCACGTCGGGCCACCAGCTGGCCCACTTGATGGCATAAACAGATTGCATGGGGCTCGCTTTGAAGTGCAAATTACCCGCGGGGTCAACCCCAACATATAGCCCAATATCTTAACAACGAGGCCGTGAAAAATGCCACGGAAAATGAGAAAATGGGGCTTTGGTTTCGCTTTTCGGCCGTAATACATCTTGGAAATCTGTTTAATGGGCCGACCGGCCACTTGAGAGGCTTTTTGAAGCTGTTGCTATTTTAATGTGGTCGATATTCTAAATTTAAACAAATAAACAAACATCCCATCCATCCATTGCGCTGCTGTTGAAAGTTTATTGTTTTTAAACCTGTGCAGGAAAACTGTTTGATATTCCTTTTCCCTGGCCGGTTGAGTAGCCGATAATTTGGCACTTAAAACGTGCGAAATTCATTCACATTTCCACTTGATTCATTTTGGCTTTTTGGTCGGGAAGGCAATCAATGTGAGTGCTTGGTTTATGTTTTTCCGAACACATCCGCCCTCTCACCCTCTCGCCCCCTCCCCTCTTCCCTTTCGAGAAAAACTTTTCTTGCGGCTGGAAATCAATATGAGTAATACGAAATAATAATCCATGAGAATCCCGTGGTTTGGGGGCCACTCGAAAGCCAGCCATTTTCGATTTCGATTTGTGTATAGATTTCTCTTTTTGAAGATGCCAAATAGCTGGGAAGGCGAAGTTATCACTCAATTTATAGGTTTTTCAAGTGCAAATGAGGTGCTGTCAGAAGGAAAATACTGCAAATGATTCAGGTTTCAGGTTTATTAAAGTTGAGGAAAACACAGGAAACCTGAAAGCCTTAGATGTCTTTCTATCATTTTTTTTGTTCTAGAACAACAATTTAGTTTATTTATTTTATAAATAAATATAGAAAAGAGAAATCAAATTATAGATAAGATAAATATAAATACTTTTCCCGACTTCTACTTACCTTTTCCATGATTTCAAAGTACAAATCAGCCACTTACCTTTGACTCCTTCAGCCCGGAAAGGAACTCAAGAAACCGCAGAAGTTTGCAAAACACAAATCAATTGCACTTGCCAACAATCTCAATGGCTAAATAAATTATGGTTTTCGCTTACCGCTATCGACTTCAAACCCGCCATTAATTAACACCAAACCCTTTTGGCCAAGGAGCTGAATCGAAACGGTGGCTGGCGATTACTCGAGTGTCCAACACCTGTTACCAACAAATAAGAAGCGAGAAGCCGAAGGAAATTCCCGTCGTCACAGGTCAACAACCAGTTTATTGCTCACGCATTTCATTTCAGGAATCTTCTGGCGTTCCGAAAGTCATCATTATCATCGAGGATGGTGGATAGAGAGGACGGCGGTTGGAGGATGAGGAAGCTGGAGCCACGCAACTAGTGTCAAGAATCGCATAAATTTCCGATTCCGGGACGCTGAGTGTGCCATTTAATGGCCGGCAAAGGTCACGTTCACACCGCCGTAATGGCTAATGGGCAAAGAGAGCGGTCCTGACAATTCAGGTAATGTGGATAATTTGCTGTCAATGATGTGGAACGAAGGGGCGCTGCTCTGCGGTCCTCGCTATTTGTTGTCAAACAACACAGCAACAGTAAGAGCAGTCCCCAGCCCCATCCTCCTAATAGTCCGTGCTGCATTTTACGGCGCCTATAAATAGGTCCTACTAGATGTTAATGCCACCCGATAAACGGGGGGCAGCTCATGGGGCAGGGTATTATGTGGCGGGGCAACAGGGGCACCCCATCGAATTTTGACAAATCACCGCTTGTCGAGCACAGCCACAAATCCACACTGATCGATGATTTGTTGTCTTTGATCTCTGCAGCTAACGAGAGTGTCGAGTGATTAAATCAAAATTTGACAAGGTGTCGACTAACAAGCCGAGCACATTTTTTCTTCAAGTGTGCTTAAAACTTAAGAAACTTACAGTGAAACTTCTTTAAGGAAATATTATATTTAGTTCGATAACTAGAGAGAGATGTCACCAAAGTCGAAAGCTATACATAATACGATTAGAAAATCCAAGAACTCTTCTTCAAAACAGTTTCTTTTTTTAAGTTCCTATATCTCGATGTTTTACTGTATTTTAATGTGTGTCGCAGATAAAAACAGGGAGTTCATGGCATAAATCAAGCGATGACAACGGGAACAACAACATCAGTAGTCACGCACTAAACTATAACTATGCAATTACACACAGCGATTAAGTTGCGGTCGGGAGCGGCAACTAAACAAACAAGATCCGAGGCGTTTTATGGCTTAGTGGGAGCGATATGTCAAAAAGAATAGGAAACCCAAAAGAAAACATTGTTTCAGATCGAAAAACATTAGTATTCAGTATGAGACTAAGACCAAACCTAGCTGAGCCATAAAAAACAATATTTGTTTCCAATACTATTCCCAGCATAGGTCTAAAAATAAGCAAGCCCAGACACCCAGGCCAGCGACATTTACTGAGAGTAAGTCAGAGGATCATAGGCCAGAGGATAACCCATTGTTTTATGACCCATTTTTACCAGCGGTAAGCGATCGTAAAATTTGAATAAATCGGGTGAGAGCGTGAAGAATCCTTTGTGGCATCTTCTCTTCCACACATGCAGATAGATGTGGGCTGCTGCCCTGCTGCAACTTCAATTGCTTTGGTATTTGGTATTTTCGATTTGCGCTCAATGTTTTTATTTCTTTCAAATGATCTCTGCTTTCTACTTGAGAACGAAACGATCGTAAAAATCGATCGTAGTCCTGTTTGAAATGTATACACAATTATTTTACGACCTTTTAAGATATAGACCAAGACTTTGGTTGCTTTGGGAAAATTGCGTACTTGACTGCACAGTTTACTCTTGCTTTCTTTCGCTCGGAAAAGTCGTAAAAATCGGAAGGGAAATTCAACCAGATAGCAATGTCAAGGGACTAGATAAAGCACCATTCTGGCATTATCTTTCCCAGCTGTTATCCGGCCTGATGTCTAAGAGAAGTGCTTCTTGGAACTGTTTTATTTTAATAATGTTTACAAATCAATTGAAGGGAGTAGTAGTACTACTAGTATATGACTGAAATTCCTAAAAAGGCTTTTCAAAACCTTATTTTTTAAAACAATACCAAAAAATATGCAATACTAATAAGTTAGTGTTCATTAGTGGTAAACTTTAAGTACATATGAAAGGTAAGTCAACATTAATTTAAAATAATATATAAGAAACGATGAACTTTTACATTTTAAGCTTACTAGACTAAAAACTTATTCAAAATTACATTTTAAAGAGCTGAAATTAATGTGTAAACTTTGCTCGCTTTTCATTTGTTGAAAAATCAAATTTACATATTATTCAAAACACATTGGGAACTCTCACACAACCACTCACACACACACATGAAGAAAAGATCTTGGCTCCGCCCAACTCGGAAAATACAGACAAATGAGAACCTCATATCGCGTTGAGCACATGGACACAAATAAACATGGAAAGAGTGGAGAAAACATATTTGTAAGCAACGCCCCCTCAAAAGAACCGATCTGGAGATCAGCTATGCAATGGGGTATCTACAAATATACTAAAAAAAATCAAGAATATTTAAGAAATAATAATAGAATTAATTAGAGGTTATACTGTTTAGTAGTTAGAACTACATATGAAGGATAAAAACTAAAAATAATATTTAAGTATTATGATAAACATATTTAATATAAATAAGAACTAAATTTTTGAAAACTTTTCAATTATTTACTAAAATCAATCCTTATATTTTATGGATTTCCCAAGGAAAAATGATTTTTCTCTCTCTGAGAAGTCAAACATGTGTGAATCTTTTCGGTGAGGGTGTTTGTATATCTCTATATTTATAGACCAATACGCTGCTCTCCCCAAAAACACATACGCATGAGTACTGGATGAGGCATTACAAGTGATCTGCGTATCCGAGTCCATTCATTAGTCGATCGGACTTCTTGGCTGACGCAACGAATAGTCAAATAGTCGCGCACATACCACCCATAACTTCAGATTTTATATCTTTCCGGGAAACAGAACAAAGATCCTGTAAAATCGAACGAAAATTAAGTGAAGTGTTTTTGAAATCAGGTTTTTCCAAAAAAACAACTAAGTGAAACAAATCGTATAAAAATAAAATTTAAAAAGTTAAAGAATAGCAAGAAATAAAGTTACAAAAATGTTACCATCTTGCTATGCCAATGGAACTGGCCTGCCGGATAACGAGGAGCTTGTCAATTCTCTGCTTGCCAACCCGGAATACCTTCGAGCCCAAATCTCCCCCAATCCACTGGGACCAAGTCCCGTCGGCGGTGTGGGAATGGAGGGTCTAATGTGCGGATCGTTTTCTCCAGCTTTTTACTACCAAGGAATCGATAACTTTCTCGCTCTGCATAACAATATCTGGGGTTTGCCCATTTCCTTCCTGCATAACTCCCATCGACCGGAAAAGCCACCATTTTCCTACATAGCCCTTATTGCCATGGCTATAAGCAGTGCTCCCAACCAGCGGCTAACTCTCAGTGGAATCTACAAGTTTATAATGGACAAGTAAGTTATGTTTAACCTGCTTTAATTTTAATTTTTTAGCTTGAAATATGAAATGACATTAAACAGGACACTCCACAATTCATTTGTGGTTTTAATTTTAAAACACTTTGTCTTTTAAAATTCCCTTAAACTCAAGTTTGTAAAAGTTTCGACATTTATTTTGTTGTTTTCCTTACAAAAAATGTTTTTCTATGACGAAAATCAAGAGAAATTTAGATGACATTCTTGGCTAAATCAAATGCCAAAATAAACAATCGGACATTCCGAGTATGTATAGAAGCTGAAGAAGTTTTTATCCCGAGACGCATTTCAAAACAGTTGTCGAGACATTTGCCAAAACTGGGATTAAGTCGATGAAATACTGAACGTAAATTTATTTTTTAAATGGTAAAAATATATAAATATCACAAGGATTACTTGGTCATATATTTATTCCATAAGAAATGATTTCATTTTTTGAATTCAATTTATTGGTCATAATTTCTGTGCTTCTCTTGTATGTTACAAATATTTCTGCTTTTCCTATATAAACAGAATTTTTTAAAAATGGCGGTGGAACATAATTAAAAAAGAAACACAAGAACAATGACTTCATGTATTTGTAAACTAAATATTTCCGATTTCTTTATCAACATAAACAAATATTATCTTTATTGCTTTTCCAAATCGCTTGGTTTAAACAAACTTAATGGAAAATATAGATATTGGCTAATAAGCTGTGTATCAACAAAAAAAATGTTTTGAATTGTAAAATGATTTGTATACAAAAATATATATACATGAAAATGTGTAGAATTTCAAAGTCAATATTTATATATTATGTACAAATAAATATATTTCCCAGTTGTAGAAATAATATTTACAGACTCATTGGTAAAACTATAAACCATTTCCGTTTGCTTATACTGTATATATTTTAGTTTTACTTGAATGGGTGTTTTGAATAAAACAAATTGAAATTATATTTTAAAATCTTGACTTTCTTTTTTCGATTTTTAGATTTCCTTATTATAGGGAAAACAAGCAGGGCTGGCAGAACTCAATTCGACATAATTTGTCTCTGAACGACTGTTTCGTGAAGGTTCCGCGGGATAAAAACACCATCGAGGATAACGACAGTGCTGGCAAGGGCAGTTATTGGATGCTGGACTCCTCGGCATCGGATATGTTTGAGCAGGGAAACTACCGACGAAGAAGGACCCGCAGACAAAGGCATTGCAGTAACTCAAATCGCTACGAAAGGGAAATAGGAAAGGTACAATATATAATAACTAATTTTTAAACATTTAAATATAATAATAAAAACTTATTTTAATTTAAGGACTCCAACGAAGCCAACAGCAGTGCAGCTGAGATCCGTTCATCCAGCGAACAGCTGAATGATTTCGATATTTTCTGCAACGAAAGACCCAACTACTCAGATAGGATTACAGATCTGCACAGGCAGTATCTGTCCGTATCTCTGGGATTCAACAGTCTGTTCAACAATGAGGCCAGAGGCATTCGAGCTCTGCCCACTTCTTCGCTCTCCGAGATCAGGGAATCCTCAGAAGATATGGATGCCTCCTGCAGTTCCAGCAAAACTGTTCAAAATGCAATGGAACTGCATGAGGAATTACATTCCCCGAGTGCCTTTACTCCTCCCCTTAATCGGCGGGAAACCACTTCTTCAGGTGTGCCAATGCTTGGTGATTCGTTTCAAGGACTTAAGGATCTGGTGGGGGTATCAGACAGTAGTCCTGCCAGCAACTCAGCCACAGCGACCAACAAATCAAAGACTACCCTATTCACCATCGACAATATCATTGGCAAGCCTTAAGATAATCAGCCTTTAGCATTTTAATATAGTTAATAGTTTGTTCTAAATACAAAACAGTGATTTATAATGAAATTAAAGTAAATTCATTATGGAATTACACAAATTGGAAGGTATTATTTTTTAAATTGACTGGAAAAACTTTTCTGATGTCGTATGATCTAACCAAGTACTCTATAAAATGGTTGTCAAAATTATTAGAAATTTAAAAAACGTTCTCACAGAAAAACTTTAAAAATATATTATGGAATTCTTTAACGACTGCATTGCAGTTGGTGTAGATTTAATACTGCTAGGGTTTTGTGTCCATGAATTTGTACGCAGCAAACGAGCCACCCAAGCTCTAAAGGTGCGTATACTTAATATCTGGTATAGGTTTTACTATTAGGATTTTTAGGCAGCAAAGCAATATAAAATAGATGACACGCTGAAATCACTTGTGGAAAAGCAACCTGGGAAGAAGATCTCCTATGCCTTAATTCGCGGAGTAGTAACACCCATTGGTGTTCCCCTTGAGAGTTCCCTGGTGCCCAGGGTAAATGGAGTCCTACAGATTATAAGGCTTTATGAGCACAAGATAGCCAAGGGAATCTCTGGTTTCTGGCAGCAGAAGCACCAATTACTCCAAGAGTCCGCCAACGAAATGCCTTTTGAGTTGCGTAACCAAGAACATAGTGTGCAGATTGTGGACGCTTTAAAGGCATCAATTTTGGATGTGGACACGGTCTATGACAACTTCGAACCCTCCTCCCTTTCGATTTTTGATTATATATGCGGTTTCTTTTCTGGAGTCCGCCAAAAGGGGTTACAAACCACCGAGGAGGTTTTGAAAGAAGGAAGCTTCCTAACCGCCATCGGAGAATTAAAGTTGGATGGTGACACTCTGCGCATGCAGACATCCCAAGAGGGGCCTCTGGTCCTTACCACCGCCTCAAAATCCATGCTTATCAAGAGATTGGAAGATGCCCATAGATCTCTTATGTGGGTAGTTTAAGAAGGCGTTTAGATATTTTACCTATGAAACTTTTTTAGCTTCAAGCTGGTCGTTTGCAGTGCGATTTCCTTAGTCCTGGTTGCTTTTGTTGCAAGGAAGATTTACAGGCGGAGTAAACGAAAGATGGAGGAAGCCAGCATACACAACCGCCTGGAGACGCAACGCAAGAGGGATCCATCTGTTCATTTACCGCAGGATCAGCTCTGCGTGGTGTGCGCCTCAAATCCAAAAGAGGTGATTTTATATCCTTTAATATAGGTATATAAATATTATTTGTTTTTCGCTTCAGATAATCCTCTTTCCCTGTGGTCACGTCTGTCTCTGCGAGGGCTGCGCTCAGAAAATCAGCATCTCCTGCCCTGTTTGTCGTTGTAAAATCGCCTCCAAGGCAGCCGCCTTTATCGGCTAAACTTCAACGCTAATCACTATATATATATTTTAAATGATTTTATTTATTAAAAGATTAAATATTCAATAAATTCATCAATTTATAATTGGATTGGATTTACCTCCTTTAGCTTTTTACTTTTGGCGGTAAAGTGTTACCGCACTCCATACAGAATGTATGACATCACATAACATGAACTAGTTCCGTTTACAACAACCACGAATTGTCTCAAAAACCCGTTGAAACGGCTCAAACGTGCAAACAAAAACACAGCAACACTAAAAATAGCATATGTTTCTATAGAGTAAAATAAAACCAAAATAACAACAAAATATGGAATTTCTACACGAGTCTATTGCTCTGGGCGTAGATTTATTAATACTAGGTCTATGTGCGAGGGAATATGTGACCTACAAACGCACTGCCAAGGTGCTGAAGGTGCGTATACTTAATCATCCTATGGGTTATGTCTAATGAATGAGTTATTTTGCAGGCGGCACCGCAATATAGCATCGACGGGGATCTGAAATCAGTGGTGGAGCGGCAGCACGACAAGAAGATACCATATGTGGTAATCCGAGGAACCGTTACACCTATTGGGGTGCCCTTGAGGAGTTCCCTGGTTCCCAGCGTTAGTGGAGTCCTGCAAATAGTGAAGCTACATGAGCACAGAATCACCAGGGGATTCGCCGGCTTCTGGACGGAGCACCATAAGTTGATTCATGAGTCTGCGAACGAAATGCCTTTTGAGTTGCGTAACCAGCAACATGGTGTGGAGATTGTGGACGCTCTGAGTGCAGCTGTTTTGGATGTGGACATGGTCTATGACAACTATGAGCCCTCCACTCTGTCCTTCTTTGACCATGTGTTTGGTTTCTTCTCTGGCGTTCGACAGAGGGGATTGCAAACCACGGAAGAGGTTTTGAGGGAAGGCAGCTTCTTAACCGCTATTGGCGAACTTGAATTGGATGGCAATACTCTGCGTATGCAGCCTTCCAAAGAAGGACCACTCTTTCTGACCACCGCCACAAAATCCACTCTCATCAAGCGGTTCGAAGATGCCAAGGCAGCCACGATGTGGGTAATTCTTTTTCCATGTATAAACTGTCTTAATAGCAATACTTTGCAGACTTAAGCTGGTTGTGTGTGGCACCATCTCCGTCATCCTGATAGGATTTATTGCCAAGAAAATCTACCGAAGAAGAAAACAGGAACGGGAGGAGGCCAAAATTCGCGATCGTCTGGATACGGAGCGCCGGGAACGGCGGGCGAGAAATCGCCCTCACACTCTATCCCAGGATCAGCTCTGCGTTGTGTGCTCTACGAATCCCAAAGAGGTAATATTAGTTTTAGGTAATTTAATGTTATTTTACATTACATTAACTATGAACTTTACGATGGGTTTCCCATCTTTAGAAAATATTCAGAGTGTTTTGGCCAATTATGTAACTTAACGTTAACCTACAAGCAAATAATTTCACCGAATCTTTTTGATTTTGTAGTTAATCACCTTGAGTTTATCAATCCTTAATAACCAAATACTTTTCTTCTAGATTATCTTACTGCCCTGTGGTCATGTCTGCCTCTGCGAGGATTGCGCTCAGAAAATCTCCAACTCCTGCCCTGTGTGTCGTGGTAGTATCGCCTCCAAGGCAGCCGCCTTCATCGCCTAAAAACCAAAAGGAATGCCAACAAGATCACCTTGTACCTGTGCGCCAACTCCTTATTTTGTTACAATGCTCATGTACGGCATTTATTTTAAAATTATTTAAAGTCTTGACAACGAAAAGTTAAACTTATTTAGTGTCTCCCTGCATAATGCGCCTGTACTGGCGTTGGTTCTCCAGTAGCTGTAGGAACACCTTGTACTTGCGGTTGTGAAACTCTAAGGTATCCGGGTTTGGCTTCACAAGCTGGCCAGTGCCACCCATGGCTTTGGAGGCACTCTAAAACACAACAAGTAGTTATTAAACCAGCTAGATCGTAGGTTATATCATATATGTTAAGCTTACCTCCAAGCTGTCAAAGTGACCCGAAGCAGCGGCCCCCAAGGCAGCTGCCCCCACCAGAACCATTTCCTGTTCATCTGGAATCAATGAAGGCAGATTGCATATATCCGCATGGCATTGCACATACAAAGGATTCTTGGCCAGTCCTCCACAGAAGAGGAGCGTTTGGAAGGGTGCTCTTTCGTATTGATAAAGGTTCTCAATAATGTGACGAGTGCCGTACTAAAATAAATAAAAGAAACTATTTAAGTGCTAATTTTAATGCTTTAACATTCAGGAAGCAACTTACAGCCAGAGCTTGAACAAACGCCAAGTATTTGATGGCCAGAGATTCAGTTCCTCGCGTCATATCTAGACCAGTGATCTAAAACACATTACTTTTAGGATTGGTTATGATCAGAAACATTGCAAGTGACCACTTACCACTCCTCGCAGCGTCGGATCAGCGATAGGCGAACGATTACCATGCAAATCCGGCCAGACATGGATATCCTGGGTGAGACAGCTGATCTGGCTGAGTCCTCGAGCAGCTGCCAATTCCGGTAGCAACTTATTAAGATGCTGGTAGATAAACTTATCCTCACCCAATTCAGCTTTCAGTTCAGCATAGGATTCATGTGACTTAATTACATGATCCAGGAGATGACCCGCAATGCTTTGGCCACCCTCGTTTAGGAAATAACCGGGTATAATGGCATCTTGGTAGGGACCCCAAACGCCTTGGGCAAAACAGGCCTTCCGAGTGATGCTCATATGGCAGGTGGATGTTCCGGCAATCAGTGCCATCTTTCCCTGGACATCGTCATCACCCTTGGATTCCTTCGAACGGCAGCCAAACATTCCCAAGGCACCAGCATGGGCATCGATAAGAGAAGTGCTGACCACAATGCCTGCGGATAAGCCCAATTCTCCGGCAGCTTTAGTAGTAAGGCCTTTTCCAACTTTTCTGCCTGGAGGCTGGACATCACTGCCCAGTTTCTCGAAGTTATTGCGGGTAAGCTCCTCCAGGTCCGCCTGCTTGAGGAACTCCTCGTTCCAACTCTCATTCGCGGCATCGTAGTTCCACTTGCAAACCACGGAGCACAGTGAACGGGTATCCACACCAGTTGCTCGCCAAGTCAGGAAGTCGGGCAGATCAAATACCCTCCAGATATTACCAAAGGTCTTCGAAAGGTTTCTCTTTAGCCACAGCAATTTTGGCACCTCCATCTCAAGTGAAACCTGACCACCGACATATTTCAGCAGCGGATTCTTAAAAGCATTGATCTCCTGGGTTTCCTGCTCGGCACGATGGTCCATCCAGAGGATTACGTTCTGCTCCGCCTCTCCGGACTTGCTCACAGTCAGCGGTGATCCTTGCGGACCCAGAACTACCAAGGAACAAGTGGCATCGAAGCCAATGCCCTTGACTTCTGACTTATCGACGCCAGCGATGACTTTCTGTAAATTAGCACTGGGTTAATCTAATCATTGCGAGAAACGTCGCCGAACGACAGAGGTTATCGCACAGACCATAAAATAAGATCAGTTGTGTTTCATGTTTATAGATCTAAATTGTAGTTTTCATGATTTTCGTTATCCTCGGAACTTTGTTAATTAAAAAATGTAATTAAACGATAATATATATAATTTTTATTTTAAAATTCAAAACCTTCATTCTTTAAATAAGATAAATCAATAACTAAATCTCTAATTTACTATTTATGTCATCATGTTAAGATCAGTTATTTTAGTCATAAAAATAACACGGAAATGATCTGCTTTTTATGTTCAGTGTCTCAAGGACTTACCTTTACCACCTGGCAGATGGATTGCCATATATTATCGGATGATTGGTTGTAGTAGTCCGGCTCGGGGTTCCAGGTTTTGATCGCTTGCACCGACTGCTCAAGGACACGCCCATCGGATGTCACCAGGGCCGCTCTTGCACTGCCCGTGCCCACATCCACGCCCACAAAGTACGGTCCTGATGCCATTCCCAAGTCGCAGCCGCCGTCACAGACGCCTCTAATCTACCTTGGCGGTCAAATAAATGTTATTGACTCAATGCAAAAAACCTAAACGCGAAGCGAAGTCGTCGAGCGTCGGACGCGGACTGATAAGCAACCTGATATGCGACCGCCCAGCAGGCCCAGAATTGGTGTAAATTAACCGAAGTACCGGTTTGTAAAGATCTCACTAGATTTCTTATGAGTTCATTCATTACGGCTTTGCTGATTTTGACTCACTCTTATAAAAACTGAAATTTTAATACTTAATAATACTTTTTATATACATTTTTCTGGATTAAGTTGTATTTCTTTACTCTCGATAGGGTTTCAAAAGTTCTAAATAAAGAAGCTACATGTTGAAGCATACATTTAAAATTGATAAGCTTTTTTCAATCTCCCACATATTGTTGTTTTTTTTGTCTACTTTTTAACTTTTTGATTAATTTATTACACATTTTCTTTGATTAGATTTGTCATTTTTATTTATTCTTTTAAGTTGAAAAATATTTTTCGCACAGACATGTAACGATCTGAAGACGCACAATTAGTGTGAATTAACTTAATTAACAGCTTGTTAAGACCATTTTTAGGAGTTCAACTAATTGTTAATATGCGCGGGAAAGTTATAAGAAGTTTTATCTTTGTAAGACTTTGATGGTTATACTGGGTAAGTGGTAAAGATATAATTCCAGTTTGATACCGCCTTATCAAAATTTATTTGATCAAGTTTTTTATTTTTAAACAGGCTGTCACATACAAAAGTACATACATATGTATTTGAATTTCAAACCAAAACATTTACCATAACTTTAGTTTTTCGGAAGATCACTTTTTTGTTGACCAAAAATTTGCTGCATATTAAGCTGAGTAGCATTTGAATATTAATAGGAATTTCGTGTATGGAAACTGGACAATAGAAAGCACGCACACTTGATTGTTCAGAAAAAGCTATCACTTAGTAGAAGGGAATGCACACCTGATTGTTTTCAATAAACAAATTTTTTGCTTTGCATATGCGCAGGTTGTTTATCAGCTGAAAAAAACAGAAACACACCAGCAAAAGTGTTTGCTTTTGTTTTATTCCGTCACCTGGCGTAGAACCAGTCGCAACGAGCTGCTCTCAGTGACTGCTCCAAAGCCCTCAGAGTGATTCCAATCAACTTCAGTTCGTTTTCAATATTCACATTTAACAGTAGTTGTCTCTTAACTGCGAATATATATCAAATTATACATTTCTGATATACCAGTGTAAAAGCACACTATGTTTCCATAAAAAATAATGAAAATAATTTATATCTTGCAAATACGTTTTATCACAAAATAAAATGTAAATCAAGGTTATTTTTTGAAGGTCGCTTACAAATATGTTGCCCCTGATAACGCTACTCGGAAGTAAAACATTTTAAAAATGTGTTGGTAAACGAGATTTATAGATAGGCGAAGGTATTATCTAGACCAGCCCACACTACTTCAATAGCAATATCAATCAATATTCAATAAACATCGAAGATAAGCTAGGAATTTACTACGGTTTGTTTACTATAAATTAAGTGTTAACTAAAAATATTTTGCGGTAGGAGCCTAAAACTGTTTTAATGTTGGAATATACATTTTTAATGGACTATTTTAAAGCCATACCTTATGCTAGTAAGATATAAGCAAGCAGTCAAAGCTTAGAAAGAAATCAATGCTTCAGTATAATATACAGCCTAAAAGTAGGCTTTGCAAAATTGAAAAGTTCATGGGATTCATGAAGCTACACAACACCTTGGTACTTCTTCTTCACTTTGACCCTTACTAATCCCTTTTAACCCAGACCTATCTCATAATTGTTGTTTACCTTTTTTGGACCAGCTTAGTCTAAAACCTGTAATTAGTGGCACTTCAGCCGGTCACCACAGTGCTGGCTAAACCATTGTGGTGGTTCAACTCCGCCCATGACAAGCTTTGGACCTATTCAAATTTCGCAATTCGTGTCAGTGCAAAAAGAACCACCGCCATGAAAGGACCCACTTTAAATTTTCGCAAAACTCCCAGTAAGGATAGTGGCCCTAAGCCATCGGAGAGTTTGCCTAAGCCGGAAACGCCACCTCCAAAGTTTGTGGAGAATTCGAGTCTGGAATTTAATTTGCTGGCCAGCGAGAAGTTGCCTAACTATGCCAGCTTGGATCTCTTTCATAGTGCCGTGTATCCATGTAGGTAATGATAAATATACTTCCTGCTTTTAAAATATGTTTCTCTATTCATAGTTATGCTTTTGGCACAATGTTTCGCTATAATGCCTTTGGTGGGCATCCGGGAATCGAATCCACGACGGGTCCGTTTTTCCTATAAATCACTACCCATGGTTGTTACCCTGGTCTTCATGGCAGCCACATCCATATTGTTTTTAAGCACACTCAGTCATCTGCTCCAAATAGGCATTACTGCTAAGAATTTTGGTAAGATCTGTTTATATATATTAAAGATATTTAATAGAGATAGTCTTCTTTCCAGTGGGACTCGTATTCTTTGGCTGTGTATTAACTGGATACGTGGTGTTCATTCGCCTGGCTAAGAAATGGCCAGTACTCATAAGATATTGGACCAGAACGGAGATGGTATTCACCAAGCCACCTTATGAAATACCCAAATGGAATCTTTCGCGTCGAGTGCAGTTGGCTGCCTTGGCTATAATTGGCTTGTCAATGGGTAAGACTTTGATTATATTTTGATGATATACTAACTTTTAACACCTCCTAATGTTTAGGGGAACATGCTCTATATCAGCTTTCGGCTGTACTAAGTTATACGCGTCGTATTCAGATGTGCGCCAATATAACGACTGTGGCCAGCTTTGATAATTACATGCAACGGAACTATGACTATGTGTTTCAGCTACTGCCTTACAGTCCTGTCATAGCTGCTCTTGTGTTGGTAGGTTCATGATTTCATAAAAAAAATCTAGAAGATTTTTGAGAATATATATCTTTAGTTAATCAACGGAGCCTGTACTTTCGTTTGGAACTACATGGACCTTTTTATTATGATGATCAGCAAAGGTTTGTCTTATAGATTCGAGCAAATAACTGCCCGCATTCGCAAACTGGAGCATGACGAGGTCTGTGAATCGGTATTTATCCAAATCCGGGAGCACTACGTCAAGATGTGCGAGTTACTAGAGTTTGTGGATAGTGTCATGTCCAGTCTAATATTGCTGTCATGTGTTAACAACCTGTACTTTGTTTGCTATCAGCTGTTGAATGTTTTCAAGTGAGTTTGCTTTTTACATTACATTAACTTCTTTTATTTATAATAAATTTCTAATAATTCCTAGCAAACTGCGTTGGCCCATCAACTACATCTACTTCTGGTATTCCCTACTATATCTTATTGGACGCACCGCATTTGTGTTTCTCACAGCAGCGGAAATTAATGAGGAATCCAAGCGAGGACTAGGAATTCTGAGAAGGGTTTCCAGTCGCAGTTGGTGCGTGGAGGTGGAGCGCCTGATATTCCAGATGACAACCCAGACGGTTGCCCTTTCTGGAAAAAAGTTCTACTTCCTTACACGTCGTCTGCTCTTTGGAGTGAGTAACCCATTGGGCAGGAAAAGCTAAGTTATGTTCACACCTCTGGATTTATTCTACCCCTTAGATGGCTGGAACGATTGTAACCTATGAACTGGTCCTCTTACAATTCGATGAACCCAATCGACGCAAAGGACTGTCGCCCTTGTGTGCCTGATGAACACAAGCCATAACACCCTTCATCCCACTCCCTGGCCATTTGTCATGTCAGGTGAATGTGACAGGCGCCGCAATTAGTTGTAAATCGTTTAAAACCGCCACGCCCCCTCGGTTATATCGGGGGCACTTCGCACGCCAGATTGGCAAGTTAGTACAAGTGGTTAGTGCTAGTTTGGCCATGCCGCAGGGCGAGACATTCCATCGGGCGGTCTCGAAAGGTGTGCGATTATTATTATCACTTTGTTATTAAAATATTTATACTACTCTCTCGCAGTTCTTTTCATTTCACAAATCTATGGCCTGTTTCCGGTTAGCAACATCCGTGCTTTGGATGTAAAGGACATCCGGTTTCGTTGGCTTTCGCCTCGGATATTTTACTCTTGTCTTATTTTGATCTTAAATTTTTGTGAATTCGGAGCCGTCATCAATTATGTCATTAAGGTCACCATTAACTTTCATACGTCCAGCACCCTTTCCCTGTATATTGTCTGTCTTCTGGAGCATCTTTTCTTCTGGAGACTTGCCATTCAATGGCCCACGATTATACGCACCTGGCATGGAGTGGAACAGCTCTTTTTAAGGGTTCCTTATCGGTTTTACGGGGAATACAGGATGAAGAAGCGGATCTATATTGTGTTTGGGATAGTCATGTCGTCGGCTTTGGGTGAGTTAAGAATACTATTATGGAAGAAGGATGTTTTTCCCTATTGTATAAATATTCTTTTCAGTGGAACACTGTCTCCTCCTGCTCAACTCGTTCCATCTTAGCAATATGGAACGCACACAGTGCAAGATCAACGTTACCTATTTCGAGAGCATTTACAAGTGGGAGCGTCCTCATCTTTACATGATCCTTCCCTATCACTTTTGGATGCTCCCCATCTTTGAGGTGTTTTAATCTAAAAGTTTTTAATTATAATACTTAACTATTAAACTATTCTTCCCAGTGGGTTAATCAGACAATAGCCTATCCCCGATCTTTCACCGACTGCTTTATCATGTGCATTGGAATTGGATTGGCCGCCAGGTTTCATCAGCTGTATAGACGGATTGCTGCTGTTCATAGAAAAGTAATGCCAGCGGTGTTTTGGACAGAAGTTAGGGAGCACTATCTAGCCTTAAAGCGGCTTGTGCATCTTCTGGATGCTGCAATTGCTCCTCTGGTGCTTCTGGCCTTTGGCAATAACATGTCCTTCATTTGCTTTCAGTTGTTTAATAGCTTCAAGTAAGTTGACTAATTTTTTGCCATATTTGATTTAAATATTATGTATTTACTACAGAAATATAGGAGTAGACTTTATTGTGATGTTGGCTTTTTGGTACTCCTTAGGCTTCGCCGTGGTCCGCACATTACTCACTATTTTTGTCGCCTCTTCAATAAACGATTACGAAAAGAAGATTGTCACAGCTTTGCGCGATGTGCCCTCCAGAGCTTGGTCTATAGAAGTAAGAATATCTTTAACTTAGATCCATAAATAGAATATCTTTATCTGCAGGTTCAGCGCTTTAGTGAGCAGTTGGGAAACGATATGACAGCTCTCTCTGGCAGCGGATTCTTCTACCTCACCCGCTCACTCGTCCTGGCTGTAAGTTAAAGTTCATAAAGTGTAACATTTTATATATATAAACTTTTCTAGATGGGCACCACAATTATCACCTATGAGCTCATGATATCGGATGTCATCAACCAAGGTTCCATCAGGCAAAAGACTCAATACTGCAGGGAATATTAGATCCCGGAATTTAGCACTCGATACCACCAATTCAAGAGCACATTTAGCCATAAGTGTCACGCCCACGCACCTGCACCGAATTCGCATTAGCGAGATCCTAATCTTCAAATAGATGGCCAACGCCCCCTTGTTCATGTCGTGTCCTTAGGACTAAAAGGACATTTGCTGTCCAACAGCCAAGCCATGAAGCAGTCTGGTCAAAGAGGCACCAGAAACACGCTCCAGCACGGAATTGGTCCGAGTGAGTGGGATTGGGAACAGGATTCCTTTGATAACCTAAATATCTTTCAGTTCTGGTTATAGCTCAGTTTTTTGGGGTGCTACCAGTTTCGGGCATCTGGCCAAGTTCTCGACCGGAAAAGGTACACTTTCGCTGGATTTCTTTTTCACTACTTGCTGCTCTCGTTCTGTTCAGTTTCTCCATTGTGGACTGCGTGCTATCCTCCAAAGTGGTGTTTGATCATGGACTGAAAATCTATACAATAGGTGGGTCCTGAGATTACAAAACCATATTCCATTATTATTATAATAAAAGTTCAAAAAATGTGTAATAAAAAGTAATTTTCCAGGATCCCTCAGCTTCAGTGTGATCTGCATTTTCTGTTTTGGAGTCTTCTTACTGTTATCTCGCCGTTGGCCCTATATCATCCGGCGGACGGCAGAGTGTGAGCAGATCTTTCTGGAACCCACTTATGATTGTAAATATGGACGTCGCTACTCGAGACGCCTTCGCCTTTGGGGTGTTTGCCTTCTGGTGGCAGCTCTGTGTGAGCATTCCACCTATGTGGGCAGTGCCCTGTATAACAATCATCTGGCCATTGTGGAATGCAAATTGAAGGCAGACTTTTGGCAAAACTATTTCCAGAGGGAGAGGCAGCAAGTTTTCCTTGTTATGCACTTCACAGCATGGTGGATACCCTTCATCGAATGGACCACACTGTCCATGACCTTTGTGTGGAACTTTGTGGACATCTTTCTGATCCTCATTTGTCGCGGCATGCAAATGCGATTCCAGCAGATGCACTGGCGCATTCGTCAGCATGTAAAGCAACAAATGCCTAATGAATTCTGGCAAAAAATTCGCTGCGATCTTTTGGATCTGAGTGATCTTCTGGGTATCTACGACAAGGAGTTATCCGGGTTGATTGTTCTCTCCTGTGCCCACAACATGTACTTTATATGTGTGCAGATTTATCATAGCTTTCAGTGAGTGTAGTTATCATTACTGATAATATATATTTATATATAATTATTCAGATCCAAGGGAAACTATGCTGATGAGTTATATTTCTGGTTTTGCCTGTCCTATGTCATCATTCGAGTTCTAAACATGATGTTCGCTGCATCTTCTATTCCCCAAGAAGCCAGGGAGATATCCTATACCCTTTACGAAATACCCACGGAGTTTTGGTGCGTGGAGCTTAGACGGCTGAATGAGATTTTCCTTTCAGACCATTTTGCTCTCAGTGGCAAGGGATACTTTCTGCTAACCAGACGTTTAATATTTGCAGTAAGTTGGAAAAAATCATATTTTATTAATTTTTTATCAATTATTCTATCCATTACAGATGGCAGCCACCTTGATGGTCTATGAACTGGTGTTGATCAACCAAATGGCTGGATCTGAAGTCCAGAAAAGCTTCTGCGAGGGCGGCGTTGGCTCCTCCAAGAGCATATTTTCCTAGTTCCAGTTTAAATAGTTTTTATTATCTGCACTTTCTGTCTATATAAAATGGCACCTAATCAATCGCACCTGTCAGATGTTATCTATCAATACAATGCGTGTCTGAAATGTTTTGTCGCAAATGTCTCAATTATCATGTCCAAGTGGAAGAGCCACTTGTCTGTCCATGGACTTCAAATGGAGCGGTCTGTGCAGGAGAATACCCTGCATTATGCTATTGGCAATGGTGAGTTGTGGCCTTGAACTGGTCAGATCTATCAGTTTGCCTTTTTTAGTTCTACTCGTAGCTCGGATATTCGGCGTACTTCCCCTTTCCGGCATTGGGCCAACTAACAAGCCAGAAAATGTTCGCTTTCGCTGGTTTTCCCCGATTATTTTGTTATTCCTGGTAGTATTCACATTTGTAGTTGGTGATTTCTTGCTCTCAGCTAAGATGGTGTCCAACAATGGGCTTAAGATCTACACAATAGGTAAGATATTTCGATATTTTAAAGTTTTGAAAAGATTTTAAGCCACTTCACTTAACCATAGGCTCCCTGACTTTTAGTGTGATTTGTATATTTTGTTTTGGCACCTTTATAAATCTTGCTCGTCGTTGGCCCTATATCATCCGTCAGACAGCGCTATGTGAGCGGATCTTCCTGAAACCCTGCTATGGTAGTCATCAAGGACTAAATTTCAGTAAATTCCTTCGAAGTTGGGCATTGATTCTTCTGTTGTCGGCATTGTGCGAACACCTCACCTACGTCGGCAGTGCCGTTTGGAGCAACTATGAGCAGATTCGGGATTGCAATCTGAAAGTGGGTTTTGTAGAAAACTATTTTCTGAGAGAGCGCCAGGAGTTATTCTCAGTGTTTGATTACCAAATGTGGATTGTGTTCTTCATTGAATGGAGCACGGTCTCAATGACCTTTGTCTGGAACTTTGGAGACATATTTCTTATTCTCATGTGCCGAGGATTGAAGATTCGTTTTCAACAACTCCATTGGCGGATTCGCCAAAATCAAGGAAAGTCCATGACCAAAGAGTTTTGGCAGGAAATACGTTCGGACTTTTTGGATCTGGATAATCTTTTGAAACTCTATGACAAGGAGCTGTCTGGCTTGATTTTGGTCTGTTGTGCCCACAACATGTACTTCATATGTGTCCAGATCTACCATAGTTTTCAGTAAGTAACATAGTTTTTAGTTAAACGATTAAACTTAATTCAATTTGTATTTATATAGAGTCAAAGGAGCTTTTATGGATGAGCTGTACTTCTGGTTTTGTTTGATTTACGTGATTACCCGTTTGATGAACATGATGTTGGCTGCTGCTTCGATTCCCCAGGAGGTCAAGGATATTTCCAATACACTTTATGAAGTTCCTTCAAAAGATTGGTGCGATGACTTGGGGCGCTTAAGTGAAATGCTGCGCAATGAAACCTTCGCACTCAGTGGAAAGGGTTACTTTTTTCTAACCCGAAGGCTTATATTTGCAGTGAGTTTGGTAAAGTCTTTTGATTAGCTCTTAGTAACTAATATATTTCAGATGGCTGCTGCTTTAATGGGCTACGAACTGGTGCTGTTCCGGCAATTGGAAGGTGCCGCGGTACAGAAGAAACTTTGCAGTCGTGGGCCCGGCTCCTCCATGAGCATTTTCTTCTCTTAGTTCTGTTCAGCATTTTCATTTTCATTTGTACCTACTTTTTAAGACCTGCGAGGGTTGTCAACTTTTCGTATTTGCACAAGATTATGCATAGATAAGCGCACAATTGGCATGAAGGCCATCAATTAGCTGTAACCAGTAGCAATTTGTGGGCTTACCATATATGACAGGGGAGGATTAATCGTCAGTCGAGCACGGAACATGGCCAGGACCACTGGGGATCCTGCCAAGCGGCGACGTTGCTTAGCTCGCATTAAGTTCTGGCGAAGATCACGCGTTGGCAGCGAGTAGGTTGTTTCTATTGAGTATGTTAATATTGTAATTTGACTCTTGTAATCGACAGTGTCACCCTGGGGATCATCAAATATAGAGTCGTATCTAAGCCCTCAAGACGCTTTCAATTTTCTTTGAGTATGATTTCTTGGGTTTTTGGTGTTTATATAAATATAATTTATTGTATAGTTAAGGCTTGGTTTCATCGGATCAGAAAAGAGAACTACAAGTACAGTGGCTCTTTTCAAGAAGCCATCAAGCCAGGTAACAAAATGGACAGGTTTAAATTTTTTTAAATTTGTTTATATATGATTTTGTTTTTCTTTCCAGTCCTCATTATCGCCCAAATCTTTGCTCTAATGCCAGTTCGAGAAGTTAGCTCAAAGTTTGCAGAAGATCTGACCTTCACCTGGTTTAGTATTCGAACTTATTACGCCCTGGTGACCATCCTTTGCTTTGGCGTAACTTCCGGATATCTGGTGGCCTTCGTGACTAATGTCTCATTCAATTTCGATTCAGTGGAGACGCTGGTATTCTATTTGTCTATATTCCTTATCTCTTTGTCATTTTTGCAACTGGCCAGGAAGTGGCCAGCTATTGCTCGGGAATGGCAGTTAGTGGAGGCCAAGCTACCACCTCTGAAGTTGCCTAAAGAACGCAGATCTCTGGCGCGGCACATCAAGATAATCACCATTGTGGCCACTACTTGCTCGCTGGGTAAGTTAAAATTTTATTTAACTTTCTAGTTAATTGATTTAACAACCTTTTTTAGTGGAACACATTATGAGCATGCTGTCTATGGGTTACTATGTGAACTCCTGCCCTCGATGGCCAGGTAATCCCATCGATAGTTTCCTGTATTTAAACTACTCTTCGGTGTTCTATTTTGTGGATTATACCCAATTCCTGGGTATTTTAGGAAAGGTGGTTAATGTCTTGAGTACCTTTGCTTGGAACTTCAATGACATCTTCGTGATGGCTGTCAGTGTGGCTTTAGCTGCTCGTTTTCGACAGCTTAATGATTACATGATGAAGGAGGCTAGATTGGTAGGGAATTCAGTACTTTGGATGAAAGATTAATAAATATTTTACCCGATTGTTAGCCCACAACTGCGGACTTCTGGATGCAGTGTAGGATTAACTTCCGGAACCTTTGCAAACTGTGCGAGGAGGTGGACGATGCCATATCCACTATTACCCTACTCTGCTTCAGCAACAATCTGTACTTTATCTGTGGAAAAATCCTGAAGAGCATGCAGTGGGGTCTTACTTTGATTATTAATTCATTAAAGAAATAAGTTCTTAATTTGTTTCAGGGCCAAGCCATCTATTCTGCACGCCTTATACTTTTGGTTCTCACTCACCTATCTGCTTGGTCGTACTCTAATTCTGTCACTATATAGCTCCAGTATAAATGATGAGTCCAAGCGACCCTTGGTCATTTTTCGTTTGGTCCCCAGGGAGTATTGGTGCGATGAGGTATGATAGCCTATATATTTAAAATACAAAACTGTATAATCATCTTATTTCTACAGCTCAAGCGCTTTTCGGAGGAGGTTCAGATGGACAATGTGGCACTGACTGGCATGAAGTTCTTTCGGCTGACACGCGGCGTTGTCATTTCGGTTTGTCACCTTAGCAAAAAAAAATTTTGCAAAAATATGCAATTATAGAACTATACTATATCTCTAGGTGGCTGGTACTATTGTGACCTACGAACTTATTCTGCTGCAGTTCAACGGCGAGGAAAAGGTGCACGGCTGCTTCGAAAGCTGAACTTTGTGGGAGGGTCAGAGGGTTAAGCCTGCAAAATATGTACTTTTATTGTTGCTGTTCCTTAATTATAGATAAGTGCAAAACAACAGGTGTTTTTAATAGTCATTGGGCACTCGCTGAGTGGTACCTGTGTTGGCCAAACCAATCCTTTGAAGCAGTTTGCTTTTGCGAGTGAAATTAGTAGGTCGTAGTATGAAGATCCTTCCCAAGCTGGAGCGCAAGTTGCGCCGGCTGAGGAAGAAGGTGACTAGGACATCTTTGGTTCGAAAGCTGGACTTGGTTCACGAGAGGTGGGTGGGTAGCAACACTGTTTTAAAACTACTGTCAACAGTTTTATTGAAATTTGTGTTAATTAAGAATACAACTTTTCTTAAGTGCCCGAAAGAAAGCCTTTCAGGAAAGTTGCGAAACCTATAAAAATCAAATCAAAACTGAGTACGAGTTGCGGAATAAGGTGCCCAGTAAGTAATTAGTAATTAAACGAATTAAAAGTTAATACAACTATTAAACAGAGCTATCTAAAAGCAACAAGGAGGCTTTTATTAGCGATGGAAGTTTCCATCAGGCAGTGGGCAGGGTGCTTCTCGTGGCCGAGTTTTTTGCTATGATGCCAGTGAAGGGAGTGACGGGAAAACATCCTTCAAATCTTAGCTTCTCCTGGCGTAACATTCGCACCTGTTTCTGTGTGGTTTTCATTGCCTCGAGCGTGGTTAACTTTGGACTATCTTTGTTTAAAGTCTTAAACAACCCGATAAGTTTCAACAGTATAAAACCCATTATATTCCGGGGATCTGTTCTGCTGGTTCTGATAGTGGCTCTAAAGCTGGCCCGACAGTGGCCCCAGTTGATGATGTTCTGGCACACGGTGGAGAAGGATCTGCCGCAATATAAAACACAGTTGGGGAAGTGGAAGATGGGTCACACTATATCGATGGTGATGCTGGTGGGAATGATGCTGTCTTTTGGTAAGTTACAAATTCAAATAGATGACTATTAATCTTTTAACTACATTCCCCTCAGCCGAGCACATTCTGAGCATGATTTCGGCCATAAACTATGCTTCGTTTTGCAATCGCACCGCCGATCCCATCCAAAATTATTTTCTGCGCACCAATGACGAGATCTTCTTTGTGGCTAGCTACTCCACTCCTTTGGCTTTATGGGGCAAGTTCCAGAACGTGTACTCAACTTTTATATGGAACTACATGGACATGTTTGTGATGATTGTCAGCATTGGATTGGCTTCAAAGTTTCGCCAGCTAAATGATGACTTGCGAAATTTCAAAGGATTGGTAAGGGGACTTAGGTTATATCTTATTCTTAAAAGTGTAACGATGATTACTTGCAGAACATGTCACCCACTTACTGGTCAGAACGTCGAATACAATATAGGAATATATGTATACTATGCGACAAAATGGACGATGCCATATCCCTTATAACAATGGTGTCTTTCTCCAATAATCTGTATTTCATATGCGTCCAGTTGCTGAGAAGTTTGAAGTGAGTAATTAAGACGGTAACTCTTTTATGTAATCAGTCTAAATCCATCCTTTAGTACCATGCCCTCGGTGGCCCATGCTGTCTACTTCTATTTTTCACTAATCTTCTTAATTGGTCGCACTCTGGCGGTTTCACTGTATTCTGCCAGTGTTCATGATGAGTCCAGGCTAACTTTGCGATATCTGCGCTGTGTGCCCAAGGAGTCCTGGTGCCCGGAGGTGAAAAGATTTACAGAGGAGGTAATCAGCGATCAGGTGGCCCTCAGTGGAATGAAATTTTTCCACCTTACAAGAAAGCTGGTACTGAGTGTGAGTTAAGGAGATATATAAGAAATCACTCTTACCAAATTGTTTCCTGAAATTCTTTTCAGGTTGCTGGCACCATTGTCACCTATGAACTCGTTCTCATTCAATTTCACGAGGACAATGACCTTTGGGACTGCGATCAGAGCTACTATTCATAAAACGACCACTATCACAAGGTTTATTGCATAATAAATAAAAAATCATCTTGCTCTTTATTATTATTGTTTGTTTAAAGCGGTAAAAGGAAACCAACAAAATGTCGCTCTTAATATCAATCGGTTACATTGCCTAATTGTACGTCACGTTATCCGTTAGAGAGATTCTACGTGTGTTCGTGTGTAGATTCCACGAAGAATGGTCGCTAGTTCACTTACAGGCTAATCGGCTAACTTTGATGGTGGATGAGATAAATGGGGCACCTACTATCGACTGGCATGGGGTCTCTCAGTGTCAGTGTAAGTGTCGTGCTTGGAACGCTTTGAATATACAATATGCGATATTGGATGCAAAATTCAGCTAAAGATTTTCAATTACTTATGTATAAGTTCAGTTTAGTGTAAACACACTATGTTCCAACTTCGTGTCTTTCTTCTTTTTACCACTACAAAGAAAGGTAACATGTTTGGAAGTTTGGTGGTTTCTGGTTGCATATGTCTGTTCCATTACAAAATGTATGAAGCGGAAGCTACACGATAACTACATGATATAATTATGTATGTGGGTGTATATATAGGATCCTAGCTGTGTCTACTAATACGATTTCTACGACTGCCAATAAAGAACTACAAAAACTTGTTCGATGTTTTGCTGAACGCCTTCACGCTTCACACGGAAAAATGCAGGAGGGGGAATTCGACTTGACTATGAGAAGGCAAACATAAAGTATCACAAAGATTGAGATCTTAAATTAAAGCATAGCGAGAGCGCAAACAATCGGTTGGAGGATTAGCCTTAGTCCGTATTGAAGAATGGGGAATGCAGAGGCTCGAGTAGCGAGTGTGTCATGAATGCTTTGCGTTTGCATTAGCGGTTTGAGTAAAACAAGTCTGGGCATCGCAGGTCCTCAATGCCGCTTGGCGTCGTATTGCTTGACCTTCTCCGGAATGGCCGCCTTCTCCACGACCACGTGCATGCCGAGTTCCTCCAGGGACTTAACGTAGACCAGCTTGCGCCAAAACTTTGTGCTGCAGGTATTAACGGACTATATAACAGATGGAACGTAAATTAAACCATAACATTTTCTTACCTCACGAAAGGTCGCGCCATCCACACTAAAGACTTGATCCAGAATGTGGGATGCACCAAATACATGTGCTTCAGACTCTTACGTAGCCGGCGATCCAGCAGCTGGTAGCATCTGTGAAAAGGTTACAAATCCATTAACATCCCGCAAAAATAACTAATAGCTACGAACTTACCTTTTGAGCCAGGGTAAGGGTGGCACGTTTCGTCTGTTAGAGCCACCATGCAGATAGATCAGCACGTAATCATCAGTGACGAGCTGCTCGAGAGTCTTGACCACATATAGGAAAAGGTTGTCCATCACATAACTGTAGTCGGCCCTCGACTTATCCGGTAGGTGGCAAGCACAGAAGATGACTATGGCGTTCTGGCCGCCAGATTTGAGATATCCGCCGTGAGATAGCACACGCTTGTAAGGCTCGATGACCCGCATGTCGATCTCTCGAGTGCGTCCATCCGGTAAAGTTATTTTCTGCCAATTTCGGGAGTCCCGCCTTTCTTCAGCAGCCGTATATTGTGGTAGAGTAGAGGCACCCGCGGTCGTTGCCGGGGCATTTGGTGTGGGCGTGGTGGCCAGACCGAACTCCATGTCTAGTTCCAGATCATCATCGTGGTCGGGAAGCAGTTCCGGCCCCTCGCAATCATCGTCGTCATCCTCTCCATCTAATCCATCGATCAGGGAGCTCGAGGGACTTAACGAAGCCAGATTATGCTCTATGTCTTCGTCGTCATCAAAGCTGTGATTGGAAATGGAATCCAGACTGGATATGTCCTCACCGCCAGGGAGAGTAGTTGTTCGTTTCGACTTTTTGCCATTACCATTGGGCATAAGAGAGACAGACTGAAAGTTGGACTCTACGGCGGCCAAGTACTGGGACACATCCGCATCCGACTCGCTACTCAGGATATCCGGACTGTTGGCCCTTAGAAGGCTGACCTTGGCATCCTGCGGCTTGTTCCTAGTTTGATTAAGGTTGTTCTTGACCTGCACTGTCTCAGTGGTGGGCACAACGTCCGGAAAATTGCTCCTAGGAAGCTGTTTCTCTTGCTTTTTAAGTTGAAAGGGCTCAGAGTCAGAGTCCGTGTTGGTTGGTGACATTAGCGGATGGCTGTTGGCCAGGGTGCGCTCGATGGTTTGTCGTTGTGGCATAGCTTCCATGGGGAGCAACTCCGGACGCAGTATTCTATTGTCCAGTGCGGAGCTCGTCTTAAACTCCAACTCCTCCTTGTCTTGTTCCTTATTTGCCTGCTCTAATTCCAGGATATTCTTCTCCGGTGCGGTGGGCACAACATCATCCGCCAGCGGCGAGACGCCCGTGGAGTCGGTTGGCGTCTCGGAGATGTCCATTTTGCTCTCTGACTGCGAAGATTCTGATTCCGCGTAGTGCAAACTGTAAATCGATTAGTCATATACTTAGTCAGTTGACTATTTTGTTTTTGTGTTGGCACATTTACCTCATAGCTTCTTGTGATATTTATCTGGCTAGTTCGAAAGTTAATAAGCCCGCTCATCCAGGCACTCATCTAAAAGCTCCGGGCATTAGTGCGGGGTGATGAGTCAGGCGTCGTGGCCTAAATTCGGTGATATTTAAATGCCAGTAAACAAATTTTACACTCTCGAGAGGGCTCCAGCACCAGGGTTGCCAGATAGTGGCGACAGTGTGGGTATAAGTGTTGAGTAGCGTGGGTATTGTGTAAGATCTGGCTAGTAAATAAGCAGATTTGCGATTGCTTTAAATTAATACGTTTAATTTGCAATAGTTTGCATAGTAATCTTATTGTCGATCATTAACATTATTAATTATAAAAAATGTTTTTTTTAATTTATTAAAATAAATGTACATACTTATGTATGTATAACATTTTTTGTTTACAATTTGAAAGTTTAAATATTAATTGTTAAGGCTTAATACATTAATTATACAAATAAAACTATATACAAATTTATTAAATAATTGCGCTTCTATTTCTTTCGGTGTTACATTATTCTAACCACCTGGCAACCTTATAGTCGATATACTTTTTCCCGCTGCAGCGGTCACACTTTATTGTGCGTCGCGAAAATAATTATTTTTTTCACCCCGTCAAAGTAATGGAGGCCACAAGGATCACCGTTAGCGGCAGCAATGCAGTGCCCGTTACTCTTCCCAATTCCCCCGCGGTGTCCACAAATCCCACAGCTGCTGCGAGCACACCAATACAAGTAGGCGTGTCGCCATCAACAACAACCACACTAGCAACACCTAGCATAATAACAACAACAACATCCACAATCGGAAGTACAGCTAACATTCCAGCTGTAACTTCAACAACACTACGAAATCCGATTCAAAATCTACCGATTGAACTGCAAAACGATCAAAAACGAAGAAGGTAAGCCGATGACATATGTCACATTTGTCAGAAAAAGTGCTTGGTAATCACAGAATCGTTTTACTCCCAATTCTAACAGTTCGTCTCGGACAATTAAAAGGAAGCGTTTTGATGATGAAATAGTCGAGTACAACATTGCAGTGCCCACAAATCGTAGCGGAACAGATACCAATCGCGGTAGCAGACCACGGACCACTTCCCAGAACTATCCTGCTTTGGTTGGTGTGCCGCACACCACACTAGCACCTTTAAACATACCCATTCCCACGCCGGAGACGCCACAAACGCCGGTTTCGGCTGATTCTCTGCTGCCGGGAACACCCAGTTCAGTTGCTTCTCTCCCCTTGGCCACGCCGACCACTCCTGCTCCTTTAGCTACGCCCCTACCGGTTACCCCAATTGTTGCGGCTGTAGCGCATCCTAAGCCACCAGCTATGGAGCGTTCTTCGACCAGCGAACGGCGCTCGCGGCCTGTGCGTCCCGCTAGCAAGAAATCGCAGCGCAGGAACGGTCGTCCCATGGGTCAGATGGCCACCAAGGACCTGGGTCGCTGGAAGCCCATTGATGACCTGGCCTTGATTATTGGCATACAGCAGACCAACGATCTGAGGATTATCCATCGCGGTGTAAAGTTCTCCTGCAAGTTTACTCTTCAAGAACTCCAACAGCGTTGGTATGCCCTGCTGTATGAGCCTGCAGTTTCCAGGATTGCCGTGTCCGCCATGAGAAACCTGCATCCAGAACTAGTGGAGTCTGTTCAGCGCAAGGCGTTGTACAGCGTGCAGGAAGAGGATCTTTTGGGAACTATTAAGAGCGTAAGTAGAGAATTTGGATTACAATGATGGCTCATATATTAAAAATCCAACCCACAGTCAGAACAACCCAAGCTGGAGCAGTTCCAGGAGCTCCTAAACAAAAACGCCTCAATTTTCTACTGCGCCCGCACTGCCAAGTCTCTGCACAACCATTGGCTTCTTCTTAAGCAATACAGCCTGTTGCCGGATCAGACAGTAAAGCCTCTTTACGGCACGGATCAGCAGCCACTTAGTTTTTCGGATGCTGAGGATCAAATTTTCGAGCATGACCTTAACGAACAGCGTGACGAAGCTTTGGAGATGGAGCGAGATTTGGCAGATCGTCGCAACAAACGTGATATTCGCCTGCTGGAAAACGAGCTGTCGCGCTGGGGCGTTCTAGTGGACTCCGTGCTTAGTCCGACTGCTGCATCCGAGTTCGACAACCAGACGCTGGCCTGTCTGTGCGGCCGCCATGTACGCTACCTTATGCGCTCAAAGGAGATAACGTTTGGCCGCGATGCCAAGGAAAGTGGAGCAGTAGATGTGGACCTGGGACTAGAGGGACCGGCTGCGAAGATCTCGCGCCGCCAGGGAACGATAAAATTGCGCAGCAATGGCGACTTCTTCATTGCCAACGAAGGCAAGAGGGCCATTTTTATAGACGGCACTCCTTTGCTGACGGGTAATAAAGCTCGACTAGCTCACAACTGTACTGTGGAAATCTCGGGGCTGCGCTTCACTTTCCTGGTTAACTATGAGCTGATCAACGCCATTCGCCAGGAAAGCGCAAAGACATCGAATCCCCTCAACTAGCTGCGCTTAGAGCGAACTGGATGCGATTCTTGAATGTATTCTAGTACTTAGTAATGAGAAAAAAAAGAATTCTGGAATAAACAGCATATGGACAATATGAATAACCCATAAATATTCTAGTGTCTAGTGGTTTTATTTTATTTTATGGGAAAAACATCTAGAAGTACTTTAAAAAAGAGCAATTGGTGAAAACTTTCAGTTTTAGTAAAACATGTTGAGTTTATTAAGAGGTTTTAGACATACGTTAATTTATGTCATGTCTATTTCTTTTTTGTTAAAACCGATAACCAACCATTTAAACGATAGAATGCTTTTATTACCATATTTATGGCTTAAATCAAACTTTATGTAAACCAAGTAATTTAGAGTGCTAAACCATCGCCCACGCTGCAAACCCGACAACCGCAACGCCTCCAATCGAACGGAAGCTGTTGGCGACTTTTTCAACCGCTTGCCGATTTTAAAATCGAAGGGAAGTGGTAAAAGAGCTAAAGAGTTCTCCCGGATGGGGTCAGTTCTGCCCACAAGAAACCGTCTCGTCTCGGATCTGTCTCCAGACTCCTACGACTCTGCGGGCGCTGTGTCATGTGGCTAATTTGCGACTAACCCGTAAGCTGCTATTAATTACAGCTCAGTCGCTGGAAAGTGGCTGCTAAGAGGCACCACTCACACACCATCCACAGATCCATCCATCTAACCATTCTATCCATAACCATTCTGTTCGCATGTCACCGACAACGACGACGTTTACAAAGGTGAATTAAGTAACAAAGCTTCGCAGCTCTGAGAAGACTCACGCGATTGTATAACTCTATGGTTTTGGGTGGGTTCTTTCTTTTGGAGGCTGTGGGTTCCCAAATTTGAGAGGTTCACTTGTCACGGCAATTTAGTTACTGATCTTTGCGATTGTGTTTAAGCAAATTTGTTCGACCTTGCGCCCTGGGAGCTCCATTGGGTTCCCTAGTGTCGGCCATTTACAAATTGTAACAGATCGCAGATCTTTGGAGATTGACTACCCTGACTAAGTTATAAATGATCGCAGCTGTTGGGATAATTAATTGAGCCACCGACAGCCGGAGACCATGACACCTAATATAGAAATTAGTCGGCGAAAGAACACGGAGAAAGTTCGATGACTTTCTGCGGCGGCCTTTCTTCGAGGTCGCTGTTGGTTTTTTGGCTGGATGGAGGGGTTCTTTAATTCGTATTGTTGATACTATAAACTAATAAGCCAAGCTGCGCAGCATATTAAAATATAATTAATTGTTGTCACTGTCTATAAAAAGTCAATTTACCTTGGCTGGCTGGGTCGTACCGGGAATTTCGTTGGTTCACCAACCAAATCGCCCCGAAACCCTCCATCTTCATCTTCGCTTTGTTCCCGGTGGAATTCCAAATTCTAACGTTGATTTGTGTGCATTTTTTGTCCGCTGGCCAATCTTCGGCTGCTGCTTTCTTCGATGATGATGGTGAGAGATGGTAAGATGGTGATGATGCCGAGGCTAATGAAGCCCGGCTTTGTCTTATTATTATATTTTGTATCTTTTGTGCAGTTCAGCGAACTTTTGTTGTTGCTGCCAGCTCCGATATTCCGATATTTCGGCGATGTCGCAACTGCTAAAATTAGTTTTTGAAATTTCGCGAGATCTTTCTCTTTGCTATTAGCGTAGGTCATGCTGTTCTTTGGTCCGGGCTCCAAAGTGTCCGAAGTGGAGCACCGACGTCCACTCCATTTCATGCTGGCATTGCGTGGGGGTCTTCACCCAAAAGGCCAGAACTTTCACAGTTCGCTTGCTGAGATCATAGCTTGGCCATAGCAGATCTATTGGCCATATGATTTATCTAGTGCCAAAAACACCTGAGCCGAGCTTGGCCCAGTTGGGCTGACATAATGCCTTGATTATCTCATTGCATTATATAAAGTAAACAAATGAAATTGTCACAGCGCCCCAAGATTTCGTGACTTTGCAGGAAAATGGCCAAAAAACAATCGAAGTCGGGGCTATAAAAATAGCCTACTGATCGGTTTGCCGAATCGAAATATGCCAAAATCACTTCCCCCCTCCTTTTTTACAGCACCTGCTATATGTAGATATGTGTGATTATTCAATTCAATACAATTCGAGAAAACAAAACATTTATGGCGTTAGTCGGTCATTGTTGTTGTAGCTGCAGTTTGATTTTCATTTTGCTAATCGCATTTCAATCAATTTCATTTCGATTGTCTTAGTGGGGGGCTTGAAATGCACTGGCAGAAATATACTTTTGCTAAGGAAATAAAAATGTAATTTAGCTGTAAGCTTAAAATGTATCTTAAGCTTCTAGATGTTATATTAAATAATAGAAGGCATGGCAGTAAAATATTTTAAACCTATAATTAGCTACACTTACACTTCACATATTATCTTTATTCTCTTCTATTTTTTACTTCCTTTTCAAAACAAACAAAAGATCATGAAAAATTATTAAATTAGGTAACCACAAATTAAATATATTTCTTCCTGTACTTAAATTGCCAAAAGGAGGGGGCGTGGCAGCTTCTGTTTGGAGCGACATTTGCCGTAGACACGCATGTCAACCGAATGCGTCATGTGAAATATTCAAATTTCGCTTTGTGTTTCGCATGTAACGCATAAATAATCCAAAAAGCTCAAAAAACAAAAAAAAACTCAAAACAGTTTTGTTCCGCGTCGCTCATACGCACAGTGGGTCGTCAAAGTCAAAGTCCAGACGCTGTGAGCTGCATTGGTAATTGAATAGCCGTGTGGTTTTGTTTATTGAACTAACTGGCAAATATATTGTATCTTTGGCATTCGTTCGTCTATGATTATTCATGGAATGCTCGCTGATTTATCCCTATCCCCTATTTTTCGAAAATGATTTCATGCCATGTGACGTCAGCTGCATCGGCTATATAGTAGGCCTAGTCTGTACAATCGGTCTATCGAGTGCCAGTCAGTCAGAAAAATTGACTTCGAGGCCTTGGAGTTCGGTGCTCCATTAGACGACAAGCGACTCCGAGTCGCCCACGCACTTGATATTTACCAACAACAATGGCAGCTGTGGCGCCAAAAAAAAGCAAGTTCAATTTGCAACTCCACTTTGGGGACTTAAGATCTCAAGAGACGTTGTTGGGGCTCACACCATGCCAGATACACCAGATACCATCGAGTGGCAGGCACTTTTTGCAGTCGAGACAAATAATTACAACGACTTTGATTTTTTAATTAATTCGAGCCACAAGGCGAGCTGAAAGATACAGATACAGATGGCCATAGATACGCCACCAGAAATCATATGCCGGACTTTTATTATCCGTGTGGGCTGGCGGGTTGTTGTTTTGTTTCTAGGTTTGTTGTTTTTTTGTTTTCTTGGCTTCTAATGGATTATGAATATGGCTGCATACCCTATTTTAGAGCTCTATAATTTAGGGCAGGCGAATGGTTCTACGGATAATCCAAAAACAATCTGGCTGTCTAAGAGAAGGTTATTTATGGGGTATTTAAAATGATACCAATAGAATTTATATTAATATATATATATTCAAAAGTTAAAAAGATAAAAGTTAGTATCCACTTTATATTAAAGTCTAATAAATACATCAGTTTGATATTGTTTTGATTTTTGCACAGATTAAACAAATAATGATTAATGATGATGTATTCGAGTAAATAAATATATATATATATAACATATAATATCTATCAAAAATATTTTACACTTTAATAACAAACTTTTTGCCATTAAGTGGGTAATCGAAAGCGTGTTAATTGGGCGGATAGCCCGCCGAAATGAATCACTTATATAGGGAATGGCGTCTAGACCCCTTCTCTTCCGCTTTTAATTAGGTAAGGCCTCTCCCTCCAGCGAAGGGTATCAAAAGCTTTGCACTTGGCCTTTCTCCCTAGACTATTAAATATTTACTTTTCGAACCAAAATCGCTGACTCAAATTGCCAGTTTTTTTAATATATTTTTAGATGTGTTTATTTGTCTCGATAAAAAAGTTGCTCGCATATTGCTTGGGGTATTTTAGTAATTTTTGAACTGATCGGAAACTGTCGGGACGTGAAGTTATCTAACTCCACTTCGATTTGAACCCGCTTCGCACTTCAAGATCCAACATGCCAAGGCCGTTGGCGAACCCTTTCGAAAATGAACGGCTTAGCACCTGAAGTATTTATCACTCATTTTGTTGAGAGATGCATTGAGCCAGCTATGTGCGATCTTTAGACCCGGCTGGTTGGCAATTAGATTTAATTATTCTGTTAGAGAATTCCATATATATATATGCAATATGCGGCATATAGAAGTTCGATTTTGGCGCGTGACAATTGCGGGTGGGCCGTCGAGCTGAGAAATCGGCTTACTCGCCCCCCCAAAGTAGATTAAATTGGCCCAAGCAGAACTGACAAAAAACTAAAATACGAACCCAGAGCCGAAGCTTTGGCGCTCGCTTTTGAACCGAAGCGGTTTCGAATTTGAAGTTTTTAAACCGTCAACTAAGCTCGCTGCGAATTTAGTGGCAAACGAGCCAGCCAGTCGACCAGACACACGAGAGCGCGTACTTTTAAACCAAAACCTGGCCCAAACTGAAATTCAAAAAGCAAGTAACGAAAACGATCGCACATTGCAACGAGCGTGGGCTGCAATCGGAAGTGTTAACCCAACTAAAACAAAGATTAAATATTTAAAAAATAAACCAAAACTCCAGCAGCTGGAGCTGGAACTAATTGAAAGCCTAGCCGGGCTAATTGCCAATAATGAAGATTGCCAAAATTGGCAGCCGCTGAGAAAACGATAATTCGGAAAAATCTTGTGCGTGTGTAGAGAGCCGTGAAAAGCCAACGGCAAATAAATTGCAAATTAAATCAGGAAAAATATTCAAACGCCCCTGAGGATCACCATGAAATCGTGGCTGGTAAGTGCTTTGCCAGCTTTTAATCAGCGAAAAGTTGTGTACAAGACGGAAAAATTGTGTGAAATGAAAATCGGCCCATAAAAAAAATGTTGACAAATAGGATTTAAAACCAAATATGGTTAAATGCTCTCAGTGTTGAGCTCATCGCAGCGGTTCTTGTTCTTTAGGAGATATGTGGCCAGGAAGCTGACCGGATCACTGGGTCGATCCCGGGCTAGGGCCTGAAGTCCGTGGAGCAGTATGGGGGCCACGGTCTGGTCCAGATACTGGCGAACTGGCAGAGAACTGGTATCTGGACGTGGCTTTTGGCAGGCGGCAAATGGGCTGGGTCCTTCCGCCGACTGCTGCGAGTTCGAGTCGTTCTTGGTCAGATCTCCGCCTTCCAAAACGGTTGCATCCCCACGAGACATTGGCATAGCTTAACTGGGGGATTAAGATTCTTTTATTTCATCTTTGAAAATGTTTGATTTCTAATTTGGAATATTTAAAGTTTTCTTTTAAACATTTAACAGGCCAACGAATTTGAAAGGAAATGTTAAATTTTCACAATTTATTAAGAAACTTACTTTTTAATTTGTGAAATATAAAAATATACTTCTCACTGCTTCGAACGTTGATATTCGAATGACTTTTCTATAAGATTTACTTCCCCAAGGCACTGAAATCGAAGGCTTGGCCTGCTAGATGACAGCACAAGTCAATAGGTTTCGATTTCACAATATTTCTTGATATATTAGTGTTGGAAAGAATTCGTTTCGCCTTGTTAAATAGTAAACAGTTTACAAAGTTAATAAGTGGAAATATAAAGTTTGTTGATATTATTCTTATTATTTTTTAAATCTTAACCATTTGTTACTAAAATTAAATAATCATAACTAGGTAGAAAATAGTTTTATTTTGGGATTGTTAAAATAAGAGTTAGGAGGCAACCATCTATAAAAAAGAAAAAATCCTATCAATATCAGAAAAGTGTGGTAAGACCATCAAAGAATACATTTTCCTTTGTTGTCATCGAATGCTATCCAATGATGTCACCCAGAGTTTTCCCATAAATTCGGTTCGAATTTCAATCACCCTTAGTGGGGTCGTAAATCCATCCATACTCCCATAGATAACAGCCTGACCTCGACCCAAAATTTATGTGAAGCGGACAAGATTTAAGACCAGCTCTCGACTTGCTTTGCTGGTTAGTCAGAGCTAAAGTTGGGGAATTAACCACAGCAATTATCTACTAAGTGGCTACCAAGTAACCCTCAGCTAATTAAACAATTGGACAAAGATGCGACGAGCAAGTGCAATGGTCATAAATTGTACCCCGCCCCTGTAAACATGTCGCTAAATTTGATTACAAAATAAGCCATCAGCTGGCTATGGGTAACCCTTGGATCAGTCGGGGAGTTCCATAATTCAGACGGAACAGCTCACTCGTTTGGTAGCCATGTGTAAACGTGTTCTAAGAGTCGTAAAATCAGTGTAGAATCGCCTGCTAAATTGTTTGCTTATGTTTGGCAACACTTTTCTTAATTGCCATCTGTAAATCACACACATCGGACGCCGTCTCCCTCGCACAGCTTTGTCGCTGTTTTTATACAGAAATTTATTGAATAATTCATGGGAAGTGATTAACACATATTTCGCTGAGAGAAACGAGAAACCTGTAGTTTTTGACCCATATTTGAGATAATTTTGCCAGAAATTTGAATACGAATAGAAGCGGTCAGAAGGCAAATACAGAGGGGAAAATTCAAGGGGGCCAACGCTATATACATACACATATATTCCCTAACTGTTTTCGGAGGCCTCAATCATTCGGTTTCGACAAAAATCGTGCATTACATGGAGGCTTCCCCCAGATATTGATCAGAGCGCGAGAGCGAGAGAAGCTGGAGAAATGAAGAGCCAGCCAAAGGTCACTGGCATCTTAGACATAGACCGATGATGATCATGATGATTAAGAGGCGGATGATTATGGGCTTTTCAAAAACTTCGGACTCCAACTCACACGGAGCAACTTTGTATCTTTTCATCGTTTTTCAAGTGGGCAGCAGCACGTGGGCCTAACATCTTGTTACCTTTGAAGGGGGCTACGGAAAGGGCCAACAAATCAAAACAAAGTAACAGAGAAGGAAAACCCCAACTGCAGCCCACAATTGCGCAAATCTGTAGAGAAGATAGAGAGGGGAAGTCTAGATGAGAGGAAAGAGAGGGCGCTAAGTATATGCAAATCAGTTTGCGAGGCATCAAAAAACCAAAACACAAAACAAAGACCCTAAAAAGAAGAGCAAGACAAGAGACTCGAAGATGTTAATACCCTACTATAGGAACTAAATATTTAATTTGATTAACTTTTGAGATGTTAATTTATGTTTGCAATACTAATTAGTTGGTATTAACTTCTCACTGACTAAAATTAAAGTTAAAGTTAAACCAGTTTGTTAAACAACCAAATTACCTACCCACAAAGATAGAGCAATAAGAGATACAACATGAATAAATAGTAATAATAATAATGTAAGCATAAATTATGGTTCTGAGTTTCTCTTTCTCTTTTTGTACGTATCAACCATAAACCTATCACACCCCATCCTAGGGCACTCAAAGAAACCAAAAACAGAGCAGGGCGAAATTAGCGCAACTGAATTAATTAGCGCAGTGGAATCACTTGCCACATTTTACTTTTATTATTTATGCGACCTTGAGGGAGATAGCCAGATCTAAAAAATAAAGAGTGACAGAAATAAAATTCAAATTGCCTTTGCCATTTTGTCTCGCACTTTTCTTCGCCAGCGCTATTTGGTCTCTTAAAAAAAATAAAAAATAGACAGACTCCGAAACAGATTAGTTGCCCTGCGTTAATTATGCAAGTCCCTCCCCAGATGGATTGATATATGGGCGGGCGATTTCTGTTTCTCATGTTTTCCATTTCACAATTACCCATTATTAAATATCATTTCAAATGGTAACCGCCCCAGCCGGCGGCTAATTCGCATTTTGTTTTTCTGCATTTCACGCATAAATTATTTGTCCATAAACTGTTTTTTCTTTTGGTTCGGCCACAGACGATCGATGATGCTGCAACTTTTTATTTTTGGGCACATTCCGCTGATCATATTTTTCTATCCCACAGGCTGACCCAATTCCTGTTGTTCCTCCAGACGAGGTGGCTAATTTAGCTGGCCAATTCTAAGACTGTTCACACGCCGGGGAATTTTGCACTGCTATTTTTTAATGGCCTTCTTAACAAATTAGCAACAGCTGCTGTTTTGCAGTCTGAATGGGAAGCGAATCCAATTGCGGTCACAGCCTTAAGTGGCGGGTCACCTCAGAAGTGAGTGATGTGGGAAGATGTTCTGGGTGAGACTCAAAGGCAATTAATCCATTAGGTCATCCATGAGAGTGCAGCTTAAAATGAGTTGACTCCTTAATAGGTACTCTAAAGAGATGATATATATTAGATAATTATATATTGCAAAAAGTTGTTAAAGTTTTTCTTTTGAGTAACAGAATGCTACCATTAGGATTATGTAAATTCGCTTTGGGTGTTGGCCTGGAATCCTTTGCTTTAGAATTCCATTTCCTTGTCACACTTCTGTCTGCAACGCCCCAAATTTTTGACTGCGCATAAAGCTAACTGCTGGCTGACAGCTTGCAGTTGTTAGAGTGCAAACGAGGCAACGCTGCTGCCTCAATCCACAATCAGCGACACTTTTGCCCACACAAGAACTGACAGCGACAGCGAGGAACAATGTCGCCAGTTTTATCGGGGAGAATAAGAAATATATGCACAGATACATAGCGTATAATAAAAGTGAGTCCCACGCATGGGACACCGCTTGAATGCCAGATGAGGGAGCTGCTGAGGGGCCGGCGGAGATGCTAATCAATCCGCTTGGCATCGAAAGTATGCCAAAGTCAGCCGGCTGGCCTGGCCCTTTTTCAATTTTCCCAACCCAGTGGCAATGGAAATTTCACACAGTGGAAAATGTCAAGTAAATTGATGATTTTTGTAAATGATGTGTTAAAAAATATATTTTATTAAATCAGTTTTAGATCAATTAGCAGTCTTAGTCGAATCAAATATGAATAGAAAACTGATGACAGGGTCGTATTTTACACCCCCATTTCCTTCTCTAGTCTTTTTTCAACTAAAGAAGAGATATATAACTTTTCCCAGTGCATCAGTTCGAAAGTAAAACACAACAATTATCACACATAGCTGACATTTTTGCATATACCGCTGACACAGATGGCGCCCGAGCACGGGGCATGCCGCTGCCAAAAAATGCGGCTTTTCCCACAGCGGCTTAACTCTACGGCGGAGTTCATTTACACGCAGCTCGCAAAACAGAGTTGAATTCAGCGCCGGCAATTACTATGATTAATTTCGCTTGATATGTGCATCGGGCTCTGGACTCAGGCGCAATTATGAAATACACCTTAGCATTTTGGGGGGGAACTACTGCGAAGAAGCCAGCTAGCCTAGGTGGTTGCATGCCCGCACGCTGACAGTGAAAATTAGTGGCCATGAGGGGGGAGCGGTTAAGTGCGAGGGGAAAACAACACTTTATACAACACGAAATTAAAACACGAGCGAGCAATGAACAACGGCCTGCATTGGCCCATGTCGAAGTCGAAGAAGTCGGATCGAAGTGGCAGCTGAGCTGAAATTTAATGCGATACCAATGTGCTCGTGCAGCTTTCACTCTCTTTTGGGGCCGAATGTCAGCCGGGTATTTCGATTCCGCCTCGGTTTTGGCCACCGTTTCTGGGGCGAACACTTTTCGGCTTGCCCATCGCTGACAAATTGGAGCAGCAGCCAAGGAGGAGATCCCACAGCTCCCACAGCTGCCAAGTGCCAAGTGCAGTGCCAAATTGCGGAAACATTTTTGGCGACGAAGCGCGAAACGAAGAAAAACATAAAACAAAAGACTTAAGACACGAACTGGCTAAGATGGCTGGATGAATCAACAGTTGGCGGCGCCGTTTGGTGCCACATCAGGTGGATTTTCCACTTGGTTAGCGGGCCACACTTTTCCTCTCACACTCTTTCAACTCCCCGCCACCAGATGTCGACCTTCATCATGGGGCATTACCCAACGCCTATCAACTCAAAGAAACTCCGCTTGGTTCCACTCTTTCACGCCTCGGCAAATTGGGCGCAGCCAAGACGAAAGATCGGAAGACGCCCAGAATAGTCGCTGTCTGGTCGCTTCGGGGTTCTTGTTATGCAACTGATTTATTGGGCAACTTTTCTATTTTAAATTCTTAGAAGAATTAATGAAGCTGTTCTTTAATAATTAATTATGTTGTTTAGTTTAAAACAGAAATTTACAAATCAATTTTGATTACAAAACATTTAACAGGTTTATCTTAAATTTATTTTTGAAAATGTCATAGTGGATAGTTAAATAGAGCCAATAAACTTAGTTAGCATGCAATTTAAATGCAGAATTAATGAAGAAAACAACACAAAAACCACAAATCACATAAAACTACACATTACAATGTGCCATATAAGGCGAGTTCTACACTGCATTGTGGGTGCTATCTAGAGCTGAAATAAACATAAAACTAAATTAAGCTCTGACTTAATCCGTCTGCCATTCTGGTTATGCAACTTTGCAGTTCATTATGCAACTTCAATAATTGTGTCAACTCAGCAAAAGTGAAAAGTGTCGGAAGTGTCAACGGGTGGAAAACTTTAGGCGCCGCTTCGGTTGCCAGCTGTTTATTATTTCGTATTTGGTTGAGTTCATAGCTCTGCCCCTGAGTTGTCCGCCCACGTTCGTCGCTTCTGAATGACCTTGCCTGGGTTGGGGCGGCATTCATAAAACATATGCATATGACCATTTGTGCCTCAATAATTGTTTATGGCTCTTGATGATGAACATTTGTTTTGACAGTCGCCCGATGCATGTCAATCGCATGATTATCGCTTAATTATCAATTATCAATTCCATTCTGGTGTGTTTTTGGTTCCGTTCTGCCTAGTTCTATGCGTGACTATTGGGGATTTCACACGTCGCATCCACTTTTGAAAATTACAACACCCCATTCACGCAACACTCACTCGCATAATCGAGTTATCACACACCAAGTGCCACAAATATGGAGAGCAGCTGCAGCTTGAAAATGATGCAATAAATTGCAGTGCAAACTGCGGTTAAAGCTGGCTTAGATGAGTGCAGGTTGTGCAAGGAATGTTTGCGATTTTAAGGTGTTCTGTAGTACATTTCCTATAGATAGAAAATCATATAATTCAAACTTTAAATCTGCCAATCTGATTTAGATTTGTAGACACTGTCATCACCCCAGCCTAAGTGATCTGCTTCAGTTTGCAAATTCTTGAAATGCAACTGACTGATAAATTCTATAAATAGAGATTAGCAACAGGCAGCAGCTGTCGGGTGAGAAACTGGGTTACTTAGGGGCTGTAGATCAAGTATCGGTGGTTTGGACCCCAGATCCGATCGGATGAAGTGGCTTTTGACTGGGACAAACAAGACAGGCAGCTTGCTGCGTGGTCGCCTTTGCGCGTGGTTATTCAATTCAGGGGCGGGTTCTGAGAGCCCACACTCTCGAGTTAACCATAGTTGGAGCCTGGCCCGAAGGCATGGCTGCTGCTCATAGACACCATTAAGTGGATTGTATAACTGCTTACAATGTTCCTATATAGTTTTCGTACTGCTTTTTTTATTATTATTTTTTGTTTTTTTGGCGGGGCTCCAATACAAACAGGAAATGCCGCAGCCAAAAAATCGTTGACCGAAAAAGGCAAACACTTTTTTTTTGCTTTTACTCTTTTAGTTTTTTGTTGTATTTTTTGCAAGTTACGAAAAGTCAAACAACTAACGAAATTTAATACAATTTTGTACGGCAGATTGTTGTTGCTTGTCAGCTGCTTCCCACCGCCAAAAATCTGCGGGCTTTGCTCGAAATCTGACAGCGAGCTGTCAGTCAGAATTCCCCTGCTGCCTTCACCCCTTCCCTGGTTTCGAAAATATCCGAGTGGGTGTTTTCCATCCGCGAGGAACTCAAATATCTTTCGGCTCTGCTCTCAGTGTAATTCAATAGTCACCGGTTGCTGTTGGCGGGTCGCATTCTTGGAATTGATTGCGTCTAATGAAATGTTTCATTAGCTGAATATAGGGTTTCAAGCTTTGTGCGGCTGCCGTGTTTGTGGAATTTGAGCAATTAGAAATTATTATTTGCTTCGCTTAACAGCTGAGGGGTATTGGAGACTTATTGGCAGAGCTTATTGCCGCTGAGACTGTGACTTGTAATTATTTCATTAGATTTTGACATAATTATAGAAGACCCCGAAGTGAGGGACCTCATTTGGGGGGTTTTATATATGTTTTTTATATCTTATCTTAATGAGTTACTAATCTTAGTCTTTCCTTTCCAAGCATAGCTTTATTTTGTAATACATATTTAAGTGTTAGGCATAAAATTCTTCTATTTACCAATTTTGGTCATTAAGTCAAGAGGATTTGAAAATTATGAGAACATTTTTTCACATAAATTTTTAATAAATATTCCTTACAGCCTGTAATAAATTATATTACAAATTTGTTAGTAACAATCGTAAGCAAATGTTTGAAAATGCGGGGGACACCACTTGAATGAATCATCTTTGTTGTTCTCAAATTCCGCAAGTTCGTGTCTTAAGTCTTTTGATTTAAGCTGGAACTGGATTTTCCATTTCGGGATATTTGTTTGAAATTTTGTTTATTAGTAAAAAAAAACATAATTTGTTTATCGCTTTACTTCTCAGTTTTTCCTAGAAACACCAAACATTTGCTTAAGATGAATCACCAAAGTTTTTCCTCTGAAATTGTAAGCAAATGCTTTGACTAGATTTTCCTCAGCCAAGTTTTTGTAGGTTTTCTTGCCACATGATTCATGCTACTTGTCTTGAAAATAATTTATTAAAAGCGGATTTTGCTGCCACATGATAATGCTGGACATTCAACTACTCTGTCTGCGCGTTGAACTAGATTTTCCACAGTCGATTTCTGTGGGTTTTCATGCCACATGATTCATGGCACCCATCCCCCAGGCGGAAGCAGCCATCAGCCGCATAACCAAATCGCAAAAAAACGGGGAAATAGCCAAATACAAATCCATCACAACATGCACTCCCCGGCGAGTATGCAAAAACACTCCCCGAAAACCCAAATTGAAACCACCAAATCGGAACCAACCCATCTGAGCAAAAACAAATACGATCCACATGAGTCGGATATGGGGTTCGATTTGAAAGGCTATGGGCTTCATTAGCTCTTTGTTCGTGCCCAGAATGCAGGCTAACACGAGATATAAATATAAAGTTGGAATTTTCTTTGCTTCATTTATCATCTCTGGTAAATTTGGAGCGAACTGCGATCGTAATTGAGTTGGCTTTTAATTAAAAAGTGAACTGTGATCGGGCAGCGAAGGTCGCCAACAATGGGGAATTATGATTGCTTTGTTTTTCTAGCATTTTGCAGAATTCTTTGTTCGACTCAACGATTTTGTTTTTGGGGTCAACCGAGCAATTTTAGGTTGCGTAAGTTCCAAAAGGGGGTCTAAAGTGGGAGAAGAGGGTGCGGGGGCGATGCTTGCGCAACAGAAAGAAACTCTTTTTTGTTACCGTTTCGACAGGCAGACAGAGCGGCAGCAGCAACAACAACAACAACTAACGACTGACAATAAAGTAAACAAAATTGCGCGCTAAGGAAAACGTGATTTTCCACTTTTGATCGCGCCCAAAAGGAGTTCGCCTCGTCGTCGTCGGGAGTCATCTCAGGCGATTCTCACGTAACCAAAGACTTTGCAGCAGCCGCAGCAGCAGCCGCAACTCCAAATGTGCAACATATGTTGCAGAGTCCAAGCCAACCGGTTGGCTAAACTGGCATCCCGTGCTCCCAAATCGAGCCAGCAAATTTCATTGAGAGATGTGGCCCCGCTGGTGGCCACTTTTACTCTCGTTTTGGCCAAACACAGCGGAAACAGTCGCAATAATTTGCTCGCAATTTATTTCGTTGCGTTAGCCGATCAAATAAATCTCCATCTGCTCGCACGGAGCTCGCAGATACTTATGGTTATGGGCACTGCGACTCTGACACGCGAAATGGACCGCAATTTGCTATATTTTTTATTTTTTTATTTTTGGGGGAGTGGATGGGAAAGCGTTGGATTGTGTTTTCTGGTGTCTTATGTCATTGGTGGTGGAAATTCATTAGTAGTATCGCTTGGAAATAGAGCAATTCAGTTCAAGAAGTAAAAGCTAAATAAAAACTGTCTTAGAGGATTTACATTGTTTTGCTGCTGATGTAATAGGCGTCTCCTTAAAACATGATTAATGACAAAGTTTAGTCAGATGACAGGTGTTACTTATGAGAGTCATAAATCAATAATATTATATGCAAATATTTCGGTAGAAGGGGCTACAAAGTTCCCCCTTTAAGGAAAGTTCATTCTGTGGGGTTAAAATATTTTGATTATTCCGAAAAAGTGTCTCAGCAACAATTAATTAAAGCGCCATAAATTGCGCAGAGCCAAGACGTATATACAGTATAATAAGCCAGTAACGAGCACGAAATTAAAATAAAAATGTCAGCGGCAGCCGAAATTAGCCAACAAACTTGGCTCAGAGCTTCTCCACCCACACCGAAACCCCTCCTTCTTCTTCCAGCCAATGGAAATTTATGACGGAATGCTGAAAGTAATTGAAGCGTAAATGATTAAACGTGCGGGTGGCTTATACATTAGAATAATTGCCAGAAGTATTATTATTCCAGCTCCAACCTTAACCATGAGCGACGATCCCAAGTCAAAACCAAATCGAGTCATCTGCATTACGTATACGCCACGTCAACCGGTTAGATTCGACAATGTTGTTATTGATTCAGCTGCTACTGGTACTACTAGTGCTGCTGCTGCGAAAAACACTTTCACATACTGCATTTCCGCACGCGGTTTGTTGAAATGTTGCACAACCGCATCTTGTGCCATTGATTCCTCTCTGACCAGTGTCACCTTGACTCTGAAACGTGCCACACACTGTGAGAAACGACTACCATGTAATCAGACATAAAGTCATAAGATGTGACATTTTCATTACAAGACTATAAGGAGTTCCCTTGCTCGTGAAAAACTAATAAAAATCATCATTTTCCTCTCTGTAACGAAGTTGCCCCCACCGGAAAGCCTCGAACAGTTTGACGACTGCCTCATTTGGTTTGGGGCAGCTGCCGGCGGATGTGATTAGTTAGAAATAACCAATCCTCGAAGCATTACCCCACAACTTATCGAAACTTTCCTTTCAGCTGGCTCTGGTGGCCCTGGCAGCAGTCGTTTCTGGCAGCCAGACTCCAAGTGCGAATCAATACCACATCCAGACGGACGAGGGACCGGAGCGGTACTTCCGCTTCCAAACGGACAGCGGACAGTTCCGCAAGGAGAAGCGGCTGCAGGATGGCACAGTCATAGGTGAGTGATACACTGCATCTGCAGTGAGATAGGTCATTGAACCTTTTAACTGATATATTGACTTGGCAGGCACTGAGGCCTGGATCGATGCAGCGGGCTATCTGCGTCAAAAGGACTACATAGCCGATAAGCAGGGATACAGGATACTGAAGTCCAAGACCATCTATGTGGGTCTGGGAAGGGCCGTTGAGGTTTGTTTATTTATTAGAATAGTAATAAGGGACCAAACTAATTGAATTAATCCTAGGACGCCATTAAATCCACCAAGGCAGCTCCAGCACAATCGGGTGTCTTAGTGCAAGGTGGCTCATCAGGATCATCGGTGAACAGCCTGGGCAGCTATCAGCGTCCCAACTATGGCTACATTTCCAGCACCACATCCACCACCACACCAGCACCCCCGCCTCCAGCTCTTCTGGACGTCGAAGACTCCGGCGTGGGCAAGCTTAACTATTTGCCTCCAGAACAAGCTGCCAAGATTGAGCCTCAATCACAGCTAGGATTCGATCACTATCCTGATGAATTGCCAAGAGCGACGAATCAGTTATTGTCTCCGCTTCCGGCCACGCCTCTTAACCCACTGGTCGACATTCATCCCAATGCGGAGCCTGTTCCTGATTTGGAACTAAATGCCATCAATGTGTACGATGCTGAGGCCGATCGAGCCTTTGGTCATGGACAGTTTGGATCAGTTATAAGCTCGACAACGGCTAGACCTCCTTCGCTGGATATGCTACCCCCTCTGAGTGCCCACAGGCGTCGCCTGCGCCCACGTCCAACTCCAGCTCCCATATCCATCGTATCCAGTACGCCAGCACCAATTTCTGGAGGGGATTTGTATGGCTACTCCACGCCACAGCCCTTCACTGCTCCTGCCTACCAATTTGCCCCGCCTGCCACGTCCTCCAGTACGGGTTACGGTTACTATCCGCCACCACAGTCTCCACTGGAGGTTAACTCCTTGGAGGCAGCTCTACTCCCGCCCCTGCCATCCAACACCTATCGAAGACGTCTGCGTCCTAGGCCAGTACAAACTAATCATCTGGAAGGTCTGGCCGCCTCCGAATACGATGGCGTGGGCGTGACCCGTAATGGTTTCCGTTACGTGCTGCCCAAGCAGTATCACGAAGAGGAAACGAATCCAGCAGATGGAAAGCGGGCGGGCAGCTTCGGCTATGTGGATCCCTTTGGAATCCGTCGGGTGGTCTACTACAATGCCGCTCCCGGAAGGGGATTCGTTCATCGGAATAACAACCAGTATGTGGGCGCCAATGGAGCGCCCTACGATGCTCCGGGTCCGGCGCAGCTGGTCAACGAATAGGGAATAGGATCATTGATGGATGGGTCCAATTTGGTTCACCTAAACTGCTTAGATCGACCCATGCTAACGAAGGTGCTGCACTTAACCCGAATCCCGACTCACTCAACGAGGCACCAGAACTAACCGTAGAACCTCAACCAGGGGGAAGTCCCCTAATAAGATTAACCTGTACATAAAACAACGCTTAAAGACCCACTCTTCCTCTTCTTACCTGCACGCACACACCAAGACAAAACGACATCTGTGTTAATTAATTTAATGCTTAATCACATCTAAATGTAACATAATTTATATATTGAAACTCTGTGCAATTAGCGCTTAGAATAGGCTCTATTAGGGGTACTCACTGCCGCATGCGAAAGTTAAATTGTGTAAGTGATTGGGGAGAAATCGTTTCACGTATTAATCTTGCCATATTAACGAAAAGTAAATAATTAAAGCTCTCTGTTCATCGCTAGAAACTCCCCGTTCCGCCCCTTATTATATATTTAATTTAATATGTACGATTAAACCGATAACGATAACGATAGCCGTTTCTTGGCCAATAGCTGTTCATTGGAGAGGAATGAACACCCGTTGCCTGGAAACTTTAGCCAAGTAGTGCGAAAAAATATTTTGTGTATTGTTAAGAAGTTCGAAGACAATAAATAATTATTTAATGAAAATTATTTCTGGTTTTTTTATTTAACAAAAATGTTAACTTTGAGATTCCTATTCATTCACATTTCAGTTTCCCAAAAGTTTTCTTATCACAGCCAGCCTATGCCAGCTTGTCACTGTTCGGCTACGATTCGTCGTCATAATCACACTGATATCATTGGAAAAACAAATCCGATTGAAACTTTATCAGTGGGACAAACAAACTACCCGGAAAATCTTATCAGTAGGGCTACCCAAAACGTGACTCAGTCGTGAAAAGAAAGTGCAGCAATGAAGGTATTTTTTCCGCTTCCAGTGCTCCTACTTTTTGGTAGCATTTGCTCGTCAAAAGCAGCCGATATCCTATTCCTGGTGAGCACAGCTAAGCACAACAATCCGGCCTGGTCGATGTCCCTTATTGACGCCTTGGTAGCCAATGGTCATAATTTGGTAGTGGTTAGTACAGCTCCTAATCCGGAGCCAAAGAAGCAAGTGGATGGTCTGTTGTACTATCATCTGCCCAACGAATACGATGTGATGCGGAAGCACTTCATATCCCAAGATACTCGGAAGTACCAGAAGATGATGACGCTCAAGCAGCTCCTGGTGTGGTACGAGGTTCTCTTGGGCAGCTGCAGTACCCTTCTCAAGTCGAATACCATGAACAGTAAGGTGGTGGAGTTGGCCGCCCAACTAAGCATGGACTTCGAACTGATAATTACGGATGTTACTCAAGGCGTGGAGTGCCTAATGGATATGTATCCCTTGTGGCGTTCTAAGCCCATTCTTGGCTTGAGTGCTGGCAAGCTCAGCCCGGACTTAATCTCTATGCTTCAGGCGGAAAACACTATAAGTGCATCCAGGATACCGCACCATATCAGTCAGTTTCCCAAAGGGATGAGCTACTTAGATCGACTTTACAACCATATCATGTACTACGCAGAGCCACTGTGAGTTTGGTATTACTTTGCTATCAGAAAAACATAACTTTCACTTTTCCCATAACTTAGAATTCGCTTTCAGATCGTTCGCCCCGTTCTGAAAGGTCTGCTGAAGCAGGAAAATGGTTATCCTACTTTACAACTAGTGCTGCTAAACACACATCCATCCTTAGACTATGTACAGAATCTTCCGCCCGGGGTCATCGAAGTGGGAGGACTTCACATCAAGAGAGAGGTCAGTCCTCTGCCCACTTATATTCAGGAGTTCACTCAGAAGTTCATCGATGGCATCGTTTATATCAATATTCCCTATGTCGAGTATATGAACGGTCAGGGAGTTCAAGCTGTGTTCAAGATGATACTCAACAATCCCAACTGTGGTTTTATATGGAATGTGCAGGATATGGACCTTGTGCCGGAAGAGAAACCAAATTTGTTAACCCTTCATGTGGATCAGTCACTGCAGCAGGATATTTTGGGTGAGATTGAAGGTTCCTACTCTGTCTGAAAACTTTAAATCTAATTTACCTCCCAAATGATTAGCTTTAAATTACGTTAAGGGATTCCTTAATCATGGCGATAGCTTCAGTCTTCAGGAGGCCGTCCACAATGGAGTGCCTGTTGTTGTGCTTCCCCTGAAACTGGAAGAGTTTAATGTAAGTATTAATAATTATTAAATTTCATATATAATAGTTTTTACTTCGCCTTGCAGAATGCCCAGCGTGTTAAGGAACGCAACCTGGGTGTGGTGATCCAGGCAAGTGATTTTGACCAGAAATCTCTGGCTGATGCCCTCAAGCGGATTCTCAATGATGAACGATTTACCAGTGCCATCTACCAGGCACAAGTAAGATTCCGTAACCGTCCGCAATCCCCTCTAGAGTTGGCCGTATGGCATGTTGAAAAGCTAATCGCCGAGCCACGTTTGTTTAATAATTTCGCACAGACCGAGGCCCTTGCCCAAAATTTCTTTGTGGCTCATTCCCTAGATGTGCTTCTGCCTCCTTTGGTTATTCTTCTCTTTGTGGTTGTAAATGGAAGTTTTTTGGTGTTGATCTTCTTCCAATCTGGAAAAAATCCCACTAAGGAAAAGAAACCTAAAGCTGAGTCATCAAAGAAGCGCAAAAAGGAGAAAAAAGAATCCATGAATTCCGAACCAAAGAATATTACACTCATGAATGACAGCACTTTAATCGAAGATTTAAATGAGGAGATTCTTGAAGGGGAGGAGCAGTTACTTATGGAGGATAAAAAGCGTCTGAAGGTGAAGAAAGATGACTAAACATGTGCATTACTTTTTCCCTATTTTTAAGTTCAATAATATATCAAAAAAGACTGTTAATAAATGTTAAATGTAACGATCTCCCCAAAATTGCTGACTTCGATTGTTTTCCCCCTTATAGGGAATGTAAGCTAAACAATGTTAACATACTTGATATGCAAATATGTACTGAGACTGGTACACAGCTTAACGGGGAATTAAATTACAAAATCAACGAGGTATAACATTCTATATTCTGACCAATTTTGGCTTTGTAATGAAGAAAATACTGATATTTTGGGGCACAAATCGAAACAGGGCGATTTTCGCATTTTTGGAAAGGGGTAACATCATAAAATTTAACGAAAAATCTGAAAAAATGCACTTTTTGAGTGTGGTACACAGTTCGACGGGGAATTTAAATACGAACTCAACAAGATATAACATTCGATGATACGATCATCTTTGGCGGTGTAATAAGGAAAATACTGATATTTTGGGGCACAAATCGGGACAGAGCGATTTTCGCATTTTCGGAAAGGGGTAACATCATTAAATTTTACGAAAAATCTGAAAAAATGCACTTTTTGAGTGTGGTACACAGTTCGACGGGGAATTTAAATACGAACTCAACAAGATATAACATTCCACGATACGATCATCTTTGGCGGTGTAATGAGAAAAATACTGATATTTTGGGGCACAAATCGGGACAGAGCGATTTTCGCATTTTCGGAAAGGGGTAACATCATTAAATTTTACGAAAAATCTGAAAAAATTCACTTTTTCAGTGTAGTACACAGTTCGACGGGGAATTTAAATACGAACTCAACAAGATATAACATTCCATGATACGATCATCTTTGGCGGTGTAATGGGGAAAATACTGATATTTTGGCCATTAAATCTGGACAGAGTGATTTTCGTATTTTCGGAAAGGGGTAACATCATTAAATTTTACGAAAAATCTGAAAAAATGCACTTTTTGAGTGTGGTACACAGTTCGACGGGGAATTTAAATACGAACTCAACAAGATATAACATTCCATGATACGATCATCTTTGGCGGTGTAATGGGGAAAATACTGATATTTTGGGGCACAAATCGGGACAGAGCGATTTTCGCATTTTCGGAAAGGGGTAACATCATTAAATTTTACGAAAAATCTGAAAAAATGCACTTTTTGAGTGTGGTACACAGTTCGACGGGGAATTTAAATACGAACTCAACAAGATATAACATTCCATGATACGATCATCTTTGGCGGTGTAATGAGAAAAATAGTGATATTTTGGGGCACAAATCGGGACAGAGCGATTTTCGCATTTTCGGAAAGGGGTAACATCATTAAATTTTACGAAAAATCTGAAAAAATTCACTTTTTCAGTGTAGTACACAGTTCGACGGGGAATTTAAATACGAACTCAACAAGATATAACATTCCATGATACGATCATCTTTGGCGGTGTAATGAGAAAAATAGTGATATTTTGGGGCACAAATCGGGACAGAGCGATTTTCGCATTTTCGGAAAGGAGTAACATCATTAAATTTTACGAAAAATCTGAAAAAATTCACTTTTTCAGTGTAGTACACAGTTCGACGGGGAATTTAAATACGAACTCAACAAGATATAACATTCCATGATACGATCATCTTTGGCGGTGTAATGAGAAAAATAGTGATATTTTGGGGCACAAATCGGGACAGAGCGATTTTCGCATTTTCGGAAAGGGGTAACATCATTAAATTTTACGAAAAATCTGAAAAAATTTACTTTTTGAGTGTGGTACACAGTTCGACGGGGAATTTAAATACGAACTCAACAAGATATAACATTCCATGATACGATCATCTTTGGCGGTGTAATGGGGAAAATACTAATATTTTGGGGCACGAATCGGGAAAGAGCGATTTTCGCATTTTCGGAAAGGGGTAACATCATTAAATTTTACGAAAAATCTGAAAAAATTCACTTTTTGAGTGTGGTACACAGTTCGACGGGGAATTTAAATACGAACTCAACAAGATATAACATTCCATGATACGATCATCTTTGGCGGTGTAATGAGAAAAATAGTGATATTTTGGGGCACAAATCGGGACAGAGCGATTTTCGCATTTTCGGAAAGGGGTAACATCATTAAATTTTACGAAAAATCTGAAAAAATTCACTTTTTGAGTGTGGTACACAGTTCGACGGGGAATTTAAATACGAACTCAACAAGATATAACATTCCATGATACGATCATCTTTGGCGGTGTAATGGGGAAAATACTGATATTTTGGCCATTAAATCTGGACAGAGTGATTTTCGTATTTTCGGAAAGGGGTAACATCATTAAATTTTACGAAAAATCTGAAAAAATGCACTTTTTGAGTGTGGTACACAGTTCGACGGGGAATTTAAATACGAACTCAACAAGATATAACATTCCATGATACGATCATCTTTGGCGGTGTAATGGGGAAAATACTGATATTTTGGGGCACAAATCGGGACAGAGCGATTTTCGCATTTTCGGAAAGGGGTAACATCATTAAATTTTACGAAAAATCTGAAAAAATGCACTTTTTGAGTGTGGTACACAGTTCGACGGGGAATTTAAATACGAACTCAACAAGATATAACATTCCATGATACGATCATCTTTGGCGGTGTAATGAGAAAAATACTGATATTTTGGGGCACAAATCGGGACAGAGCGATTTTCGCATTTTCGGAAAGGGGTAACATCATTAAATTTTACGAAAAATCTGAAAAAATTCACTTTTTCAGTGTAGTACACAGTTCGACGGGGAATTTAAATACGAACTCAACAAGATATAACATTCCATGATACGATCATCTTTGGCGGTGTAATGAGAAAAATAGTGATATTTTGGGGCACAAATCGGGACAGAGCGATTTTCGCATTTTCGGAAAGGGGTAACATCATTAAATTTTACGAAAAATCTGAAAAAATTTACTTTTTGAGTGTGGTACACAGTTCGACGGGGGAATTTAAATACGAACTCAACAAGATATAACATTCCATGATACGATCATCTTTGGCGGTGTAATGAGAAAAATACTGATATTTTGGGGCACAAATCGGGACAGAGCGATTTTAGCATTTTCGGAAAGGGGTAACATCATAAAATTTGTCGAAAATCTGAAAATATTCACTTTTTGAGTGTGGTACACAGTTCGGCGGGAACTTTTATTCTTATTTGAAGTTCAATAATATATCAAAAAAAGAGGAGGAATGGAGGAATTTCCTTATAGGAATTTTAACCTATATAAACGATGTTAAAACACATATGAAAACTATTGAGGGTATCTATATTTGGCAGAATGCCAATTTAAATGCTAATCGAATAATGAGGTAAGAAATCGTTTGTCATATTAAATCTGGGGCAATGCAATATTCACATCCGCGATGAAACCTACACTTAACGATTTTTATTAATTTCAAATATAGGTAAAATTTATAAGGAACTGAAGTTTTTGAAATATTATAATTAAAAATATATGTCACTTAATATAGTTATTTAATAAAAACTAACTAGCTTTTAAATAACAATTAATAACTTTACACCCCAAAAGCAGACTACATCTTATGACCATTTCAACAGGTTTACAAATTCGGCTCTCTTAAAACTAAGAAAGTGAGAACTCTCTAAGAGTAACCTCAGGTAAAGAAATCGAAGGCAGATTCACCACAGGTAGGCACCACCTCGGACCCAGAGTGCGATTTTATGCCTTTTGCCAGAATGCTGAGCCGGCAATAAAACTCCCAAACCCATGTAACCTTCAGTGCATTTCTAGAATTTGCCGCGAAAAGAACAGAGAACCGAGTAAAAATGCTGACCAAACTGTTGAAGATTAGTTGCACTTCGACGCAGTGCACCTTTGCCAAGCCCTATCAAGCGATTCCAGGACCCCGAGGACCGTTTGGGTTGGGTAATCTATATAATTACCTACCCGGAATCGGATCCTACTCCTGGCTTAAGTTGCACCAAGCCGGTCAAGATAAGTACAAGAAATATGGCGCAATCGTTAGGGAAACTATAGTTCCCGGACAGGATATCGTCTGGTTGTATGATCCCCGGGATATAGCTTCTCTGCTCAACGAACGGGATTGCCCACAGAGAAGGAGTCATCTGGCATTGGCCCAATATCGTAAAAATCGACCGGAAGTTTACAAGACCACTGGCTTGCTGCCTACCAATGGTCCGGAGTGGTGGCGTCTACGTGCCCAGCTGCAAAAGGAGCTGAGCGCACCAAAGAGTGTGAGGAACTTCGTCTGCCAAGTAGATGGAGTGACCAAAGAGTTCCTCAGATTTCTACAAGAGTCGAGCGAAGGAAATGCTATTGATATGCTGCCCAAACTCACCAGATTGAATTTGGAATGTGAGTACAGATCGACTCTGAAATAACTTAAATATTCTATTAAGTATTTGAAATTCAAACTTTGAAAGCAGCAACTTCCCGTTCATCTGAATTTCTTGAACAAGGTTTATCTCGAAAATACCGTTTCTAGGTCTATGATAATGTCAGGTTAGTTGATATGTAAAAGCTATTTGGTGAGGAAATATTTATTAATAGACTCAAGGCTTACTTCACGATTAAGGATTCTAGAAAGTTTTTGTAATTCTAAAATTGTTAAAGATTAGCATTTTTCGAACTTGGATTGTTTCATAAATACCGCTCAGAGATCTACCATCAAGTCAGGTTGTTTTTGTCATATGAAGTGAGAACATGCACTTCTATCTGGTGACAATAAATTTATTAGGCAAACTTAGAGTTTACTTCAGGATTCGGTGGTAGTGACAGCAGTTTAAAGTCCTTCAGGACAAATCTAATAAATATATCATCTCTTTTCTTTAGTAACCTGCCTGCTCACCTTTGGAGCCCGTCTGCAGTCCTTTTCCCCCAAGGAACAAGATCATAAATCCCGTTCCACCCGCTTGATGGATGCAGCGGAGACCACCAATAGCTGTATCCTGCCCACAGATCAGGGTCTCCAACTGTGGCGTTTCCTGGAGACCCCTAGCTTTCGAAAACTTAGCCAGGCCCAATCCTACATGGAGGGCGTGGCCTTGGAACTACTAGAAGAGAACATAAAGAACGGTTCAATAGGATCTTCATTGATATCAGCATATCTAAAGAATCCTGAACTTGATCGCAGTGATGTGGTGGGCACTGCTGCAGATTTGCTTTTAGCTGGCATCGATACCACCTCATATGCCTCCGCATTCCTACTCTATCATGTGGCCCGCAATCCGGAGGTCCAGCAGAGACTCTATGAGGAAGCCAAGCGAGTGCTTCCCAATCCCAAAGATCAACTATCTATGGATGCCTTGAGAACTGATATCACATATACCAGGGCTGTCCTTAAGGAATCATTGCGCTTGAATCCAATCGCTGTAGGTGTGGGCAGAATTCTTAACCAGGATGCGGTCTTCAGTGGTTACTTTGTGCCAAAAGGGGTAAGTTTTTGTGCTTAGAAATTCAAATTATTTGAGAACTTACGGGTGTTCTCCTGCAGACCACTGTCGTGACCCAGAACATGGTTGCCTGTCGCCTGGAGCAGCACTTCCAGGATCCCTTACGCTTCCAGCCTGATCGATGGCTCCAGCACCGCAGTGCCCTCAATCCCTACCTGGTTCTACCCTTCGGCCATGGAATGCGAGCCTGCATAGCCCGTCGTTTGGCCGAACAGAATATGCACATTTTGCTCCTCAGGGTGAGCTAAAGGAACCAGATCAGCACTTTGCGGTCACCAAATTTATGCCACAATGTTTATGCCATTCATTTTATTCGATTTTCAGCTGCTGCGGGAATACGAATTGATTTGGAGTGGATCTGATGAAGAGCTGGATGTGAAGACCTTGCTGATAAACAAGCCCGATGCTCCCGTTCTCATCGATCTGCGATTGCGAAGTGAATAAGTTTAAGATATTAGTTGACAGAGGAAAAAGACTGAGAGATATGAGACTGTATCACTTTTAAATAATTCGTTTATTAATTATATTAAATTAGTTTATAATTATAATTAGTGTAAATTATATATAACTAGACTTGCATTTAATGTGATTGAAAGGCTGCGGGTGTTTTGGTCTAAGTACTAAAGAGAACGACAAAAAGGCATTCATCGAAAATTCATCCAAAGGGGTATACTAAATAGAGTTGCCAAATACTCGAACAAATGGGTACAGGGTTGTCATTTCATCCAATTAAGGATATACAATTTGTTAACCAGATATTTTCTTTCGAGTATTTTGTGCTCTTTTTTTTCGTATTTTTGTATACATGTTTTCAGTATGCTGACAACCCTAGTTCGGGGGCTTTAATGTGTAATTATGTATGACTAAATATTCCAGTACAATGTTTAGTTAAAGATATACTCTTAATGCAGTTCGTTACTATATATGGCTCTATAAAAGTGGTCCGACCAATCCCCTTCTGTCTTCATTCCCCTTCTGCCTTAAGCTCAACTCGAGTGAAAACCGTACATACATATACAAACTATATAGACTTCCTGTTTCCTGTTTCCTGTTTCGCTCTTGTCCAAGTTCAAGTCAAAAATATATATGTGTGTTTGTGTGATACTATATACTGCTATATACTGATACTCGTACGATTCTAGTCTGATCTAACCTATAAGGACTTTGGTTGTTTGCCGCACTACACGCTAGGATGATTGGTGAAAAAATACATCTAGATATACACATACGATCTTTGAACTCCCCTGCTACTATGTTCGAAAAATAAATGTTTATGGGATCCGGTTTGTTAGTCTTCAAATTCAAACATCCTTTCGATTTCATGATGTATGAATCCTGTGCAATAATTAATTGGATTTCTTTAGCTTTGCTCTGACTTGAAATCGAACTGAATTGAGAATAAGAAAACCAAAACTGTTATCCTTTCGGTTTCGTGAGAAGACTTTTCCAGGAAGCGATTCGAGTCTTCTGCTCTGCCCTATGGCTATCGTTGAATATGTGTTCGATGAAGGATGAGATATGGGTTTTGATTCAAGTCCTGCTGCTTTTGATTAGTTTATAGTTCCAGCAGCAGAACCTCCTCATGCTAGAGGATATTCAGCAGGGAGGAGTCCATCATCCGATCATCGTACAGACTTAGGGTCTTGCTGGCTCTGGCCTTCCGCACAGATGGCGGTACATCTCCCGGGGTCTTGACCCGTTCGCTGGGATCCCTCAGTCGCTCACTGCTCCCCCGACCGCTGAAGACCTCGCGGAATACCTCCAAGCTGTGCTGCCGTCGCATCTGCTGCTCCGTCGGCGGACCCTGGCCCATGGTGACCATCAGGGAGTTGGTGCGCAGGTGACCGGGTCTTCGTTTCGGAGCGGGACGGGTGAGGGTCTGCAGCTCGCTACCATGACTCTGGATGGAGTTATTATTGGTGCTGCCGTTGATGTGCTTGATCAGACTGCTGGACAGCGAACGTGGTACTATGTGAGCCGGAGTTCCCGTCCGTTGCTCTGCACTCCTTAGTTGAACGGGCGGGGGCTTATCGAGGCGAGGACTCAGGTCCAGGTTGTTTGGACGACGTAGAGCGGTCACCAGATTTGACTTCTCCTCGCCCAACTGCAATTGACGGCACAACTCCTCCGCATGCTCCTTACGGAAGAGTTTCTTGTGGATCAGGGCTCTTACACCATGCCATCCCCTTAGCTTCTGATCCGTGTTCTGCTGCTTGGGAAATCCCTGACCCAAACAGGAATTCGTATTCCCCCCGGCGCTGACAATCGTGTTCTTCTGCTGCTGCTGGTGGTGATGGCTAGCTATGAGCTCCTCCACACTCACATCATGCTCCAGGCAGGATAGTGAGTTCTCCTGTGGCTGTGTCTGGAAACTATGCTTCTTGCTCCGCTCTACGAGAACCGGAGGTGTACGCATTTGTAATGGTGCCAGATTACGTTCCTGACAGGGATTCCTGCCCTGATACGGCTGTAATTGCTGTTGCGGATAGCTCAGGTGATTCTTTTCCCGTTCCAAGGCAGCTAGAGGTAGCTGCTGATTGGGAGGTGGCTGTATGAGACCCGTGGTATCCGAGCTCATCTGGTGGTGCACTGCAGCCGAAGTAGTCGTTGTGGTTATGACATTCACACTCTGAAAAATAGAAAAAGATTTATGAATATTTATTAAAAAGAACTTAACAATTTTCTTACCTGTTCCGCGTTTCCATTGGCCACCAGATTGTTGGTGTTCAGCAGTGGGCTGGCAGGCTGAGCTTGTGCTCGTGGTCTCAAAGTTGACATCTCCTGCATGCGTTCTTCGGCACACAAGGAAGTCAACCTGGCATCTGCATCATGGTCCCAACAGTCCTCGCAGGTATCTCGTACCACCTTCGCCGCAGCACCACCTCCCCAGCCGGCGGGAAACAAAGGACGCGCCTTGTGGCGCACCACCAAAGCCTGCATTTGATCGAAACTGGGATGGGAGCCTACTTCCTGCTCATAGGGAGCCTTATAGGGAGGCGTTGCCTGTCCTGGAGCGTAGAAGTCCGAACAGCGGGTTGCCACTTCCCAGAGCACCAAACCCAAGGCATAGACATCCATTTGCTTCAACGAGGTTTCGCAATCTCTCAGATTTACAGCTCCTTCCAGCAATTCCGGAGCCATGTAGCGAAGGGTGCCCACCTCATTGATGCTCTTCGTTTCCGCCATTGCCACCTCGCCCTTGTACTCGTACTTGGAGCCAAAGACCTTGAGTGCAAAACCAAAATCCGCAATACAGCAGCTGAGATCTGCTTGAACCAATACGTTCCTGGTATTGATATCCCGATGGGCCACACATGGCTTATGCTGATCCCCCAGCCGTAGTTCCGTGTGGAGATGCGAGATTCCTCTGGTGATGGATCGCAACATCCCGCAGCATTCGCTGAAGGTCAACGTGTTGGCTATTAACCAATCCTGGAGGCATCCTAATGGAGCCAAGGAAAGCACCAACTGGTACTCCATCCGCCCGTCCATCGTGCAGCGTTCATCATAGCCTTTGGAAGGGAATAAAGATAGGGCTTAAAATATTTGTTAAAAGGCAAAAAGAAGAATTCTTACCAAAGTAGCTCAACAGGGCAGGACACTCCATCAAGGGCAGAGCATAGATATTCCTCTCGTTGACATAGTACTGGTGGTGCTCTTCAGGATAAATCTTAACTGCTACCTCCTGGTCGTGCAGCAGTCCCTTCATCACAGTTCCGTACTTGCCGCTTCCCAACATTCCGATCAAATTCATATTATCCACATTTCGGAGATTGGAGCTGTAACCAGGACCCGATGGCGCCAGAGGTGATTCCTCGGGCTCCGGTTTCTCCTTTGCTGTCCGGCAATACTGTACGGCCAGGAAGATGCCAATTATGAGGGCTGTCAATCCACCGGCAAGGCCCAGCATTGTGCTGGCCAAAAAGGACTGATGCTGCTTTTCAGTGGCCCGATTGGTGAGCGATGACCTTCCTTCGTTGGAACCCAGTTCCAGAGGAGCAGGTTCCACCACGGTAAACTGATCATTGCAAACATCCCCCGAGCAGCAGCAATAGTACCAGGAACTTTTCTTAGAAGTTGGAGCAGAGCTGGTGCACTCTGACTGACTGCAGATTGAAGTGCGATCCGTGTTGTCCTTCCAGCAACCTGATAAAAGATTTACCCAGAGAAATTAGTACGCAAAATGTACTTTTTGTAACCTTTGTGGACTTACCCTGCTTGATAATCTTCGTTCCATTGGGCGTCTGGTTCCAGAGTGTAAAGCAGAAGGTATCGCCATCATTGCACGTCCGTCTATGTGGTTCTGTGGGCACAGGCGTTGACTCTACCTGCTGCTGTTCCTGCATTTCGTCACTAGAGTCCTGATCGCCGTCATCATCATGGAAGGTGTTGTCATTCTCCTGAAAGCTCATACAGCTATACTGGCGACTGGGAACAGGTGCTAATCAAATCAGAAAATTTCCATTCATAAATATTTCATAGATAACAATGAATTAGAAGTACTCACATGCTCTGCCCAGTGAGATCAGGGCCAACAGAAGAAGCCAAGGCCAAGTATAGATAATCCAATTCATGTTTGGAATCCTTTGATGGGCCACCTTCAATATGAATTTCTTTCAATGACCCTGATTGCCCAACTGCCAACGAATGTTACGGCATTTTGTACAACCTGAAAGAGCGTAAAAGTTTATAAATACTGAGTTGTCTTCTTTACCGAATAGCATCTACGCAGGAATTATCAATAGATTGCCACACTCTCGCACCCTTTCCAACCTCTGTCCCCCGACACATTGGTCTCACATTCGGTTTGCGTATCAATAGACGATGACAATTCGCGAGCTCAGCGACATTATCAAGCCAACTGCCGATGATAATGGCCAGACCCAAATACTCGCACAGTTCCAGTTCCAGTTCCAACCCCAAACCCGAACCCGAACCCGAATCGTAACGATCGTGAAGCGTCTCAGTCGATGTCTGTCTAGATCATGGGGAGTGGGGGAAACCTATGGGGAACTACGAGCACCCACCCACTCCAAGTCTCGGGGGAACTGTTGCACTTTGGAACCCATTTGGAACCAGGCGCCGCCAGAATAAGCAAAATTATTTCAGTTGTGATTCGAGTCCAATGATGTGGATCTCGACTAGGGAATACTCAAATCATTCAGCAAAAATAAAATCAAATATTTTATATCAAAACAAAGTCTAATGAATTACAGAACTTTAGGAATTTTGGTATAACTATTTGTAGTATTTATGAGTATGATTTAGTATTTACTTTGTATGATTTATAAGACCAACTTATGTTAATCCTATAGCTTATATACCCCTGAACTTTTAAGTATTTTAACACGCATTCTCAAAGCCTCTCCGCCTACTTTACTCATTTCCCCTTGAATGCTGATTAGAACATTTTGCAGGCATTAATTATGTGGCTGGTTAAACTTATTACGCTCTACTCCCCTCCAATTATAGGGTACGTAGGTATGTCTAACATACACACATACATATGTACATACACATATACATATACATATATACATATGTGTAAATGTGTTGATACCTAGCTAGTAACGAATTTGCATTTGCGACATTTGGGTTAATTGCGGGTGACGAGGCATGAAATTTAAAGCAAGATAAGCATTTTATCAGACAGGACAGGATACAGTTATCATGCGATTATGAAATCTCCGTACGCTATCTAAAGTCAATTATTTATGGCGTTTCCAATTCAAGAATTTCTTATTTACGAATCAAGAGTGAAAGCAAAATTATCTTCTCAAATCTCGCATTTTTTGGCTTTCCATTAATAAAGTTTTCGATTAGGAATGGAACGTGATGATATTTGATAACTATCGATTTAAAAAGTTGGCACATTGTTTTACGTCAACTAATTTCAATGAAAATTTGAGCTGACCTGCCATTTCGGTCAATTCGGAAAAATTGTCATCCTAACTTAAAAGTCATGAGTGGAGAATTTCTGTGCATTTACTTTATTTTCTGGCTCAGTGTGAATTTCGTCGGCTTCATTCTTGTACTAAACTATTTTTCTACTCTTACCAACATAGACTAAGCCATTGGAAATTATATTACTTGAAATTGTCGAAAGTTGATTTCAATATGAGTGACTTAGTAAGATGGTGCTTAATTATGGTCTTGTCGCATGTGATCTTCTTTTACCATGTTTTTAGAACCGTCACTGTCTTAGCAAGGAACCGGACACCATAGGGGACTCTAACAAGGTGAATTCCTCAGAAAAGAAGAAAGATTATTTTTTTGATGACCTAGCAAAAAACGCGGTATCGCAAATTGACGAGGTGAATGTTCCTTCTCCAGATGGGGATTCGAAGATACCAGGATTGCCGGCGAAGAAGGAAGAATCAGATGCTCTTGAAGATAACGCTTCGCGTTTTAAAAAGATCGGAGAAATTGTCAAATTGATTAATCTTCAATTGAAGGTTATTAACGTGACGTACGCCCCTAAGACCCTCGAAGAATATTTCATTGCCCAGCGTCAGAAAAAGCTCTGGAGGATGCGTCGCAGGGAGAGACGTGCTGCCCAGAAGGATAAGAACTCCCACTAGACTAGTCCCTGCTCCTTTTCGATTTTTGAGTTCATTTCTCATATCAGGGATTTTATAATATGTATTTGTATTTCGTAGTGCAAATATAATTTTGATCAGACGCTATATCTGCTTCTCTCCCCCTTTCAATGTCTTCTGTTTTCTTCTCCTTTCCTTCACTTGCAGCACATGCGCAGAAGAGAATCCAAGAGAGAGAGAGAGGTGTCTCTGACGCGCCAAAACAGGTTCTACTGGCGCTGTCTCAAGTGCTCCATGGAATGGGATGGACCGCGGGCTAGGAGGAGGGACCCGCCGGCTGCTCTCGCACGATAGCCGACGGCGCCAGTTAATTGCAAATACTGCTTGATTCCCTACATTTGGTAGGGCATAGACAAACATCCAATCAATAAAAAATATTTGGAATGATAAATTTATCCCAAAAATAATCTAATTTGGAATATTATAAGCTAATCTTCCTGTCCTACTAAATTGAACTCTCCTTCTTGTTATTAAGTAATATGTACTAAAAACTCCCTACTACATGATTAATTTCCCTGCATATACTAAATTTATAGTATTACTTTTACAGTTCGCGTAGGGTATGCAAATGTCATCAAAGTTTATTTTTCCATCTACACATTTGTGTGTTTGGTCCCCTCGCAAATGTTGTTCTTTGGGGCCTGATTAACTTTTTGCGTGCTGCGTGTGCATTTGTCCATGTCCCCATCCCCAGCCTCAACCCCATCCTCACAAGAATGCGACTGCAGCCCGAGCGATTCGGGATCCATCTTCGTTCTACAGATGCATTTGGCAAAACTGCGACATTCGCAGAACAAAAAGAAACGATGTAGAAAATCAATGCAAAAACACAAAAGTGCAGGCAGACGGAGAACAGCAAGAACAACAATGGTGAAGGGAATGTGAATGGGAATGGGTTCGTAGGTCTCTTGTTGACTTTTTTGTGCACAGAGAAAAAACCGTGTTCCTGGTTATTAATTGGTTTAGTTTTTGAGATTTTTAAATACATTTTTGAAGATATAAGATGTATGTTTTAAATTATTATTATTCTTATTCTTTTAATCCGTTTTAAGAGGGTTTTAATTTTAATAAGGTAAGTCTGAATATATTTTGAGTTCAAATAAGCTTGTAAGATTTTCTTTCAGTAAACTTTAGCTGTGTGCAGACAGAGTTTTCTGCCAGGGTGGGTGGCCCACCGTCTGCCCTTCTGCGTATTTGTGTGTGTGTACTTGCGCAGAGTGGAGTAAAAAATTGATTTTTCCAAGACATTTTCCAGCGTTGTTTGCGGAAAACATTTGCACAATTATGCACTATTTTAAACGCCACTAAAAAGCTAAACTTACACTTAATTCAGGGCGATTTAAGCACTGCACCTGCACTTATAGTTGTGTTACTTATTTTATTTAAATAAACCGAAAAAAGTTGCACACTCGCCGGAAAATTTTTATTGGGGCACCGGCGCCAGTTGCGTCTGCTGTGCGGCAGCAGTTTTTTTATATTTCTCCGCTTTTTGTGGCTTTTTTATGGCACTTTAAACAAGTTTGCTCGATAGGCGGGTCGTTGTTGCCGTTTCTGCCGTTTGATTTTTCGCAGCGCGCCACCTTCGCCCGCCGACTTTCGAGGAGTGAATGCGGTTTGCTGCTCTGCTCTGCTCTCCAATTTCCTCTCTTCACTGCTCCACTGCGGCAGAGCAGAAGAAGAGGAAGAAGCGGCATGCGTGTATTTACGAAGCTGCGTGGAATGCCGGACATAGCGATTGGAGCAGCTTTAAAAGAGAGCAAGTCAAAGAGAGGTAGGGAGAGAGAGAGAGAGTTAGGAAGTCGGCCAGCTTCGGGCACTTGTTGAGCTTATTATTGTGCACTGAAAAAAAAGTACTTATGAAAGAAAATTTAAGATATCTTATTTTGAAAGAATTGTTATTTATGTAGTAGCACTCTTTTAAGAAATTATTTAAGGATATTCAGCGCAATCCAAACACAACTTTACTGCGGCAATGGGTGAGCAGGCAGCACCTGACCCACACACTGCCCAAATCCAATGCGAAGTCCGTTCTTCTCACAGTGCCCCCGAATGATGACCTCATCGAAGTCCTGCAGGAATTTCCTGGTCTTGCCACCCGGCAGCTCCACAGTTTTGGTGCCCTTCCAGCAGAGCTCCAAAAGTGATCCATACGAGTCCGGAGTCTCGCCGGAGATCGTTCCAGAGGCCATCAGATCACCTGGACGCAGGTTGCAACCGGTGACTGTATGATGAGCAATTTGCTGCAGAGGTGTCCAGTAAAGGTGCTTGAAATTAGACTTCGAGATGAGGGACTCGTTCTGGTCGGAAGCTGAAATAGTAAATTAAAAATCTATGTCAATAAATATCCTTATCAATCTTAGACAGAAATAAACCTACGTTTCAAAGACACCTCCAGATTAATATCAAAGTTGAAGGGAATGCTCTGGCGTAAATAAGGCAGCACTTCTGGCTCCTGGGGGAAGTTATCCAAGAGGAAGGGCTTTAGAGCAGCTGTAGGCACTACCCAGGGTGAAATGGTGGTTCCCAGGTTCTTGGCCGTGAAAGGACCCAATGGGACATACTCCCACTTCTGGATATCCCTGGCACTCCAGTCATTCATAAGCGTGAAACCAAACACATTTTTCCAGGCCTCATCCACGCGGATGGGTTCTCCCAGCTGGTTACCCTTTCCTCCAATGAAGAAGGCCATTTCCAACTCGAAATCAAGAAGTTTGCAAGCTCCAAAGACTGGCTTCTCTGCTCCATCGGGAAAGGTTTGTCCCAAAGGACGGCGGATGGGGGTACCAGAAACCACAACGGAACTTGCACGACCATGATAACCCACTGGCAGATGGCGCCAGTTGGGCATCAAAGCGTTATCCGGTCCACGGAACATAATTCCCACATTGGTGGCATGATGAATGGATGAGTAGAAGTCAGTATAGTCACCAATCTGGGCAGGCAGGTGTAGTTTGATATCAGACTGGGGAATGATAGAACTGAAAAATATAATACATTGATTAAAAACTAAAGAGCTTCACTAACTAAACTACTAAGCCACACTCACACTGCTTTCAAGTCCACATTCTGATCCAGTTCGGAATCCTTGGTTAAAAGCTTCTGAGTCTGGGTCCTCACAACATCCCAAGCTTCAAAGTCCAATCCCATAAGCTCATTCAAAGTTTCCGCCTGCAGGCTTTTCTGAACTTGGAAAGGATACAGCTGCGAGACAGCTTTCAGGTCCAGGACATGCTCCCCAATGGCCACACAAATCCGATGAACTTTCTACGGGTGGAGACAAGAAAAATACCATTTACGATATACAGATACGATATGATATGAGGCCTTATCAGAGCTGGTTGCGGGGTTATTAAAGATTGGATTAGCATATTGTTTTCGTAAACAAACTAGTTTTTTGTTGGATGATGTATGCAAATGTTATGCCCCAAAGCGGTTTCTGTTCTAGAGTTGATTTCTAGAACATGTGGAACGATCCAAAGTCACATGGAAAATCATGAAACTAAAGAAAAACTTCAGTAAAGTTATCAAAGGTTTGCTTATGGGTTATAATAACAGAACTGAATCTAAAGCACTTTGGTTGAGAGAGTTATCAAAGCCATTGTTTGAAAATCGCATCAAAAGGTTTTTACTTAAGTAATATATCACTCACATTGTTTTCGGTTGAGAAAACGGCATAGGGCAGATTTTCCAGAGGAAAATCGCTGCCTGCTGGCACTGGCACAAAACTCTGGGACATTTTAAAAGCACTCAAAGTGGAAAACTTGGGCAGGTGGGTGCGAACCAATAAACTAAAGCAGAGAACCGAGAAAAATGTGCGCGGAGCCAGAGTGAGCTAGATAACAACTGAGGAGCTTCCCCTACACGATCCGCTTTATATAGGCTCTCCAGACCGCAAGATCCCGCTGTTCTCTTAACAAAACCAAGCCCCCAAAGCTGAAGAGCACCTCCAGCAGTAAATGAAGAGAAATATTTATTGCGCTTTGGTTACTTTTATTTTTATTTACCCATATATTTATATATATAATATATTCATTTGCATTTATATAGATGTTGGAATAATTCTTGTTCTGGTTTTGGTTTGGATCTCTGCAAATACATATACATTAATTTATACATACATAAAATGAGCGTGATGCTGGATAAACTTAGTTAACACGCTTTAAAATACTATAATTGTTTAATTCATTTTTATACCATTTACTTTTTGACTTTTGCTTAATTTGAGAAACGAGTTTTGGGTACAGGTAGAATGTAATATGTCTGATTGTGTTCTTCTGATTAAAGGACTTTCCATTCCAGCCATTCTCGATCGATAACTGATCAAAAACTTAACGGAAAACAGAATCTTCCAACATTCGTAATTGAGTTTAATTGACACCGGGTAATATATATATTTTTGTCAGCCATTTGCTGGAAACTAAACTCCAACTAATTCGATTATACGTATTCATGTCTATATATATAGCACAGTTCGATACATGGACTAATTGGGATCTGGAGTTCAGATCCCCTCCCTCTTTGGTTTTGTCTATACAATTAACAAGCACAGGTCTCTTTCGATCTCGTTTTTATAAAGGTACGCATGGCCATAGATATATGAAAACATTTACTATTTGCAAACAAATCAAAATCAACGAATTGAACTAAAGTCCTCACCTCCTCTTCATCTTCTCCTGATATGTTAAGATAGCGTTCCAACAGTTTCTATATCGTATATTTCATAGTATTTCAGTATTTTAGTATTTCAGTATTTCAGTGTGGGGCTGGGACTGTTCCTGTTCTGTTTTATAGAATTTTTGGTGGTGCGCGTGGGGAGCGGTGGCTTCTATGCTCTGAGTTCTATCATTATTTTTGCGGTATACATATAGATATTCAAATATTACTTATAGATTCTCCTTTTCTGTTCTTCGATTTAGATATAGTTGCCAACGAACGGAAATGAAACACCTCGATTATACATAGTATTTTTTTTTTGCAACTCCGGGACGAACGGATAACGACGCTTAACGAATAACGGTTAACGGATAACGGGATGAGAAATCGTAAAGGAACATCTAGCAACACGTTATAGATACAAACAAATGTACATTCAACATTGAACTCTGATGATTAGCGGAGCGGGATCTCTGGATCCCCTGCTCTCAAGTGTCTGGGTTTCTTCATTGCGGTCTCCTGATATGCTTTTACCTTAATGATACTTCTTGGTTGTGCGATCTGCTATTACCAATCTAAGCCGAACCGAACCGAACCAGACTGAAACCCCTTACAAGTCATCGCCCAGGCGGTGGATCTCGTCCAGCATAAAGTCCACATCCGCCTCGTTGACCGCCGCCGATGAGATGATCGAGCGGAAGAAGTTGGGTCGCCGATCGTCGGGCTGATAGCCAACCATAAGGGTTCCCTTCTGCATCATTCGGCCCTTGATGATGGGACAGATCTGCAATGGTAATATATTAGGATTAGTCCTTCTACTTCTAAACCAATAAAAACGTTCTGAAGTGTTCAATAATATATTTTTTGCTTACCTTTCCCAGTTCCACCTCCTTCTTGGCATCGTGTGGTACTCCTCTCAGCCGCTTGGGCACATACCAGAACGAGACGTTGACGCACTCCGGCTCCAGGATCAAGTGGAAGCGATCGGACTGCTCTCGGATTCGCTTCAGCTGGTACTGAACCAGTTCCATAAGGCGATCCTGCTGTTGCTCGAAGCCTTCAGTGCCCTTGGCCCGCCATTGGAGCCACAACTTGAAGATGTCGTTGTGCCGGCCGCACTGGATCACCTTGTCACCAGTGTCGTAGCTAATATCGTACTGCTTGTCGGTCATGAAAAGATACTCAGCCGACATCTGATTGCAGCTGATGAGAAGGCCCTGCAGAAAAGATATAAACATCGATACGGGATGAAAACTCTCACACCTTCAGACGTAACGCTGTCCATAAGTCAAGTTGAAATTTTAATTAAAATTCCGCCTGCCAAAAGACGCAACTGTGACCGATGGTAACATATTGCGTGGGATGTTCAAAAGGCAGGGTGACTTGGCACATTCGGTCTACGTTCGTCAAAGATTTCACCACGCATTGTGTGCGAGAGGGACTACCCTTGGCCATTTCGCTCCTGGTTTGGCAGGACGAACAACAAGGAATTGTTCGGAGTACAATTGGAATTCTTTACACAAACATTGTTCGATGTGCATCCAGAAGAATGTTGGGTGAACCGGGAGGAATGGGCCAGTGGAAAAGGAATTTAAAGCATGGGGTTGAGCTAGAGGTATGCCTCGAATTTGTATCGCTTGGTTGGTTTGAGGGGGATTGTTGGTGGACGCACTGCTGGCCTTTCATTTTAATTTCCCAAAACTCAAAGAGCAATTATTTTTTTATTACTTTTTAAACAATGATTTCCCTACTTTTGAGCAATAAAATGGGAAAGCTGTGAGGTCAAAGGGGTAAAGGGTGGCTTTTTCCAAACAAGTTTAATGTTGCTTACTATATTTATGTCGGTCTACGAATCTTTTTTATAACATTGCTACTGATCTATGGATACTCGTATAAATAGAACTATGGTGTACTTACATCCTCCTTGAAGTGGATCGTTGAGCACTGGAGCAGGGCTCCCATGAGCTTGTGGGGATTCCAGGTGACCGAATCGGCACTGCAAGAGTCAAATCATAGCGTTAAATGGACATTCAATTACGAATTACAAACAATTAACACTAAGCTGCCGCAGTGCGGTACAATTCCCATTCCACTAAGAAATCCAACCCCCTGCTGTTTGACAAGAGGTTAAAAAAAAGGGAGGAGGGATGCGGAAGGTCCTGGCAAGTGCCATAAATTGTGGCAATTTCAGGCCGCAGCACTTTAATTGAATTCAAAAGAGCGAGGACAACCCCCGTTGGGCACTGGAGGGTTGACATTGACAGCTAAACATCCCTGGGGGAGCTATTTACAGTTATGTGGGCGCAGTCTGTGGCACTCCGTGTGTGTGTGATTGGGCTTGGATGTGTGAGTGAGTGAGTGGGTGTCTATAAACATGATCCTTATGGAGTGCCTGGAAGTATGCTTCACTTTTTTGAGCACCTCGTGGTGTTAGGATGAGGGGCATACAAGGGGGTATGAAAGCATTTGACTTACAGGCAGCATGTGAAGCTAAACTTTTAAGATGAGATTTTCTTGCGATTGTTTTAAGTTTACTTCCCAAAATAAAACTCAGCAGATTTAAGAGAATCCATCGAAGGACCATTAATCAGAGCTGCGTAAGCCGTCGAAGGCCACAGAATGTCAGCTGCATGGGCATTTTAATGATTAATTCGCGCTGAGAGCCTTTCAATTAAGGACCTCAATTTGCATGCCACAACAATTCGGGCCTTAGGATCCATTCAAACTAATTGAAGGCGTTCGTTCGCCTGGGTGATGGATGGCTGAGAAATGGGAGTGGGTGTAAACCTCCACCGGGGGCAATCAATTTGAAAGTGTTTATGGAGTCGGCAGCTTGACCGCAAGCTGTCGATACTGCGACAGCTGCACTTGCCGCATTTGCCTAAGCTTCCCAAAGACTGAGCAGAATTAAAGATGTTCTATGGATTGCCGATTGTAAATGGATTCCAGTTAAAATGGGAGTTGGAGATGGAGACTAAGTGCATTTCAGGTTGCGACTTTAAAATTAAAAATTCCTCGCCCGGGGATGAATCTCTGACTTGCCCGCCCGCCCATTCATTGTTTGGCGTAATTGTTGTGTAAGTAATGCCCATCCAAAACACCCTCCTGGGGTTAGATGGATGGCTTAGGGAAAGGGACCCGGCATATCCACTTTGTTCATTTGTTTGTTCGGGCCAAAATGCACTCGGCTTGCGCCTTGTAATCCCTGTAAGCTCTGAACACCTGATGGACCCACTAAATGACAAATTGAGATTTTTCCCACATGTTCAACATGAATCTGTTATTTCGAAAGGGGCGGACGGGAAAGCGAGCAATGCGGGCCATTTGGGAGCATTTAGATTTAAATTTACCCAAACTGAGGAAGAGATTTCAATTTGTGTTTTGACTGCTTTGACTGGCCGGAAGATGAGGGCGCCCGAGGCACAAAGTTCATGTCAAGAATGATGATGAATAGGTAGAACAATTGCTTGGGACAAAAGATAAGGACTTCTTAAGGGTTTTTAAAGTACTTCAATAGGACTCAAAGGAACTTGAAAGATATGTCAACCTAAGAAATGCTCTTACTTAAGGTAAGTTTGGAAAATAATGCATGGTTAGAAAACAATCAAGGTTTTCCACTCCCAAAAATATATTTTAATAGAAACAAGAGGAAACGCTATAGTCGAGTGCCGCGACTATAAGATACCCGTTACTGTTTTACACAATTTTAAAATATTAATTTTGCTAGTGGAAATTCACAAGGCGCCACCTATTGTCAGAGGAAGTATGTTGAGTATGCTTATAGTGACGTCACTGCCCATGTGAGGCCTTATAACCTTAATTTCTTTATAAATAGCGAAATAATGTTCCGATTTGAAAAATATTTTGTAAATCAATAGATATTAAGAGAAATAAGTTACACAAGGTCAAACGAAGGCATTCATAATAATATTATAGACTCCACAGTTTTCCGCGGTTTGTGGGCGTTAGAGTGGGCGTGGCCGGATGCAACTTCGTGGCAAGTTGCAGAAGCATCTCCTAAATACGTGTTCCTAAGCAAAATTGTGTAGCTCTTATAGTTTTCGAGATTTTTGCATTTTTGGTTTTTCAGGTTTTGTGGGCGTTAGATTGGGCGTGGCGTGATCGGAAAAAAACAATTCGCATTGGGAGCATCATAGAAACATACATGCTTGATCCGAACTTTCTATCTCTTATAGTTACCGAGATATCAGCTTTTCTAGAAAATCGGAAAACCGTCTTTTGAGCCTTGTGGGCGTATGGGTGGGTGTGGCCGGATAGTAGTACTACTATAAGATGCGCTGTCATCTAAAGATTATACTTTCTGAATTTCAACTTTCTAACTGCAATAGTTCCTGAGATTTCAGCAATTTTAGTTTTTTGCGATTTGTGGGCGTTAGAGTGGGCGTGGCAGGATGCTGTAATAAACTTGCGCTGTCCCGGGACCTCAAGAATCTTCATGCTTAATCTCAACCTTGTATCTGCTATAGTTCCTGAGATCTCAGCGTTCATACGGACGGACGGACGGACGGACGGACGGACGGACGGACGGACGGACGGACGGACGGACGGACGGACGGACGGACAGACGGACATGGCTCAATCGACTTCGCTATTGATCCTGATCAAGAATATATATACTTTATAGGGTCGCAAAAGCTTCCTTCTATCTGTTACATACTTTTCAACGAATCTAGTATACCCTTTTACTCTACGAGTAACGGGTATAAAAATATCCACAAATTATAAAATGGCTAAGCTAACCATTCAACTTACCGCTCAACGCCAGTAAATCTGGGATGACGATGCTTGCGGGACATCATCAATCCACCGCCCCAAGCAGCCTGCAAAGATATCAAGGGAAAAAGGGAAAATGGATTTAATATATATCTTTTATGGATTATAATCCCTTAATTTCCACCTATTTTATTGTCTCATATTTAACCTAAAAGAGTACTCACATCAATGTGCATCCAGCAGTTGTACTTCTGGCAGATGTCTGCAATCGTGTTGATATCATCGAAGGCTCCCAGGACAGTGGTGCCGGCAGTGGCATTGACAAAGAATGGGATGTCGCCCTTGGCCTTGCGCTCTAGGATCAGCCGCTCCAGCTCCGAGGTAATCATCTTGCCATGCTCATCAGATGGAACCACAATGCAGTGATCAGTGCCCAGACCACAAACGGCAGCACAAGATTTAATCGAGTAATGGCACTGATCCGAGGTGAACATCACCAGGGTGCCAGGCAATCCCACCGAGCCGTGCTCCTTGTAGTTCGGGAACATCTTGTGGCGAGCAGCCAAGAAGGCATACAAATTGGAAATGGAACCTCCTGGGGCCAGAATAGAATCGCCACCTGACCAGCCTATGATCTCACGCATCTTGGTCAGCACCACGTTCTCCATCAGGATGAAAACTGGCGCAATCTCATAGGTGAACATGTTGGTGTTGGCCGTGGCTGTCAACCACTCGCCGGCCATGGAGATCAGGTCCAGACCATTGGACAACTGGTTGAAGAAATGTGGATGTCCTGGAAAATGCAAATATTTATATAAAGATTACATAATATCTTATTACATCCTTTCCCTAATGTTAAATTCCACTCTTTAATTATTATTTTCGGAACTAATACTTTTGACATTTGCTGTGTGCCTGTCTAATGTAGCTGAAAATGCTTTTCCATTTGGCCACGGCTGTCTCTTAATGTCCCAAGGACTTTTCTCGCTTCTCGGTTCTCCGAGTGATTCTAAGCTGACAGCAGATGTGCCTGGCAGCTGTGCTTCCTTCAGCCATCACCCATCAGCCTCCAACCCAGAGCTTCCTGGCAGTGTTTTTTGTTTTATTAAAAATATATATTCGAGGGCAGTGGAAAATGAAACAAAGGCCCAACCAAAACACGGCTGACTGGCCTCGAAAGGAAAAATGTAGAGGAATAGAATAGAAGGAGGACAAGAAAGACCGCCGGAAGTGCATATGTTCAAGGGCAGACGGTACAAGGTCCTGGCCAATCGATGGGGGCTAGTCTGCTCGGATTTCATATCCCCTGATCAACAAGTTTGGCCCTGTAATCCTTAAGCCCCAGCTCCCGCTTAGCTCTATAAATTGCTCATTTATTGTAGCTAATTGCGACTTGCCGGGCTTCGATTTTGGGGTGCCAATCTGTGGGGAATGAGGGAAAACTCCCACGAAGAATCACAAAATGCTTTCAGTTAGCATCAGGAAGCTGTCCCAACTCCCCGCTCCTCCTTACTCCAGGTTGAACCCTTCGGCGTCTGTCAGTTCACATCTTGAGTGCCATAAGTCGTGTGATTAAAATCCCATTGCCCACAAGGCTAAATCCACCCACAGAAATATGTGCACTGAGAAAAAATGTTATGCAAAGGGATTTGGAAATAACCTCAATTAAAAGGCAAAACAAAGACAACACTTTTATTACACTCTTTGGCTGTGTTAAAAGTAACCTCTTACCCATTCATTTAATTAATATTTTTTCGTTAAACATCGTTTTCACTGTGCAAGCTGACAGAGCGTTGGCATCCAAACATTTCAATTTGCGCATGTGGCAAGGATATGGGCCGTCGGAAGGAGGACTCGAATCGAGCGGATTCACCCTCGCCCCGGCAGCCATTCATTCGCATCAAAGGATCAGGAATGCAGCGAGTCAGAAAATAACAACGGATTTTGATTAAAGCTCCCCTCGTTTTTATGGAGTCCTCAGAGGAAGGAAGAGTCGTATCAGGTTGCCCGTCTGACAGGGCGGGAATTATGTGAGATTACGGATCATAAATGGGACTCTTATCGAGTCCCGACAGTACTATCTTTTCTACAGTAAAATGTGCGATTATTTTAATTCCTTGTCTTTGTGTTTGGGCAATAACCCAGCCATTTTCTCAAGGAAAATGTTTTCTTTATTTTAGAAGAATTTCATTTTCAAATCTTACAACTAGTCAGACATCTGTCTTCTTGACTTGAAACTTATTAACTGGAAACTTTCTAACAGCATTTTAATGAGAGAAAAACTAATTGCAACTTAGACCAAAACTTCTCACCACATACAACCACTGACATATACCCTGGGACTAGGCATCCTAATTACATTCTTTTCCTTTCCCAAAAAGTTTCCCATGCAATCTGAGTTTATTCAGTTGCCGTCTTGATTGCGTAGAGTTTTAATTCAATTTTTGGCAAGCCAAATGGGAGCAGAAGGATAAACAGCAGCCCAGCCTCATTTCCTGCAAACCAAATCAAGGAAGCAACGCCTGTTTCCTAGACAAGGCCGCAGTTTCCGTGGGTGGTGGGCGTTGTATCAAGGAGATGGAGTGGGTGGACTGATGTGGTGGGGTGGCTGTAGTAAATACGCTTATTATCGATACTCCAAACACAATTGCGGTCACGTGCGAGGACTGCACAAACATCGAAGGACAAAGACAGCGACGGTCGTCTGGGGACTGGGGACTAAGGACGGCCTCTCGCATTAATTTTCAATGAAATCAAATCAGCAAGGACATTCAAAACAAGCTGGATGAAATGTGAATACAAACTAGAGACCTTCGGTTACCTCTTAATTAGATTTGAGACATGTGACTTGCAATATTCTATTAGAAATGTAATATCCGAATAAAGTTTATTAAATATTTTTCAGACTTGCAGAGAAACTTTTATATTATCTCTTTTCTTGAAATGAAAACCTAAACTTGCTTAGAAATAAATAGAACATTTTTGAAGTAAAGTACCTCTTCTTTTTACTCCCCACTAATATCCTCCTCTATCATAAAGTACTGGGTATAAAAAAGTTAAAAGTGAAACGTGCGAATGACTTTTGGCTGCTAAAGCCGCGCCACACAGCCCAACCCTTTGCCAGATTTATGATTGATGGCAGACGGGAATCGCTGGGGGATTAGAGAGCCCTGAGCGAGTGTTTTTGAAAGGTGTAAACAAGCCAGGAGCGCAGCTCAATGGGCCATAAAATGGCATTGTCTGCTGTCTGCCCTCTGTATCTGCCCGAGTGCCATCAATATGCTAATGTGCTTATCTACAAGGCTGCACACTTTGTGCTCTAATACGACCGCAAGGTCCAGAGGCACGCGTACTGCCCCCTTTACTTGGCCTTAAAAAAATATGCCACGGACCAAAAAACATATGCTAAGCAGGGACAAATTTGATTAATCTCCCAACTGAGCAAACTTTAGAAGGTGATGATAAGAACTTTAATCATGAAGATAAGATCGCCTTTGAATATTCATCGTGGCTTGGAAAAGGCAGAGATTTGGCTTTGACTTTGGCTTACAGGGTTTTAGTAAGTGAAAATTATATAACAAATGCTGTGTTACTTTAAGATATAGTACTTATATTTACACTTTCATTTTAGTTTTTTATTAATTTTAAGAACCTTTAGCTTACCCGTCTTGACTTGGTACTTCAGGGTGGTGGCGCAATCCTCGATGAGCTGCTGCAGTGGCAAAGCCCGATCTGGGACATCCAGATCCAGAAGACGCTTCATGTCCTCGGGATGGTGGAAATCCAGGACCTTCTCATTTCGGTCGTTGGTGGCCTTCACAAAGTCCAAGAGGACATCGATTACCTTCAGCAGAAACTCCCGTGTTTCTGGACCAGCCGTCACTGTGGTGGGCATGAGATCTGGATAGGAAAAACAAAAAAAAAAGAGAAGAGGGTGCAGAAAAAACCAAATGAGAATTCCTTATCGGTAAATATGAAAAGCGTGCCTCGCTGCTGACAGGAAAAATGGTTTTCCTCTCTTATCGTGATATATGGCCATTATTATTGAAATGATTTGTGGGGAGTCAGTGCGTCGTAAAAAAGATGACCAGCTTTGAGGTAAGGTAATACGAATCTCTTCAGCGGCAGGCTGAGATTTCAATTATTATTTCAGACTTTTTATGTTCGTTTATGGAGAAAATTATGTAGTAGTTTTTTCTAATAACAAAAGGCCTAAAAGTTAAAAAGCTCATGAAAAAGGTAATGGCAAAATGTAGATTAAAAATGTGATATTTTTTAGAGAAATTCAATTTATTTTCAGACCGCTTTTTTACTCCCTAAAAACACAAAACCTTGGGATTAAAATGCAGTACATCAAGCAAAGATTATTTCGAAACTAGCCGGATTTAGCCAGTACACCCCTAGTGGCTTGCATGTATCCTTGGCCCTCCTTGCCATCGTCCTTCTGCGGTGGCTGCAATTAATTACTGGGGCTTTGTTTAAGCATCAGCAGTGGCCACTAAGCCAGCGAGCAAATGGGAGCAGCTCCATTAGAAGCTCGCTGGAAATCAATTGGGAACTTAACGTTGCGCATGATTACCATTTTTTAGGGGTAGGACTTGCGGGGCGGAGGACAAATTGTAGCAATTTCAAAAATTCCTCGAGTTTACGGCCAAGAAGTTAAATAAAATTTAATGTGCTCGACTGCTTCAGTGGGTGCTCAGTGTCAAAGGCAGACGACGTTGGTTGGTTGGTCCAGAATCCTGGCTAGGCATTAGGAACAGCCGTCACACACGAGTCCTGGAATCGAGCGTGAGCAATATCCTGTGACTAAACGGTTTATGTTTGTTGGCCTTTCAATTTGAGGCACGCGTCTGCAGCCTCGGGGTGTATCCAGCCACCTTTTTTCTGGTCCTTGGAAGAATACGAGTCTATATATCGAATGGTGGTGGATTTGTTTGACTTTCTGTCTGTTTGTTTCGTTTTTGTCGAGTAAAATCTGTTACAGGGCAACAGTCGCCAGTTTTACGCCTGAACGAACTAGCCAAGAACACACACGAAACAGGAGCTTCCAGTGCTGGGCCATTTATCAAGGACACGAGTGTCCTGGACAGCCCACCGCTTGTCCATGTCCTTAAACAGCAGACTTCTGTTTGCTAGGGCATTGCCCATTTACTGTTCTCCCTGTTCCTGGCCGTGTCAGTTTAACACTCGTTTATTATTTGCCCAGCCAAAAGCGATTCGAGTGCAGTTATGCGAAGGAGCAATGTTTGCCTGGATTATTACCAGGACCAAGTAATACCCCCTTTGGATGTTCATGTTCATAAAATATGTTCCTTGTGCAGGAATTTGACAGGTTGGAGTAGCGCATTTCGAAAATAAATCCCTGCTATCAGCTAGAAATAATCCCTGGTTTTGTTGCAATTTATGGTTATGACAGGGCAATGCAAGATTGCATATTAATTACTGATTGGAAAAGTGCATACTGCGGGTTTTCTTGTTTTGTTTATTTGTGTTTATTAAGAGGTTTTGTCTAAAATATGTTTTAAATAGAATTGGCTTACTCTTAGACTTAAAATTGTTTCTTTTTCTTTTTGAAATTCGAATTTCTTCAGAAGTATTTGCCTGTTCATTTTGAGAGGGTTAAAAATAGACAAAAATATCAAGTTTAAGTTAAAGGATAACCTTTCTTCTAATATTATGATAATAACTTTAAATAAGCAAGAATAATAATATTCTTAGGAAGATTTATATAAACTAAAAAGTGATTAATAGGAGACCCTTTTTGATTGTCATTTATAATCTAACATTTTGATTTTATAATTTAATAATTTCAAAGTAGATACTCACCATATGCCGTCAGCTTGCCCGTCCTCTCGGACAGTTTATACCCGTTCGGATTGAGTGACATTTTCTCCTCTGCAAAGATAATAAGCAGTAAAGGGTTAATCAATTACTAAAAAGAATCTCAAGCAGCAGACTCTCTTCTTATAAGTAAGGAAAAATGAAGCTCGGCCAAATGAAGTGAGTCAATGTTATGCAATCGACCGAATCCTGAAGGCCCCCATGCAGGTGTTATATAAGTCCTTGCCTTTCGTAAAACCCACACATTTTCCCGCTACACCCACACACACACACACACAAATTGCATAACCAAGACAAACAAACAAATGGTGTGAAAATGCAATGGGCGTGTAAATAAACAGAGTGGAAAATGGAATGGGAAAAGGTGGAAGGAAGGTAGAGGGGGGTACGTTGGTACAAGGACAACTGAAGGGCAAGCCCAAAGTGGGAGGTAAATAAGTGGTATATAGTATATACACAGATTTGAGGACACCTCCTTCCGCTCTTTTTGGCGCCACCTGCTATTGCGCAGTGAGTGCTAAGCCAATTTCCTGCTAGTATATATTTACAAAGTCTATCTATATATATATATATGGGTATATAATTTACATAGGGATACAGACAGAGCGACAGCTGCAGTTAATGGCGAAAACCTTGGACAGTACGAAACTTATGCAACGAATGTCAGACAAAATCGTGGGAGTCTTACCGATAATCCTGCGAATATCGTCGATATACTGCTTTAGATAATTCACTTTGACTGTGTTGTTGGTGGCGACGAATCACCGACGTGGCTTTCGAATACAAAATTAACTAGAGGAATGTGCGAGTACGATAGATGTATCGAAATATGTATCTCTAAGATGGAGCTGCGATACTACTTGTGGTCTAACAATAAGCGACAACTTACAGAGTTCCTTCAAGCAAAAAAAGAGAGCACTGAAAAACACACTCGCGGGACGGAGCTGTAACTCACTGATTAAACGGACTTAACTCAAGCTGAAAAGGATTACTGGCTTTTGTAATTTAATTACTTTCTTTTTTTCTTTTTTTTTTTATTCAATTAGGTATATATTTTGAAACTTTCACTTGGTGGAAAACTTAGAGGGAACTGAGCAGCCTACACTCGCTGACGATCTGCGGAGCTATGAGCACCAGCATCCGTCTGGGCTGCCTACGAAGCTTTTCAGACCCACAAAATGGCTGCCCACACACAGGGACACAGGCACACATATACTACTACTCCTCAATCTCTTGCATAACCTTCAGGCGAACAGCAGCAAGAACAACAACAACAGTGCCTGTGGAAAATGCGGGAAATTCTCTGGGTGACGTCATTGATTTTTCGGCAACCATCTTTGTTGAACCATTTTGCGTGGGCGGAGCTTAAAAGTATCCAACAGATACACACAGCACACATAAAATATGTGCGCACGCCTGGTAAATACTAAAAAAAAAAGCGAAATATAGGAAAAATAAAAAAATATATATGGGTTCTAGAGGAAATAATGATTCTGAGGGGGCGACCAAATGAAAAGCTAATTAACAAACTAATTTTGCCACTGTTTCTGACATTTACAATGACCCACAACTTTTTATGAGAGTTCCTGCCAAACGACAGTGAAAAAAAACCTTCGTAATTACTATTTCCCCTATATACTCGTATGTTTGAATAGATATATAGAACCTAAAACATGCTGGGTCGCAGTATATAGAGCAAAATGAAATTTGGGTCAAAGCTAGGCGGCCCTCCCTTCCCTCCCTCCTGCTGCTCCTAGGCAAAAAAAAAGATATGTATCTAGGAGTGAAATTGCATCATTTCCAATAGAACGCTTTTCATAGCATACTTTTGAGGGTCTCAGCACACACATATTGGTATGTTATGTAACATGGAAAAAAGGAGCAAAGCAGCAAAGCAGCAAAGAAGCGGTGAAGCAAAGGACCTGAAGGGAAACGATGTCCATCAAACCGGAGAAGCTTAAACAACGAGAACAGCAAAAACACTTCCCGCAAAAGAGTTTCTCCCACTCTTATCTGACATGGAGCAGCTGGCGAAGGATGTTACTACACTTGGCATGGTCTTGCTCCTTGTACAGGACTCACTGCGTCAGCATATTCGTTTCGAAGGCTTTGGCACTTGAAAAGTGTCTTTCGATGTAACTGATTGCAACTTAAGAAGGCCATTACAGTAGCAATAACTCCCCACGGAAGTCCTTGTGATCAATTTTTTATTTTATGCTATTTTCACAGAGTAAATAAAAATTAAATGGGCACTTAGTTTAAGAGGAAAGTTGTTAAATACTTTCATTTGAATGGTAGAAATTAGCATTGAGTTTGTAGGGGAAAAGAATTACATTTTTATGGCCCTGCCAGTTTTATTAATTACTACAAAAAGTCTGGAGAAGAATCAAAAGTAATCTTGTTAAGCATTCATTATCTTCACTGACCCTACAATTTAGTTCCCACAACTTGTTAAATACAAAATCTGTTTAACCTTACATCACGTGACATATATACCTCCAGTTTACCATAAGTTAGCCATCTGAAATCAGCCCGAATATAAACCCTTTAACAAAGCCCATCCATCACAAGTGTCAGACAAATATTTCCGATAGCCAAACAGCCTATGCTATTTAAACTGCCTAAAGCTAGCAAAATAAAGTCTAGCCTTATCTCTTGACCACTTCAACGGCATGTGCTACCAATAATAATTAGGCACTCCGCACTTATCGCAGATATATAGCCAGACCTCGGACAGAATCTGCGATAGTATATCCACTGATTCGCACTTGAATCTATGACACCGGCAGATAAAGCCATCAAAAGCATTTATTATTAGCAAGTGGGATTTTCGCATCGGCTTTCGTTGTGGCCGGAGTCTCAGTTGGCCAACTGCTACCATTTGGATCGGACAGCTTTATATAAATCCAGTCGAGTTAAGAGTTTAAGCATTACAAGTGGGGCAGGTGCACCGAACAATCGCATTTAATTGAGTCAAACTTTTGAAAAGCACAGTAAGTTGTACAGGGAAACGGATACAGCAGCAGACATGGCCAACAAAGGGATTTAAGGCTTAAACTGGTTTTAAGACCGATGTGTAAAATACTCTAAACAATAGGTTGTTCCAAGATTTTAAAGTTTGTGATGAGGAAAAGTACTTTATTAATGATTAAAAAGGCAAAAAACTTCATGTTTGAAAGTTTGAATCAAGGCTGAGATTGATTTTCCATAAACAACAATTTGTTATTAAAGAGTACTTTTTCACCATCAAAGAATCAGAACAGTATAAAGAGTTAGAGAATCTCTAAACCTAAGAAAATGTGTAAACTCAAAAGAATATCTGCATACCCTTAGATAGAGTATAACCAGCAAAGGAAATACAATGAAACTACCTCTTAAGCAGAAAATAGGATGCTCACCTGGCTGTGATTGCACTAAGCGCAAGTAGGCCCTGTAACCCAGATAGGCGAAAATGTTTGGAGTCTAGTGCCACCCACGGATGGATGTGGGTTTGCCGGGAAGTTAATTCAGACTGGGAGTTTTTGGCCAGGACGAAGCGTCCTCTGTCGCACTCGACTCTCAACTGCGAGGCAAAAGGACCAGAGTACCAAAAGGACCAGAGAATGCTCTTCACCCGTGGGCCATAAACATTTTTCCGGGCTAAAAATATAGGGGAGTTTGGGGTTGGAAGCTTCTGGCTGCTTAGCCTGTCATTACGATGACAAAATAAGATTCCAGCAGGTTGGTTAGCTCAGGTATTTTTGTGAGGTATTTTAGAGACGAGAATTCGGTTCAAAAGCGTTGCCAGGATGCCTGGAACTTCGGTACTGAGAGGGACAGGTGATTGCATAACCCTTTTCGGTTTGGCAAATCAAGCGCATGAAATTCGGATAGCAAATGCTCGGGATAACAATGGTGAAGGGATTAGGCCCCTCGGGGGTAGTCCCTACCCAGAAGGCTGCTTTTTGCTGCCTATTTTCGAGAGCGCGATAATTGCATTTCGAGCACAATTGCTCCTATTGTACGAGGCCAAACGGTCTCCATTTTGGCCCCAGTCCCCCAAGGATAATACACCCTCCTACCTCAGAACCAACCCCACAGCCCAACCCACCAATCTTGTAATCCACCCTTCTCTTTCTAGCCCAGCGATGGGAAAGCTTGTGCGAAAGCAACAGCAAGAAATGGGGAGATTGGGATTTATTCTCGTACTGCCATTGGCCATAAGCCTAGTCTTTACTGCGTCTGCGCAGGCTGTGACGTCATCGCCGGTCCCGAAGGACAACACATTGGGGGATGCTGCGTTGGCATCGCAGGCAACAGCCAAAATCCTTGAAGACGTCCAAACCATCAGCGCAGTTCAGGATTGGAGTTTGCTGTGTAAAGAGCTCTGCGGGTAAGTTTCGGATAAACAGCAATCCAAGAACTCTACAAATCACTTCAGTCAAGTGACTTGTAGGCTAGTAAAGTTGAGTGAAACAAGTGTTTTTCGTCAAGTGTAGGTTTTCCACAGAAAGTACGTAGTAACGATGACAAAAGAAAAGTAAAACAACAAACGTGTGCGCCATGGTGGCCATGAGAAATCATTGGCAAAATGCGACGGCTTTTTAAGTGACGTCTATCAAGTTTTTCCCGTAATCGAAAATGTCACCTAACATTATAATCCACATTCCTGATCGCTACCTGTATCTATAGTCGTGTGTTCTATTTTTTGTGAAGTGCAAGATATGTTAATGGTACTCGAAATTAACGCAAGTTTGTGTTCACGTGAATAACTTGAAAAGTTTATGTTGAGAGGGAAGAAAGTCATTCTGATTATTGTTATCATTTTGGTGGGCACGTGTGCAGGAATAGTTGTAGAAAATCCATTGGAATTCTGGTAGTGTTTTGTTATAACAAAAAATTGGAAAAATATTTAAATTCTAAATAAGTCTTGTTAAAAATAATTTCCTGTGTAAAAAGTTGTTAAATTTCTCGGTTCTTTATTATATTTCTTGAAGTGAAAACCAAAAATAAAAAGTTGTGAAGTTGAAAAACAAGATTTTTAGGAATAAGCTTAGAGTTTCCAAAAACCTTTATCATATTATTTAAAAAGATTTTTAACCAAAAAGGTTATTTTAATCTTAATATTTAACGTATAAAACAGTCAGAAAACTCAATAAACTCAATGAGCCCATATCACTATAAGTCGCTATTAATGTGGCTTAAAATCATATTTCTAAGGGTAATCCTTCAGAAAATTCTTAACTTATCAGAAATTTTATATTTGCGCCTTTTAGAGCCGGCCTGGGCTTAGCTTTAACGCCTGATGGGCCCAAGGACTCGATCCTGAGACCGGAGTTGGATGTGGCCAAGTGCCGGCAACTGTGTGGACTGCCTAGGGGTGAGTAGTAAAGAGATGATCAAAGATAATTAATCTTCTAATTAATTGATTCTTAAAAAGCTAATCACACATTAACTTTATTTTCAACAATATTAATCTCTTCTTGATATATTCCTTGCAGGTGGCGTGGGCGACTTGGTCTGCTCGAGCTTCTGCGGGCAGAGAGGTCGCTCCTTACCCGGCTGCAGTCCCTGCCAGCAGGAGGTGCGCAGGATGAGGAATGAGAAGGTTCTAAAGAACGAGACGAAGGCCAGTGGAGTGCAGGGAGATCCAACACACGGTTCCAGCACCGGGGGTAACATCCTCCAGAGATCAATTGAGGAAACTACAATAACAACAACAACAACAGTAGCCTCCGTGGTAGCCGGGTCAGATACGGATACCACCACTCCGGCCCCGGACTGGGACGAAGTGTGCAAGGTGCTCTGCAAGACTGGCGATGGCGGGTCTTTGTGCAACTGTGATTTATCGCCGTTCTTCAGCTGAGCGATCCCCACCTTCCTGAGGGGATCGCTACCGATGGAGGCGCTAAATCACAAAACCATTATATATAGATCGAGAATTATATAACGTTTTGTTGTTCTTCGTTTTTGGACTTCAGTTAGTGCTAGTGTTTTCTTCACGAAAGGTATCTCCCATATATCTTATATATCGGAAAACTTGTTACAAGAGTTTAGTTAAATGCTGTAAAGACATATAAAAAGTATAAGAAAATCTAAAAAAAACAAAAACAACAAGAATCATAGACAAGATTATACGAGGAGGAGGAGAAAAGCAAAAAAAAAAAGATCCCTATGCGAATCAATTAATTTGTAACTAATTTCAATTACTAACTAAAGCTATAGGCTAAGAAAAAGGAGACGGGCAGCCGTCTCTTTAAAAACAGCAAGATCACAAAGGGCTTCCAGTGGGCCGTCTAGGAGGATTAGGGTCTTTATACCAAATGGGATCCGAATTCACCAGGGCGGACACAACCCCTAATTAGGTGATGATGATTAGTTCAAGGAGTTGGACTAAGGAGACAGAAGTTAAGAGATAAACAACCAATTAATATCAAAGTACACAACATATCGTGGTATATACTGTACCCAAAACACTCTACACTTAAAGAAAAACCCAATCAGATAAATTTTTATTATATTACTTACACCTTGGTTCGATGGAATCAGCATATCAATTTACCACGAGGCAACACACAAGTTGGTATCCAAAGAATTTCCTTTGTTTTGGCTTACAAGTTATTGGCGAATCAAAAGCGTTGAGATATTTGAATCAGCATCAATTATGAATGTCGCAATTAGGCCAAAGTGCCAACCAAGAGTTTAGTGTTGGTTACGGCCCTATAAACATATGAATATAAACACTATACATGTACTTACTAACTAACAAATAACAAATGTAATTGGTCTATATATATCCATACAATGAGTTGCGATTGCAAATCAGAAGCTCAGACGGGTTATACTGGATCTACCAGACCCGTATATACATAATATATATATATTTATATATATAAACCATAATATCTAGGTGTCATATTGTTCAGCATTAATAATCGCATATAAAAAAGATATTATATGCATATTATCTGTGTGTTTGGAAGACATTTTTTCGCATTGCATTGAAATGGAAGACAATTTCAGCAAAACGCATTCTGGAAGACATGCGTTGCGGCAGCGGCAACAAGATCCGGCCCAATGCCATTATAGTTATTAAGATATTCTATACAATACTATAATAATAATAACATTTTCGATTTTTCGAACTCGAAGATATAGTCAATACAAAAGCACACGTTGTTGTGGCAAACGCGACGCTGTGACTGACAATAATTAAACTATAACTTAGGAGGAGAAGAACAGGCAAGGAAGTTCACATACTCAGTGTCTATATACCAGTAACTAAATGCTATTATTAACCATGCACTAAAATATATATATATATGTATTGCACCAAAAGTTATAACAGAGATTATCGCAATGTTTAAGGCAATTTTCAGAGCACATTCATTGATAACCTAATGCGGCTTCAGTATGTATATCGATGTGTAGCAAGTTAATCACTCAGTAATACTATATACGAAATGCACTTTACATTTATGTATATGTATATGTGTTAGGCGTTGCGTTTCTGCCATGAATACAGAACACAGGCTAACGAACCGATCACACGGATTATGCCGGAATAATATCCATAATCCATAATATTTATAACCAACAGACACATCATCATCAATTACGATAACCGAGTCGAAGACCGTTTCGAACCGATTAAATACCGTTTCCAAGTTTCGTTTTATTTTAGTTTTATGTCTTATGGCCAGGCAATATTCCAATCGGTTATATCCTCGGTCATAGTCAAAATAAACACAGCAAAATAATAGTTTTAAAGGCAATTTCACAACAAAATAACCAAAGCAAACAACTACACAACCAAATAAAGGCAATTATTATCTTATATACGTTAAATGTTGTAAAGCCCCTCTAAACAAAAAAAAGAAACAAAATTTGTTGTTTTATTGGGAATTTTGGAGGGAGATAATGGGAATTATTCATCTGATGACTCATTTCCGTTCATCACAATAGAACACTGCTTTATCAGTTGTTTGCCAACCCGATTCCTGCTTTAACAGCTTAAAGCAGTGCATAACCGCTTGAACTGCTTTGAAAAGCGTTTGAAACGATGACCGCGCTTTTTAAAATAACGGGAAAAAAGGTTTGTCATACTAATAATTAATGTTTTAACATTAATTATTAGTATGACAAACCTTTTTTCCCGTTATTCCCGTTATTGTTTTTAAAATATCCTAACTAAAAAATATATAAGCTTTTAAAAATTTTAAACATTACTAAAGCTTAAAGTGTAGAGATAAGAAGGGAGTAGATTAAAGCCCATGTTGAGCACATATTATACTCTTTCTTTTGAATTGCAATTATGAAGGAATTAACTTATAAGTGGAATTGATAAGCCTGGCTTCTGGTGTGTATATTTATATAAGAGATTTCCGGCCTGTTGATTATTAGTCTGTCTGAATTTTTCAGCGCGATCAAACCATGTCGCACTACTATACTTTAAAAGTAATTCTTCTGGGATGTATTTTATACAGCGTTTCTGGCCAAATTTTGAATAAGGTAAGTTACTTGCACTGCAATTGTATTTATATTTATATTTTAACCTTTTTTTTAATCTGACAAGCTTTTCGAAAGTTCTGAAAGTGAACTCAATCATCTTTGCGGGGAGAGCAATCCAAATGGCTTGGAGAGCAATGCGAAAGTAACCGAGGATCGCTCGAAAGTTGGCCAATATCCCTGGACGATTGCCCTGCTCAACAAGGGGATATTCATTGGAGGTGGTTCTCTGATCTCTCCAGATGTAGTCCTAACAGCTGCTCATTTGGTTGTCAATAAAAACGTGGCTGATATTTCGGTCAGAGCCGGTGAATGGAACATGGCGTCCGTTACCGAGGAATTCGGGCATGAGGATCGCCAGGTGGACAATATTACGGTACATGAGGAGTTTTCATTTCAGTCAGGAAGCAACAACATAGCCCTTCTATTCCTTAAGACCCCTTTCAAGTTGAAAAGCAACATCCGAACCATATGTTTGCCCTGCCGTGAAACGTCCTTCGACCAAAAACGCTGTTTCGTGACCGGATGGGGAAAGTTGGCTTTCGAGGATAAGAATTTCTTGAATATCCCAAAGAAAATCGATTTACCTTTGGTCAGCAAAGAAGCATGCCAGGATATGTTGAGGAAAACAACATTGGGAGCTCAGTATGAGCTGCACTCTAGTTTAATGTGCGCCGGCGGTGAGAAGGGCAAGGATGCCTGCCTAGGTGACGGAGGATCTGCCTTATTTTGCCCAATGGAAAGCGATCCACAGCGTTACGAACAGATCGGCATCGTTAACTGGGGCATTGGTTGTGGCGAGGAAAACGTTCCGGCTACGTACACAAATGTGGAAATGTTCCGAGATTGGATTGATCGCCAGCTGGCCAGAGACATGATAGGTGTTCCGCTGGCTGCGAAAATACCTTTACAATTTAAAAGGGAAAACCCAATTGTATAACTTTTCGAAGTGCGATATGTAAAAAATAAATGCATTAATTTTTAGTGGGCATATAAGAAACGACTTTTAACGACATTAAAGAACATCGAAATGAGCTTTACAATAATCACCTTTTCTTAATCAAAAGATTTAAACTCCTATCTATGTTAATTTGTTTATTCTTCGCATAGTATTAAATCCAACGAAATCGTTAAATAGAGAACAGCAAACATAAACTGGACGTGTTCATTGCATTATAGGTAAATATATTAAAATTAAGGTATAGCGTTAATTGCTTTCGTGTACAAATATTTAACAAAGTCATGAGTATAAATTTCAACTAATCTTACAGAGAAACAAGGAAGATACATTGTGCTCGGCGCCTTGGGCGTCATTAGTTAATTAGTTTCGATCTTCTCGAGTTAAGTACAAAAGAAGGCTAGTTTTTATTTATTTTTTTTGTTTTTGTGGTCGGTGCTCGATTGGGTATCAACTGAACAGGATCTGGGATCAGTAGGTTAAAATCAATCTAAGCATTAATTATTCGTCGATTATCTCCTACGTTACTGATTCCGTTAGCAAAGTTCGTTACATGACAAAATGCTTACAAAAGTTGCTAGTTACACTATGACAGTTTACAATTGGCAAGTATGAATCGTTATCCTCGTTAAGTATCTTGATTTGTTTCCATTTTTGTTTGTTGCTTAGACGTTAGTATAATATCAGCTTTCCACATTCTCTTCCGTTGCAGCCTTTCCTGTTTTTGTCTTTTAAGTGTTTTTCTTTTTTTATTTTGCTGGTCATTTGTGTGTGCAACTCCCCGCAAGGCGTTGGATTAGCTAATCGACATGCGATTAGAGAGTCGTCTTCATCATTCGCCTGCCATCTCATCGATGCGACATCGCACGGCGTGTTCGAGCACCTCCAGACTGGCATAGTCCAATTCCTTCACCAAGCAGAGAGTGGCGGACAGGAGATTCGAGCTCTGTGGAAGAGGGATATGATTTAGTCATTGATCAAGCTTATCGATGGTGCGTCACATTCCATACTCACCCTGTTTACGGGCCTGCGATGGTAGCCCGAATAGTGATTCATCACAGAGGCCGACAAAGTCGTGGTCGAGTCACTATATCTACCCTCAGGTCGTCTGGAATAGGATTACGTAAATTAGTTTAAAGTATTTAATAATGCAATTAAGACACTTAGATACTAAGTGCTAAAACTTGTTGGTAATTAACATGTAGGCTATCGGATAATGATTTCTATTAGGTAGATTGATTTAGATTCCGGTTGTAAATGGCAAAAGCTACTATCACGATGTCATTTTAAACTTAACAGGAACATATTTCTTTAAAATTTCGATCAAAAAACATGATTTATTTTAAAGCTACTTTATAGCGAATTCACGTTATCTGTTTAAAAACTCAAACACAAAAAGCGCATTTAACCCATATAAAAATGGAACCAAGTAAACATTTAAAGTAAACACGAGTGGCCTGGCCATCTGTAAAAGCAGATATGTCAGATTGTTTACCCATAATAAAATAAGTGAAAACCGCGATAACCTTATAGGCATAACCACCGGCTGACCCTGCAATGACCTCACCTCGACCTGGGCCTGTCCTCTGGATCCCATTCGCCGCCATTCTCCCGGGCACTGCCATTCCGGTAGGCCGTTGTCTCCGGGCCCGCGCTGCGTCGCTGCGGATGATGTAACTGCATTTGACTACCATAGGGATTGTGATGCACCTGGGGTGCCTGCTGGTGCTCCTCCCACTCGGTGAGGTCTGTCTGACTGTGACGATAGTGTGCTGGATAGGCCGGCCTGTCCGACTGATAGTATTCCTGTACGGGAATACCATAATTAGATAGCTTCACATTCGTTCTCAGCCAGCGATCCACGATTGCGCCTCTGGTGGGGATGACCGCGCTTACCTTCATCGAGTGCGCGGAAATGCTGGGCGGCAGCGGCGTGGGCCGCACCTCCCTGTACGCGTGCGGACTACTCTCCTGGTCGGATCCCGGCGAGCGCTGCTCGTCGAGTCCATTGGTGAGGCGTTAGTGGTGCGGTTTGCATTTTAGTTGGTTTTATGTTTTCAGTTTTGATTTTGGTTTTGGGTTTAGGTTGCAATTGGGAGCAGTGCATGGTTGGTGAGAAAGGCAGCAGATTAGAAACGTTAGATTCGAGTTGGTTGATATCCCCCAGTCCCAGTCCCCAGAGCAATCCACACATGACAAATTGTTCAGAGAGAGAAGGGGTAATGTCCCACTGGTTCAGTGGTTTTTCGGATGGGCTAGCCCTTTCTCTACACAGAGAGAAAATGTTAGTATAGAGTACTTTTAACAAAACTTTTAACTGGAGGCAAAATTTAAATAAATAAAATGATTTCCCATTATCATTCCGATCTCGTTGAATTTAAATTATTCCTAACAATCTAGTTAACTATTTTTCTCACGTGTATGAATATATAAAGAACCATTTTATGTAGTTCATTTTGGACTCTTGTTTTGGGCTTCTTCGGCAATTATAGTTGGTCCCCCAGTTCCCATCTCTGTGCTGTCGGTTCCAAAGTCAACTGACTGACTTAACCCACAAAAGCCGGCAAACAGACAATGGCCCATTGGACAGGCGGCGGTGGCGGCGGCGTAGGGTAAACGAGAGAACCTTAACCATGCCGAAGCCATCGCGTGACTATACCCCAAGTACCCATCCCTCATCCTCCTCCTCTCTCTCTCCAGTCGAGTGTGACGTGCCCACACACCCTCGAACATGGAACCTCGAAAAAATAGGGCCCCAAAAGTGGGCCCGGCAACAAGCTCAATTCTGTCATGTCGGATGCGTGGGGCTGTTATGGTGTTATTTAGTAGTTTCTGGCGGTGGTGGGGCAGTGGATCTTACATCGTATTGGTGGTAGGAGGTGCGCTGCTCTTTGGTTATGGTGTTATACATGGGCGATGGCGGATGCACGGGTTCCTGGTGGGGAAGGCCGAAACAAGATTAGTGGGGATTTTCGTTAGTTGGAAAGTGGGAGACTGATCTCAGATCTTAAATAGGTTCCAGTTTATCAAAGTTATACCTTCTTCGACAGAAACATAAGACGTTAAGCTTTAACTAATGACAAACTAATAAATCAAACTAAATTTATGTACTTTAAAAAAGTCTAAAATCAAATTATAGAAAATACAAAGTTATTTGAGTGATTTTTAAACTCCTACGGATACCCTATCTGACCTCCCATTACCTTGGTGGGCGTGGGTGGCTGTGAACCCTTCAGCGGCTGAGCCTGCTGCACCTGGCAGAGATCGCTGGCACTGTGGCTAATGCTTCCTTCGCTGCTGTTATTGACCAGCGGACTGGCCAACTGCGGCGGCTTGTTAACAAATGCAGAGTTAATGGGAAGAGGTTTAGGGAGGAAACAGAAATAGAGACCAAGATGGGCGGGGGCGAGAGTTGATTACAGAGTTCATTTACGAGGCGAGAGATTATAGCCGCTAAATCAGGGCGTATTGTGGGAAAATCCACCGAGACAATGGGAGCCATTTACCTCTTTCATGGGACTGGAGCTGCGGCGCTGCTGCTGTGATTGTTGCTGCTGCGGTTGGTGATGTTGCTGCTGGTGATACTGCTGCTGCTGCTGCTGTTGCTGCGGCGGTGAGTGTTGCGGGTAGCTGTGTTGTTGCTGCTGCGGCATTTGCTGCGGTGACGTTCGGGAAGTCTGATGCTGTTGCTGTTGCTGGTATGCATCTTCGTATACCTCATCCTCAGGAGCGGCGCCACCACCTCCTCGCAAGGCGTCGTCCAGCTCCTCCTGGGTGACCTCCACATTGTCGAGTTTCTTAAGATTGGGCAGGGCGCGTAACACGATCGCTCGATAGCTGTGATTGTGGTTAGACAGAGGTGAGACCGATCATTAGGGGCTTCTCTAGCGAACAAACCACAAACTTGCAAGATTTATAACTCAAATTTCTGTTCTTTTTTGTATTTAATTTATATTTATCAGTGAGCACGTTCCACGTTTTTTTAGGAAATCACGTTTCACTGATAACTGAATAGTGAAATAATTTAACAGGAATTGTTTTATAAACAAAGCGTTGTTTAGTCGAAGAAAGAACATAAATTAAAGACTTTATAATAACAAAAACCCTACAAAAAGGTCTACAAAAGGTTATTTTGGGAAATTATAATCGTTTAAATCTCTAAGCACAAACCCAAAAGCTGTGCTGCCTTCAAAATATTCCATTAGAGTTACTCACTTGGGTCCCGCTCGATCGCAGCAGGGATTCTCCTCCAGCCAGAGATACCTGAGGGCCGGCAGATTCTGCAGATAGGCGATCTCGTTGATGTCCGAGATGTTGTTCTTGCGCAGATACAATTCCTGCAGTTTGTTGCATTCCTCGAAAGGCGACAGAGTGCTGATCTTGTTGACACTGCAACAGGAAAATAATACTTTTAGGTTCAAGAAACTTTATTTTTAAGGGAAGACAAAGGCGCCAGCACAAACTAACTGCCATGAATCATGCTCAAAACAAGACAAAAGATTCTCCGGCATCTGCGTGCGGTCATTAGCTTGTCGGATTCTTCGCAGAATTCCCCACAAATAACAGTTAAAGAATCTCTGTATGGAGGGAAAAGCTGGTTGTCATCATTTGTCTGCGTCTAGGTCAGGTTTATACTCGTGTTCCGGGCGATTCCCCGCTTAGCACCTCGGCTCCTAACAATGCTAATTACCCTCTGAAATGGCCAATTGCCGATGGCCAAAAGCGTGCCTTGATTGGCTGCCTATCTGATTGAATAAGTAAAGAAACTACAAGATGCCACACTGAGGGAAAACTGGAGGCAAAACATAGAAGATTCTTCATGAAATTTATAGTTTTTTTTTTAGATATTTTTAGACATTATGCCTACATTCCTTCTTCCTAAAACCTCTTATTTATAAAAATCCCCCTAATAAAAAGACTACTTTATTGGTTTTTCTTCCTGTGTACAAACATTTCTATACAATACAGGGCCGGGTACGGCAGAAACAACTGTCTAAACTTAGCCAGGAAGATCGCTAAATGGCACACGAGTGCATTGCCTCAGAGAATGTCTGGTATCTGGAATTCGTGGCACCGCATTCCCTATTAATAGTCGGCCCAATAAATCAGGCCAATTGGGAGTAAGTAGGGCCAAGAAAAAGTGTCCCGCCTTAAATATGCATAATCAATGTCTTTTCCCTCGAAGAGTCAAGGTTAAACAGCACTTGAGTGCTGGCAAGTGGAAAGACCATTGATAGGTCTGTGGAAATAAAAAGAAAAGTGCTAGCAGCACGCAAGGCAAATCAATATGCACAGTCATAACGCAGGCGAAATGGAAATGAAAATGGTAATGAGCAAGGGGTGAAAATACCTCCTAGGAAATGGAGACTACGCCAACGCACTTTACCTGAGGCAAACTGATTTATGGCTCATTTATTGGCTATACCACTCCAGGCAGGCCTAGCCCAACAAAGTTGAGAACCCCACATAAACCCAACGAGTTGCGACTGAAAGGTTTTCGTTGTCTTATATTTAGCCAAGTTAAATAATGCAAACAGAGCAGACCTCTGTGCGAAGTTATTGCCCTCTGGCTTACAAGCTTGCCATATCAATTTGTTCATTCACTTTTGTATATAGGAAACACTTTCCATTATCTACGAGCTGATAAAGCTCTATGACAGTGGGCTAGTCCGCGATCGCGGTAATAGCTTCCTGATAACGAAAATAGAACAAACGTGTTCCAAAGAGGTTTAGTCTAGAAAGGCCTATTCAAGAGCTTCACTTCAGACTGGAGAATTTTTATCTCTTGGAGTTTAAAATAAACTTAATAATCAAGAACATGATCTCATGTCTTACCAGATCCTTTGTTATTGTTTTGACAACAGCTAACTGAAACTGAAATATCTTAAATGCCTTATAAATCTTTCTGTTTTCATTTTATTTTTATAAATATTTATTTGTCTTACCCACATTTTCAGGCAATTATGTGAGTCATCTTATTCCCAAGTCAAAAAGTAAGCCTCAAAAAACCAGATGCCAAATAAGGAGCACTTTTGCTTTTAATCAAGATTGGTTTACATGGGTTTCAAGGTGAATTTAATAAGCAATACCACCAAAATCTATTTCCTGTTCTCATATAAAAGGTCGATACATATTCTGTTTGTCTGCTAACTTTTTATGGTATGCCTGGAACTCCTACTCTTATTATTATTTCCTGTTTCAGACTTAAAATTATATGAAATCTGTGCAAAATCTGATTTCTTCTTAAGGCATGATATTTGCTAATTCAATACCAAAGATATTCAACGAACTGATAGCTACTTACCATAACCATTCCTACATTATTATTTCCTGTTTGAAACTGCAATTCTCACGGTTCTTTTCCCCCAAGTTCAATGCCAAATAGATCCAAGCCCCCTCCCTATAAGGCCACGAACACCTCCTCCGATATCTCTTTGATATGCATAATTAAACGATTCGCCAGAGTCGAGAGTTGTCAGCATATTGCCAGCAGATGACGGAGAAGTTTGGCGGGCGAATCGATTTCAACGACCTTGACAGCCAAAATGATTGTCGCCTTTTAAGGCAAAAGTGGCAGCAAAAGCCAAAGCAAAAACAGCAGCAGCAGCAGCAGCACATGCAAAGTTATCGAGCGTCATGCAAGTGCGACAAGTATGTACACACAAGTAACAAGTACGAGATGAAGTACAAGGCGAAACATACAAAAGTATCTGCCAGATACGAGTCATAACTATAGTATCTCTCTCTGCCCCCTACGCAGAAACCTACGCGACTTGGAATAGTACGCGGCCAGTTGGTATTGCCAATTTTGGAGCTCCCACGACTTTTTATTTTAGCTTATTTTCTGTAGTTTTCTGCGGCCGCAGCTTTTTGCATTAATTACGCGCTTGAGCGTGCCAAAGTATTTCTCGTATTTGAGCTTGCCTAATGATGGGGGGCGATGACATCACTTGAAAGCAAATATCTCTGCCCTTAAATATACATATGTATTTATCTTCCCGCTTTCTTGACGGCGGATACCACTTTGAATCAATCAGAGCAACGGGTCAGGAAATGATAATCAAGATGATCCTTATAAGAGATTTATTCCACGACTTGGACTTACCTCAGAGCCAAAACTTCCACGCCACGCATTCGCTTGATGATGGACACGTCGGTGAGATCACTGCCCCTGAAATAAACAGAGAATGGATGGTATTTTAATAATGATAAATGTACAGTGGAGCCCCCCCTTTAAAAGTCATCGCTCGCTCTTATCGCAGATGGGTCAAGAGTTTGGGGGAGGGCGAGCTCTCTTAGCTAGAAAAGTAGCTCAACTGCTTTTCACGCTTTTCACAAGCGTTTTTCTCGAGGGGCGCGTGTTTTTCCAGCCCAGGGAATCGTGACTCGCTCCAAAGTGGACACTTCTAAACTGGTTAGAAGATTGCCCCCGGATTTGGGTCGAGTGAAAGCAAGCGGCGCAGCAGAATTGAGCAGCAAAGTGGGCAGATCCCCCAGACCCCAGAGCCCAGAGCTCAGACCAGAGAGCTCAGATCATAGACCCATACAACAAAGATCGAAGCTTTCACTACGGCTGCACCTGCCCCGGCACGATTAGCAATAGATCACTGCACGGGCGGAAATTATATCGAAAATCGATTTAGTGAACAGTGGCGTAAAGTATGTCGATTTGAAATAATGATTGTAAATAAAGAAAAACGATAGATTAACTTATATTATAAACTCCATTCAAAGTAATATAAAAATATTGAACAAGCTTAGGAAACATTTCTTAAATATTCATAAGAAATATATTTTATAAGTTGACTAACTCTGTTTTAAGGGTTACACCAAAATAAATACATTCACAGTAAATTAAATTTTAAAAATGTTCCAGGAAGAGATTCATAAATATTTTTAGTTTTAGTCACAAACATGTTTTTACTGCTTTTAATATGTTTTAAAAAATTCTAAAAATACACAAAGTGATAAATATATTGATATATTTAAAAATGAAAACAATTACACAACTGGAATTTTTGTGGAACGATAATACCTATTCCTCTTAAAATATTCTTCTAAATAACAATGTTTATAATAAGATTCAATTTTCTATATTTATTCCTAGTATTCTGAATTAGTTACTTACCAGCAATTAAGCTTTTTAATCAGGGCCAGATCGGACTGCTTGGCCCGCGCAATCACCATTTCCTCGGTGAGTCTCGACATTGTCTGTGATTGTGATTGTAATTGTGATGGTGATGCTGTTGCTCCAACTGGTGTTCAACTGACCCGTGGCCACAGGTGTGCCACTTGCAGATTCCGGCTAAATATATATGTATATACGCCGCCGATGGTTAACCTCGTATTTAAGCCGCTTGTGAATGCCCAATTTTAGATGGCGAGAGGTGAGCAACAATGCAATGCAAACGAAAACACCAACAAGAAAAAAAACAACTACAACAACAGGTTACGCTGGCTAGGTAAATAATAATGTTGTTGTTGTAATCACTGGCGTGTCGTAGGCGTTGCCTTATTGTTGCTGCAATTTTTTTTTGTAATTACGTAGGCCTCCAGGTTTTCAAGTTCCTTTAGTTTTTGGGTTTATCAACCGCTTGACGTTGGAATCTCGTAAGATTGTTATTTCTTATATTATCTCTGTAGATCTTCAGATTTGCAAGTCCCTTTTGGTTAGGAGACTCCAAGACTGCAGTTTGTATATGGTATCTGGTGTTTTGTATCTCGTAGTTAAGCGAATCTCTTGCACGGATGACTAAGCCGCTCGGTTGTTGCGCCGCGCTTTTATTTATATTTTTATTACTATATCAACGTAACACGCCGCTTAACTATCCATCTACTAACACTATATCTTCAGCTCGCTGTCGTTTTTGCTTGTTGTTTGCCAAAAATTGTTGCTTGCATTGAGAGGTACGAGAAATTTTGGCAAATTTCACATTGTCCGGATCGATTTTTTCGCGCCCAGATGTTTCCGTTTTTGCCGTTACGGGTTTTTGGGATTATTTATTGTTACGATTCCTTAAAATGCTCAGACTATTATTAACATTTTTTGCCGACACTTTCAATTTCAAGCTGACAGTCGAATGAAAAGCTATGTTTAAACAAAATTCAGACTTTTCAGTTCCGATTTTCCGATTTTCCATGCACCACTTTTCGTATCTCTCGCTCTCTTACAGGTATGTATGTATAGGTATGTGTGCTGTTGTGTGGACCCGCGAGAGTGTATGGGTGTGTGCCAGAGCGAGACAGTAGAGACGCGCGTGTTTAACACAATACTGCACTATTATATACTACTATTAGTGTTGTTTATTCGAATACGTGCGGTCGGCTCGACGGCAAAAAACAATCTGGGGACTTTGGGGTCTTTCAGCCGTTCAACTGGAGCTTTCATTGTCTTTGTTTACGAATGCGGTGTAAAGAAGGCGAGAGGAGAGAGCGAAAAAAGAGAGAGAGCGAGAGAGCGTGGGCGGCGAACCTGTTTTGCTTTTCTTATGGGACTTCGGCTTTACATTATAGATTAATTAACTGAAATATTCATTAAATTTATTTGGTATTCTTACTGATTTACGACCGCTACTTAAAATATTAAACATTAACTAGATTGGAGTGTAACTTTTATTCTATATTAGAGATGACATTTGCTACCGATGTGACCGTCGTTCGTGATGAGACAATGTCACAACACTTTTGGTATTAAGTTTTAAAAACCATTATTTTAAAATAGAAAAGCATAATTTATAAAAATCATTTTTATGTTTTTGGCGTCAATAGGTTTTGTTTAGTGGTGGATACATATCACCATCTACAATAATTTGTATTAAGCATTTTTATAATTTCTTGAAAACACAACTTGGATTACTTTCAACATAACAATTACAGCATCTCAGAAATAAAATGGAAGTTAGCAATGGAAATAACATTTTAGTTATGTGCATTAATAGGGCTTTGAATAAATATGAACTCCCGTACTAATTCTAGTAACTAAATTAAGAGGATTCATTTATTAAATTGTTTAGTACTTTGCAATGAGTCTTTGATACTATTTTAGTACAGCTACCTTGATCTAAAGAAAACCACTGGTCACACTCCTGTGGAAATATCGATAGTTTCCAACGAACATCGATTCCATCTTTCGTGCTGATTTATTTATAAATTAATTTCTCTCTATCTCATATCGCGCTTTGTTTCGTCGCCCGCGACGTGTTGTTTTGTGAAAATTTGCATCGCATTTTTGAGCGCGTGCATTAGTGTTGGTCGGTGTGTTGATGTGCGAGGAAAGGCGACGACGCTTCGAATTGCGAGAGAGATTGCGGAGAAAACAAAACATCCCGAGCAGCAGCAACACAACCCATAAAAATCATAACCTTGGGCGTGTATTAATCGAGTGATCCGTACCGCCCTCCCCTTCGCCGACATTTCCCCCGTTATCCAGAAATACTTCTACCGATTTTGATCTGGACTACTTGCTGTATTGTTGTGTCTGTTTTTGCTGATTTCACTGGCGTTTGTGTTTCCGTGCAAACATCTGGCGAGATAAGGGCCTATATAGTTCCACCCCCCAACCGTCTCACAACGCCCCACCCCCATCCCGCGAGCCAACAACAAGAAAAAACTTGGTTGCAAAAACGGCGCTGAACGTAAGTTGGATTACGTCATCGTTCGAGGGCAATTTTAGACTCTGATTGTGCCATATATATACCCACAGTTATAGTTTTGCCTTTGGACAGAAAAGACGCCCGCGCATCCGAACTTTTAACGAGAGCGACGAGATGATTCATGTGGGTGAGAATACGTGGAACCTGCGGATCCTCATCACGGATCTGCAGGTGGAGAAGACACTGCGTGTGAAGGGGGATCAGCACATTGGAGGCGTAATGCTAAACCTCGTGGATCCGGAGTTGCCCAAGGATTGGTCCGATCATGCCTTGTGGTGGCCCGCTAAGAATGTGTGGCTGACCAGGACGCGATCTACGCTGGATCAGGCTGGAGTGCAATCCGATTCCTTTCTGCATTTTACGCCTATGCACAAAACACTGAGGGTTCAAATGCCTGATCTTCGTTATCTCGACTATCGTGTCAACTTCTCTGCCAAAACTTTTGGAGCTGTTGTGAGCCTTTGCAAGGATTTGGACATTCGCTATCCGGAGGAACTGTCGCTGTGTAAACCATTGGAACCGGAGCATCTCAAGAAGAACTTCTCCAAATTGCCGCAGCGCAAGATTCCCGTAGCTGAGGCCAATGGCGTCGCCTATTTGCAGCCAGCGGCCGACACCAACTCCTTTGTCCCGATAACAGGAGCCTATAAAGGCAGCAATGGCAGTCTTGATCACTCGCACAATGGCAATTTGCTGTGCGCTCCGGCTTCACCGTATGCCACCACTCCACGGAGGGCAGCCACTGCCCCGGGCACGCCCATCAGCTCGCCCACAGGCACATGGAAGCACAACTCCACTGGCTACGCTAGCTACGATTCCAACTCTAGTTTTGGGGACCTCCAAGAGAATTTGGCCATGTCTCCTAGATCACCCAGTCCAGATGTAAGGGCTCGCTTAATTCGACCAAAGACTCGAGTCGAGAAAGCTCGTCTCAACGTTGGATGGTTGGATTCATCGCTTTCCATCATGGAGCAGGGAGTTAGAGAGTTCGATACCCTCTGCCTGCGTTTCAAATACTTCACCTTCTTCGATCTGAACCCCAAGTACGACCAAGTCAGGATCAATCAGTTGTACGAACAGGCCAAATGGAGCATCCTCAACGAGGAACTAGATGCCACAGAGGAGGAGACCCTTATGTTTGCCGCTTTGCAGTTCCAAGTGAATCACCAGACGGATATACATCCACCAGGCATCGATTCCGGAATAGATACCTCCAGCCAGGAGACTGGCGGCGAGGACGACATTGACTCCGCTCTCAACGAGTTGCAGATCACTCTCGAAGGTCCAGGAGGTGGCAAGGATCAGGGCAACATCACCAGGATACCAGAACTATCAGACTATCTTAAATTCCTCAAGCCCCAGAGGTTCACTCTTAAAGGATACAAGCGCTACTTCTTCACCTACAGGGATCTGCATCTGCACCTGTACAAATCGCAGGAGGAGTCCAGACGGGGAGCTCCCAGCATCAGCATCAATTTAAGGGGCTGCGAGGTGACGCCCGATGTTAACCTGGCACAAGGGAAGTTTGCAATTCGATTGGAGGTTCCACCAGAGGGCAGGAATGGTCCGAATAGCGAGGTCTGGGTAAGATGCGATAATGAGGAGCAATATGCCAAGTGGATGGCCGCCTGCCGTCTGGCTGCCAAGGGCCGCTCTTTAGCCGATAGCTCCTACGACAGCGAAGTGAGCAGCATTCGCTCGCTGCTCCAGATGCAGAAACCCGCCCAGGGAGCTCCTATCGCCGTAAATCCCAGGAGTGTGGAGCCTATGGATTACCTTTCGCCAAGGATGATGCGCAAACTGTCCAGCAAAGCAGTGCAGAGGATTCTAGAGGCGCATGCCAACGTTCGCCAGCTGACCTTGATGGACGCCAAGATGAAGTACATCCAGGCCTGGCAATCTCTGCCCGATTTCGGAGTAACTCTCTTCGTAATCAAGTTTGACGGACACAAGAAGGAGGAGCTGCTGGGTGTGGCAAATAATCGCATTATGCGCATGGACCTTAACTCGGGAGATCACATCAAGACCTGGCGTTACAATACAATGAAAGCCTGGAACGTCAACTGGGGCATCAAGTGCATGATGATCCAGTTGCAGGACGAGAACATTATCTTCTCCGTCCAGTCAGCCGACTGCAAGGTTGTGCACGAGTTTATCGGCGGCTATATATTCATGTCTATGCGATCCAAGGAGAACAACCAGACGCTGAACGAGGAGATGTTCCACAAGCTGACGGGCGGTTGGTCGTAAGCGGATTACCGGAACCTAAAGGAGCGGAGTGGAGTGGAGTCTTACGAGTGCCAAGCACAAACCTCGTCGCATGTTCTACAGTTTTATCTACATATATTTACCTAAAGTGGGGTGCGTTGATTTATGGGTTGAAAGGTAATCTGCGGACTACACTAAGCAACTTTGTCTTAACACAAGTTAAAACTTTCTGAATGTCAAATAATTAACATGTTTTTTTTTCTGTTCTGGCTTTATACTTTTTAAGAACTTTGTGTCGGCATTTACCTAAAAATAATCAATTTTATGACAACCAGAACAGTTGCTAAAAATATAAGTCTTGGAATTTGTGTAATCTATATCTAGGGAAATGCTTAACTTGATTTTAAAACCGAAGTTGCTTTAAGTTGTCCAACGATCACCTCCGTTTATATCAACCCAGTCAGTCGACGCGCCCTAATCAAAAGCGTTGTGTGTATAAGTGTTAATGGAAGCGGAATTCTAGACTAATAACAATCACCACGCTGATAACGATTATGATAACGATGTTGTGCCTTCGCCAGAGCAATCTTAACCCAAAACAAGTCCAAGTCAATGTCCTGTGTTCTCTGTGTTGTCTGTTTTCTAACACAGCGTTAAAGTTATACACTACTTAAGTCCTTTTTGTACCACTCTTGTGCGGACTTGGGCGACTAACCCGCAGTTTTATATATTGTATATTTATTAAACAAATTAATAAGCAGAATAAATTATTTTATATGTTTTTAATGATCGTAAACGGCGGCTATTTGTTTATTTGTCGTTTGCATTCCAATGGCAGCTGGTAACCCAAGCCCAAAGGGATTACTCATCCGATTTTATTGAGGTCTGTTGGCTTCTGAGGGGCGTTGATGCAAGAATCGGCCGTTTAATATAAAGCACGGGTATTGTTATTAATAACAGCGAACTCAATTGGATTGATAAGCACCAGTCGTCGTCGTTGACTGTGGATTCCAGATTATAGGAAGCTCTCCGGGCTATACCGTTGATTGATGAACACGTCCCAGAGTTATGTGCCCCAGATCGGGGCAACTTCTCACGCGCAGCCAAGCAAATTCTTTAATTCAATTTAATTTGATTTAAAGGGGTGGCTCTTGAGAAGGAGAAATGCCGGATATGAATAAGGAATGACAAATAAATTATCACTCAAATATTTGTTTTTAGAATCCTTCTCACTTATATGTCTTATCGTAAGTTTTGTAAAAAATTACGAATGCATTTTTAAAGTAGCTTCCCATTTGGTAAAGTTAAACCAATTCAATTCTATCTATTCTGTTCAGATTCATCAGAATCATCACTATAACGTAAATATTCACTTTTAAAAATACTTTAATGACTATTACTTTTAAAATGAAAAATACGACTTCAAAGAAGGAGTGATTAATGGCAATTCGGCCAAACCAAACTCATATTTTTCGAAAATTTACTTGTCGTTTAATAAGGATAAAAAACACAATGGGATTTTATACTGAATCACTTACTGATATAAGCAAAGTTGTTTTTAAATTTTGTTTCAAATTAAAATTGAGCTGATTAATTTATTAACAATTCTACAAATCTCTGAAATGTTACGTCAAATGACGCCAATAAAACATTTACGTTACGGTTAACGTTGCGTATTATTTAGTAACTGAATAAATTCTTATATATATGACAACTCATTTGGAAACATTTTAAAGTCCAACGGTTTAGGTAGTAAATATATTCGATAACTGAGGAAATATCGATGTTGTTAAACTTGTTGAATCATCGATAGTATTGGGTAAGTATCGACCTTTGTTCCATCTCCACTACATCAGCTGCTAGAAAAAATACCAAAAGTGTTTGGCCGTCGCGCATTTTCAATCGCAAATTAAACGCTGCTTATATCGTTTGGCTACGCTAGTCTCGGATAATTAAGTAAATTCAACAGATTTCGAAGAATTAAGTGAAGTTGAACGTGGAGAGTTACGTTTTTAAGGGCTCTTTGTTGCACCTGTAATTTGCGTTGCTGTTTTTTCGTGCATTTCAATTCGTTCACACGCACACACACACATATTCAAACGGTCGTGCAGCGAATGCGTGTGTGTGTGTGAAATTGTGCAAAAACGTGTGACGACAGAAGGGGCGGGGGAGGAGGTGGTGAATGAGGGGATTTTGCTATTGAAAGCGAATATTCATTGTTTTTGTGTGTGCACTATAAATTAATATTTAAGTGTCTGCGTCATGAGGGAGCCGCTTACCTCCCGCCATCGAGTTCAGCAGCCCAGAAGACAGCTGCTCATTTGGCGAGTGTAAACAAAGCAGCAGACACACACACACATACCAACACTCACGCACGCACTGCTTCACCTTGCGGCGACTGAGACGCCAACGCCGACTGCAACAACGCTGTACAACTCGAATATCGAATTTCACATCTTTAAGCCTGAAAATCTCCATATACCACTTCCATCTGCCGCATCATCTTTTGTCTGGCCAACCTGTTGGCTTCCAGACAGGAAGTTAGCCAATTTTCGCAAGTTTAGCCAAGTGCAGCGACAGCGCAGTCTACATCGACGGAAGCAGAAACGCTTCTCTGCCAGCGTCTCAGCTGCTGCGCAGCTGTAAACGAAACAAGCAGCTCTTAAATAATCGGTGAGTATTTCCAAAAACAAAGGAAACCCCTTTTCGAACGAACACCATCGGGAAAATGTTACAAATGTTTACCACAAAAACATTGAATGAACTAGCCTCTACTTGGAATTCGGGGTGGGATAGTTGTCACACAGTGGAACACCTATAAATCAAATTACGCTAGCCTAAGCTTAACATATTGGCTCATTTTTATATGTAGCTTTATTTTATTATTGTTCTCAATTTAGAATATGATTTTAGTATGCCTAATGGTACATGCCAGTTTAGGATTTGCAACTTTTTCGATTTAGGGAAGTACGACTGTATTTCAAATTCAATGCACAACGCATTACAAGAGTGTTCGTACCTGGGTTATTTCTGTACCTCAAAGTCACCATTTTTCGAATATCTGTTTAGCGACAGATGGTTAGTTATGGATGTTCGACTGTATCTAAATTACACAGCTGATAACCTGCTCTCAACTGGGCGTTGTTGTCTCTTTGGACATCTCTGCCTGCCTCTCGTATCCGCTAAATTCCAGTTTCCGCCCGAATAATTACTGAAACTGTCGCCGCAAAGTGTAATTTCTATTATTTGCTAGTTAACAATAGACATTAGCAGCCTGTCTTTCTTTCTTTCTCTTTTTTTTTTTTTTTACACCCAGGGATTCTTATGGGGCCTGCATATCGGTTTCGTTTTGAGTCTCCCTCCATCTGCTCACCTTTTATCGCGGTCTATAAATAAACACCACTTTAGCACGCGCCAGAGTTCAAGCTGCTTTTTTCTGAGATCCCGAATTCCCCCCATCGTTTCCCCTTTTTATATCACTTCCGGATGATGAGGGTTCATAGGGTGACGCAACGCCATTACGCGGATTCCCAAGAAAACGTGACGTCATGTGGGGACATATTCGCACAAATCCACTTCTGTGTGCATTGGCCCCTTGGAAAAGGCCATATAATCAACAAGTATCGTTTGAGGGTATTCTTAGAATAAAATAAATAGTTTATCGAGAAATTACATCCGCTGGCCCTTGGAATAATGATTCTGATTTTTATATAGTAATATTATTCAATCTAAATGATTTTATAGTTCTACAAAGTTGGTTTTAAATAGCTTTTTGATAAACTACACAAGTTTATAATGCTAGAAAATTGAGCTTTTCTTACATGATATTGTCTCCAAAGTCAGGATCCTACACGAACCTAAAATAAGTATCTATACATCGTACTTAAAATCAGATTCGTGAAATCACATTTACCTGATTTATCAATACTTTAGTTTCATAAATATTTTATGGCGTCAGAAATCACTGAACACATTGCTTCACCTTCTGTTGATCGCAACATACGGAATTGCTTATACTGCCCATAAATGCTACGAACTTTCGCTGTTCCCTGACCATTTTATCGCTTATTGCGGGGATTACGTAATTGCGCAACTGACCCAGTACCCTTGAATACAGTTTATTGACCGATCACTATGTGTTTGAGATTGACTTCAAGTTGATGTTTTTTGTTCTGCTGTCTTTTAGGATATGACCTCCATCTCCGCGGTGGATGGCGGTCACAGCAGTGAGACAGCCTGGCTGGAGGATCTGATGCGCGAGGTGCAGCTGGAGCAGTTCCTGGACAGGATTCGGGATGATCTGCAGGTTACGCGGCTAGCTCATTTCGACTATGTTCTGCCCGATGATCTGGAACGATGTGGCCTGGGAAAACCGGCCATTCGGCGGCTGATGGAGGCGGTGCGCAAAAAGAAGGCCCATCAATGGCGCAAGAACATCCTGTCCAAGCTGATTGGCGGTGGAAAACAACCGTCGTCCAAGAAGCAGTCCTCCGCCCGGGAATCCAATCAGGGCAATGGTACCCAATTAACCTGCCTCATCCACGAAAAGGACATCACAATGGGTCTGAAGCTGGGCGACGGATCTTTCGGCGTTGTACGAAGGGGCGAGTGGAGTGCCTCACCAACTGGCAAAGTCATCCCGGTGGCAGTAAAGGTGCTTAAATCGGATAACCTCACTCAGCCGGGCATAATCGACGACTTCTTTCGCGAGGTTCAGGCTATGCACGCCCTGGATCATCCTAATCTGGTCCGGCTTTACGGCGTGGTGCTATCCCAACCCATGATGATGATCACAGAGTTGGCGGAAAGAGGATCTCTGCTTGACACGTTGCGAAAACAGTGCCGCTACACATCGCTGACCATCATCTGGAACTGGTCGGTACAGATTGTGACTGGCATGGCCTATCTGGAACAGAAACGCTTCTTGCATCGCGATCTGGCTTGCCGAAATGTCCTGCTAGCTGCTGGGAATAAGATAAAAATCGGGGACTTTGGTCTTATGCGTGCTTTGCCACAAGAGGATGATTGCTATGTTATGTCTGAGCACAAGAAGGTGCCTTTTCCCTGGTGCGCTCCGGAATCGTTGCGCTTCCGTCAGTTCTCGCACGCCTCGGATACATGGATGTTTGGTGTGACTCTGTGGGAGATGTTTAGCTTTGGCGAGGATCCTTGGGTGGGGCTAAATGGCTCACAGATTCTGCGAAAGATCGATCGTGAGGGCGAGCGCCTGCATCAGCCGGATGCCTGTCCTCCGGACGTATACGCAATGATGTTGCAATGCTGGGATAAAACGCCAGCAGAGCGACCCACTTTTGCTGCTCTCAAGTAGGTTCCAAGCTTTGTTTCTTAAATTGTCTTTTGCTAATCTATATCCATGCTTTACAGAGAGTATTTGGCCAGTATGTCACCGCCAGTGATGCGTGCCTCCCGAAGTCATCACGAGTCCAAAGGACTCCAGATAGAGCCAGGCGACACAATTGCTATTATAGATGGTCGTCACGAACTGAAGTTGATTAAAGGCCAGAATCAGCGTACTTTTGACATTGGAATCTTTCCCAGGAGTTTGCTGGAACAGCGAAAAGTGGGTGCAGCCGGAGATGTAGCGATGCGGAGCAGCATGGGCAATGGCTCTTCATCCTCGCCATTCGGCTTTTGTTGGGGTGGAGCGGCTGCCATGGCTAATGGAGATGATCGGCAGAAAAAGTGCTCCTCCATGACAACCCAGGCCCACGCCAAAGAACGCAAGTCAACGTCAAGCAAGCAGTTTGCCTACAATAAACTGGTCAACGAGGCGGCAGCAGCGGCGGGTCTCCATCGTCGCAATGCAGTGAAGCATAAGGGTGCCGTGGTGGGTCCTCAACGTCCTCCACCGCCGCAGTTCCAACAGGAAGGAATACTCATCGACATTTCGCCCGACATGCGACCTTTGTCGGGAAGTGGAGGCGGAGCAGCTGAAGGATCAGCAGAAAGTTCATCACTGCAGGCGGACAGCTCTTTTTGCCTTTTGGACGCACCTATAGACGTACCCACTTATGCCGAGTCCAGTGGATCGGGGGAACTAAACGTTTCACCTACATACTATAATGAGCAACCACAATTTGACTTCGATCCAGCCAATATGACAGCCTCACCTGGGCGCCTACAACCGCCGCCGTACCAGATGCCACCCACTTACTCTAATACTATGGAGTTTGTCCAAAAACGAGATCTTCAACAACAAAAATTAGTGACGCCTGTGAGGGAGCGAGATCCCTTCGACACCACCAATCTGGAAACGGCTGTGGCAATCTACTCGAATTTCAACCAATCCCTAGAGGCAGCTCCCCCTCCAGCCCCCGTTTATAACAGTCCTTCGGTCAGAAAGAGCCTTTTCGGTGGATCCAACTCGAATAAAGAAAACATACCGGCCCTGGAATCAGCGGCTATGCAGCTTAATCTAAGTAATCTCGCTATGGAGCGACATGACACCATCAGTATACAACATGTGGATCCTGTTCCTGCCCCTCCCGCTGATGGAGTGCTGCTAGACAAATCCTTCATTGCTGAATTGGAAAAGGACATGTACAGCAACGGCCAGAACCGGACGCAGGAGGAATACCAGCGTAATTCTACGCAGATGTATGCCACCAAGGACATGGTTTACAAACAGAATCTCACGCCACTAAAAAACGGAGCTGGTTCAGCCCACTCAAATCATTCCAGTCCCTCGTCGACCGCTTCGCCCAAGCAGAACAATGTGGAGGCAGCAGGCAACCGCAGCAGCACCAATCTAAGTGTGGTGAATCGCATTTGGTACGAGCAGGAGGCCTCCACGCCGTCCGAGTATTATGCACAGCCGCCGCCAGAGCACCCAGATGAGCAGATCTACCAAAATCATCATCAGCAGCAGCAGGAATCGAACCATTCATTTGTGGCTATATCGAATCGGATAGTGGCACCTAAAACCAATGTGTACTCCTCCTCGGCCGCCCTTTATGATGCAGTGGCCGCCAGTACGGCGGGCTCTACATACTACGGTCAAGTGCCGAATAGCGGTGGAGGTGTTCGATACGACGAAGTGACACAGGATGACTACTTGCGGCCAACTCGACCTGCTCCACTGGCGCCACCTCCTCTTTCCGCTCAACAGATCCAACGAAGGATGGATAAGATGCGGCTTCAGCAACAACAGGAGCTGGAGGGAGCCCACCAGCTTTATGCCCCTGTTCCATCAGATTACGGACGCGAACAGGAGAAACTGCAGCAGCTAATGCAGGAGCTGGGTAGCTCCGCTGTGGAACAGGATGTACGTAATGCCTTGCGAGCGGCTAGCGGGGATGTACCCCTCGCTATGAGGCACTACAAGATCGACCAACTGGCGAGGTTGGGAGTGGCTGGTCGGCCACAATGTGAACAGGCTCTGCAACAGACCAACTGGAGCTTAGAAGTGGCAGCTGAATTTTTACTGCAGTCCACAAATGCAGGATAAACTCACAAAATAACAACCATGTACAATGGCCTCGAATGTAATTGCTTTAGTTTTACTTGCTGAATATTTCTCTATGATTAGCTAACGATGTCTCGAATCTTTATCAGAATACTCCTAAGTGTAGTGCACGAATGCAAACACACATTGTCAACGACTGTACAATACGTTCTATTTTATATAAGCGATCGTATAAAATTATTTTATAATTGTTATTCGATGTCTGCATATTTCAGATGCCCCGAAATTTTCATTTACAATTGAAATCGAGTTGTTTTAGATAAGGTCACGGTTCGACCGGTTCAGGTCATAAATGTCAACGCATGCAACAATTAATTTGTGTTGAAATCAAATAAATGATATGTAATTGTTACAAAACAATGTGTTCTTTTGAATTTAGCGCCATCTGGGGGGCTAGAAATATACTGCAGAAATATACTTTACTGGTAAACGGAAAAATACCAAACTTCATAAGCTATACTTTTCCATGGGCTTGCCAAAGGGGGATCCAAGTCAGAACATATCTATAGAGCCAAGAAATGGATCATTCCTGAGTGGGATTTTAAATCTGATTTCCAATTTTTTAATCTTTTTCATAGCTTACTATTTAATTTACGAAAATGTTTAGAGATTTCTTCTGTAACTCTGATTCGATACATTTTTTTTCAGCAATATAAATTAAATTCATTTAAAATCTTTTCAACTTTTTATATAAAATGAGTATCCCAAGAATGACCATCCATATAACAATAAATCAAACAGCAATATATGTTAATAGAATAATTATTTATTTTCAACAGGGGACATTATTTAAAATAGATCTTTCAAAAGTGTGTAACACGGTATATTTGCTCTGCCTGTAAATACATTATTTTAAATGCTCTGTGTTTTTGATTTATATTCAGGTGGTTAGTTCGAAACAACATTGTAATCGTTACTCTACGAGATAGAAGACACTTTCATCAAACACAATTCATTTCGTTTTCGATCCGTTGATCACTTATTATCTCACTTTGCATTGGGACAATTTCCAACTGTCTTCGATGGCACAGAATCTGAGTGCGGTTTATATAGAACGAAATATATATAATCCAAAAACGATCGTGTAGCAAATGCAAATGTTGAAAATAGAATAAATCATCCTAAGATCCGTACTTAATAATATTAAATTAAAGTAGTTTATGTTATTACATAACAGCATACGCCTGGTCAATTGGAATACAAATACAAATTGGTATCATAAATATATATCCGTATTATATATCATTTAAGGGCTCTACCCAAAATTTAGCTCAAAACGTGAAAAGTATGGAACCCAAAAGCGGCTGCGGAAGATGTTGGCGTTTTGGTTTGGTCTTTTATTGCGGAATGTCTGAGAGCGAAGGATGGGGCGGAGAATCCTGGATATAGGACGCAGATCTACATGTGCCTGGTGTTGCCGAAGTTGATGCCAGACTGGGTGGCACCCTTGTTAGATCCGTACTGCAGGGAGATGACATTGGCGCCGGCGCGCAGCTGCTCGTCGCTGAAGTTTCGCACGTTCTTGTCGGCCTCCTTGGGTCCAATCGATGGCTTGTTGAAGTTCGAGGCCTATGGATGATATGATAATAGTATCATTAATATTATATTATTATTAACTTAAAAAATACAACAAAATAATCTTTAATCCCATTTGTCACTGCAAACAGTAGTAATCAGCTCACCTTGCGACCCAGCGACTGCAGGCAGATAACCACCGAGTTCAGATTCTGGCGCTCCCACAGGTCGACGCTCTGGAAGGTTTCTTGGGTGGGCACTCCGAAGTTCTTGGCACAGGCAAGGAAGGCAGAGATGTTCTCCATGCACTTGAAGGCCATCTTGCTCTCGTTGATCTTCTTAATGGATCCGGGCTGCAGAGCATTGGCCAATTTGCACAGGATGACGCCATCCTTGAGCACCTCAAAGAAGTTGTCGGTGTCGCCGGATGTGTTGATGGGCTCAGCGGTGACGGCCTTAATCCATTCGAGGGATTCCTGGGCCAGCTCCTCGCTGTACTTGGAGTTGATCTACAAATATGAAAATTTAATAAGCATAAATTGTTTATGGGAAAAAGTTTTCGTATAACCTTGGACTGGTACATTTTGGGTTATTCTTTGCCTGGCTGCTGCACTTGATAGACTGAAACCCAATTGGAGGGTTAAATCAAGTACAGACTATTATTTTATTTCTGGGCCATTTCCCCACGCTTATCTCATGAAATATCGCTGATAGCAGAGTTATCACTAATTGGCTATAAACATACAACACTCTCCACCTTTCCCTTGTCTCACACTCGTGACAATTTGGCGGTTATATTTCAAGTTCTGATAAGGATAAGATTGCAGTTCTCATTTCTCCCGTCGCCGCTCCCCATTTTTCCATTATTCGATTTGCTTAAATTATAAAAGTCAGTCACGTTCGAATGTTCTCAGGTAGAATAGTAAGTATCCATATTTGCCAATGCCGATAGCTTCGACTGGGAGCTGTTGCTGTTTCTGCTGCTGCTTTAAATCTAAACGTCTTGACCATATATAGTCTTAAGTTTACCGGCCGTTTGGGCGTCCTTCGCACCGATTTTGGCCATAGACAAAAAGCCACTTGTTGAGCAGCTGGCCCCCACTTCTATTGCCATTTCCACTCGCTTGGCAAAACCACAAAAGCCGGAGTCCCAAAACAAACCGCAAAATCGTTGCGTGTTCGGTTTCCATTTGGCTTGCCAATAAAAATCTAAATCAAAATGTTTAGCAAACTAAGGTTCATATCTGATCGTCTCACTTAACACGTATTTATTTGTTTTATTTGATTGAATTCAATTGCTGTCGCTAATAGATTTCAGATTAGCTGCCATTTTATCAGAAAGTTTAAGTACTATAAACAATTGCGGTTAAAATGATGGTGGTAGAGGTTTAAATTATTTGAATTAAAAGGAAACTAGTTATGGAGAATGGATAAATATAATAAATGTTTCTTTTAAACTTTGATTTTTAGATGTTAATTAAACTGAAAATTTATTGGCTTCGTTATGAAAAAATGCTTCTGATATATTTGGGATTTTTTGTTAATACTTATAAAGCTAAAAGTAAATAACTGATACAGTCTGCTTATCTGGCTTTTCTCACATTGTTGTTCATATCTTTATATCTTTTATTGAAAGGCAAAAAATATTTCTATAGCCAAACGATAACTCTATAAATAGTTTATAACAAATAACAAATTATTACATAGTTGGCCAAGAAAACTATTATGTTACCCGCCATTGTATTACTGTTCTTTAGTTTGTGTGATTTTTGTTCTGACAGGCAAGTCTATTAAAATGAATGATCTCAGAGAAAACAAATGGAACGTTTGTCGCCAATTGAGTTGTATTCCACTCCTTATCGCCCGCCGTGGGGAAATGCAAACTCGTAAATTGAAGGGGAGTGACGGGTAGATGCAATAAAAAAAAGTGAAATACAGACCAGAAGCTTTCACCGCATTTGTGTGTACTTAGTGAAGGTGAATGCACTTTGCTCACATTTTATTTAACCCACTCCATCTTAATACAACTCTTCCTCTTTAGCAACAGAAGTCAAAAGCTATTGGAAACATCAAAATTTACGACTCTTTCGTGGTTTGAACTCAATAAAAAACCACAGATCTCTCATTGAGATAGGCAGAATAGAAGCGGCGAATATGGTAATCATTTGGAAATGGCTTTATCTTTAAAGTTTACTGAGTAAAAACTAAAGATTATCAATAATTGCAATCGACCGTTGGACAAATTGCTTTGTCCGAATTTTGAGGTATAACGGTCTAGCACTTAACAGCAGAGGTCAGTTCATTAGAGCTCAACAGAGAAAATAATGGAACCAAATAATAGCATCATCCATCATCGAAGCACATCCAACAAAAAAGCCCCAAGAAGCGTGAGACAATTAATAAAAAAAAAAACAATTTTTGATTGACATTCTGTTCGAGAATCTGGCCGAAGCCAAGAAGTTGATGATCATAACTTAGAGCCCCTGATGATGGCAGATAAATTGACACCCTCGGGGCAGATGAATAAATTTTGATTAGGAATAAATATGTTTATGGGATTCTGCGGCCAACTTTATGCATACTATCCATACATAATCGTTAACCAAAAGCCGTTAAGAGCCTAATGAATTCCGATCGTTTCTTACACGTTTTTTTACTTCGAAAATCTCTAAAAATCTTCCAAATCTTCTCAAACAAACCCCAAAACAAATTTGACAGTTGGTGGTCCCAGACAGTCAAACAATGTTCGGAACTAAATGAAAAATGGTGAAGAATAGCCAAGTTATTTTGCCGTTTCTTCGAAGCTTCGCCTCATTCTCCCCGCTTATTAAAATATTTTTAGCGCTGTTTTAATGAGTCAGCTTCAGCCATCAGCCAGCGAATTTCATTTGTATTTTTTGTTTAGTTTAGCGCTATGAGGTCGACTCGAAATTCAACGACGATCGAATGCCGGGGCAAAAGTACAGCCAGCAATGGTGTACACCCATATATACATTTATAGAAATTTGTAGAGAAACATATGTACAGCTGGTTAGAACGTACTGCCTTATCGAGAGTCAAGAATATCAGACAAAAACTGCCGGTTGATAGAGTAGTCGGAGAAATCTGAAAAACAATAATTGCAAACGGAACTTAAAAGTTGGTCATCGCTTGCCGTTAGACATGACGTCGTTTTAACGGCTTCCTTATGTTTCTTCTAACCAAAATTATTATGTTTCTAATTTTTTTTGGGTCTATGGGTCAGTTGATGAATTAACCACGATTACGGACAATTACAAAAACGGCGTGACAATGAAATGCTCAGCCGACTCAGGAACCTAATTAATTTCCCAGCTTTTGGTGTACAGTGTAACATGGGGCTGGGCCTCTTTTTCATTTTCAAGTACGTTCTGGGTGGATGGCATTCCACACGCAATGCGCATTAGTGGCCGAGGCATGCTAAGCCAAGCCTGGTTGGCTTTTAGTGAAATTAAAATTAAAATGACTTGAAAACTGGCTGGGCAAGCTTCCCGTATGCTCCTCTTCGCTTTCCAAAAACCCTAAAACCAAAAACTGAGGGTCAGCAGAAACCCAAACTCCGAATAAGAAATATCTTGGGAGAGGGCCTGCCCACGCGAATTCAATTTAATTCACACCTACGCCACTTGAAAAGTGAAAATGTTTTCGGCACAACATAACTATTTATTTATTTATCATGATTCAGTCTTCACAATTCAGTGACAGTTCCAAGAATTCTAAGTGTTATTAAAAAAACACTGATTGAAGACCAATGGAAGTTTCCTATATTTGGGGATACGAATGATATGAATATGTACCATGGATGTTATAACATTTTTA